AAAAAAATGTTATGAAAAAATGAGAAAATGTTATGAGAAAAAAAAAATGTTATGAAAAAAAAAGTCACAACATATTATCTCATAACATTATCTCATAACATTTTTTTTTCTCATAACATTTTCTCATAACATTTTTTTTTCTCATAACATTTTCTCATTACATTTTCTCATAACATTTTTTTTTTCTCATAACATTTTTTTTTCCTCATAACATTTTTTTTTTCTTATAACATTTTTTTTTTCTCATAACATTATCTCTCATAACATTATCTCTCATAACATTATCTCATAATCCTGTGCGAACTCTTCTGACGTGAAAACGAACTTTGGGTGCCACCAAAGCGAATTTGGGTGATTTACAAAAAACGAACTTTGACCAATCAAAAAGCGAACTTTGGGCTGCGACAAAAGCGAATTTATGAAATTGGAAAACGAACTTTGGGGGTGGAGCCGCTGTATACGACTACAAAGCTTATTCTGGGATTCATGTTCCTCAATCTGCATATCTGTATTTATGATTACTATTTTGAAAGGGAATTGAGATATTTAAGACGAGGTTTTTGAAATTTGTCTTTATCAGCATGGAAGGCTACAGATTCATGAACGCACTCGAAAAATATTATCACAACAATTTATCCCCAATTACCTTTTTTTTTATAACTGTAATTGAGACAAGGTATATGCCTATTTAATATATTTTCCATTCATCAAAGGTCAATCTTAAGTTTGCTGTCAATAAGAGGCGTCAAACCCCGCTAAATGAAGCGACAGTGTTAGTAGTTTTTTTTAAATAAAAATAATTGTTTTTTCCATGAATAATATTTCTGCGTTCCTAGAATGGTCCAAAGAGAAAGGGATCGTGTCTAATGCCTCTGTCAAAGAAACAAAGTATGCAGGTTATGGTCTGTTTTCAACACGAGACGCCACAGACGACAGCGAACCTTTTGTTTCCATTCCTTACGATTTGATCTTGACAGCATCGAAAGCCATGACTGATGCCCAGTTTGCTCAGGCCATCGCTCGAACCACGGAACAAGACATCACGTCATTTGCTACTGAAAATGAACGTCTTATTTTATGCTTGTTCTTAATTTACTGCTCCTTTTTCAACACAAATACGCCATGGCAGCCTTACATGGCCATTCTTCCTTCCATCGACTTGTTTAAACAATCCCACATCCTTTTTAACCCGGACCTTGTATCCGGAACAACCTTAGAGACATCTATCCGTACCAAACTGTCTAGCCTGAAACGTGAATATGACAGCCTAACTCATGCCGATGACTGGTTATCCGATATCCAATTTGACATGTATGTGTGGGCTAATTGTGTCTTTTGGTCGCGCGTGGTAGGTATTGGAGAAGATCAAGAACATGCAACGTCCAGCAGCATGGCCCTGATTCCATTTTTCGATTTTGCCAATCATTCATCCGAGAGTCCCAATATACGTTGGCAGCTGACTGACAAGGGTATGGATCTTGTACCTTTTACATCGATTCAGACTGGAGAAGAACTTTTGCTATCGTACGGCTCCAAATCCAATCAAGAATTACTCTTCTTGCACGGGTTTTGTATCCCCCAGAATACCGAGCCGTTTCCTGTCTCGATTCCTTTACTCCCATTTTTTAACCCTGTGGAAGAAAACTTGGCAAAGATTCGTTGGTTAAAACAAGTGGGTGTGAAGCCCGCATTGACGCTGCTGCCACATTCAAAAGAAGATGCGTTTTTGGAACGGGATTCGATGACGACCATGTATCTTGTCGTTTTAGATGAGGAAAGTGGGCTGGAGATTTCGTCATCTGCGAGCGAGAATGATGAGGAAATTGTGTTGTCGCTAGCAGGGGATGCCGTGGATTCTTTAAATGCATTAGATGCCAAGGTGAAACAAATGGATCTGTTTCCTATCCTTCAATTAAGAGTGATTGTACTCTTACAAGATGCTTTAGAATACCATGTTACGTTGATTGATACACCTTCCTCTACAGACTCTAGCGCATTAGCTCAACAAGCTTCTATTTATCGATCTGAAGAAGCCGCGACTCTTAAAGCCACCTTGGATCAATTAACGATTTTAAGAGACCAGTTAATGCAACATCCTACCGTCCTGTCTTATTTACAAAATGCATAACAGATAAACAATAAAATTTAAAAAAAAAAATTATTTATTCGGAAGGTTTATAAAATCCAACCTTCTTCCAATATTTTAAATACTGAACGAAATTATCTTGGAATGTCGGTGCTTTCAACAAGACGGTTGCTATGTTACATGTATTCTCTGTATTCCATCTAATGTCCACTGTCTTTTCAAAAGCGTTTTCATAAAAAGGAAGCAGCTTGTATGCAGGGTTCTCTGGGCTGGATCTCAAGGCGTCGACCCATACAGCGGGGGAAACCACATCGAATGGTCCACAGGATGCATTGATGAAGGCAAGCGTTTCGGACCATGACCGAGACTCGGGATGTACGATATGAAAAATACCTTCATGAGCCTTGTATACCGTTTGAGACACTGTCTTCATCATGATTTGGACAATGGCTTCACCGGCCATATCCACAGGTAGGAAATCCACCACCGTGTTCAAACTAGGCATCTACATTTTTATTTTTATTTTTACCCGCTTTGTTAATAAAGAAGAGAGATAGGGAGATGTGAAAGCCTAATTTTTATTTTTGTTTACCTTTTTCATACATGAAGCACCACCAATAATTGTTAAAGGATACATTTCACTCGTATTCCAAGCTCCTGTAGTGCTATCACCACATAATTGTGATACGCGGTGAATAAAACAAGGCATACCTAAATTTGGTTACTTCGTTTAGTTTTTTTTTTTTTTTTTTTTTTTTTTTTTTAAACTTACTTTTACGTTCCACCAAAAAGTGAAATAATTGTTCCACAATAAACTTTGATTGAGCATAACCCATTGGTAAAGCCACACGGGGATCCGACAACATGGGCAACTCCGGTACATGGTTACCATCAAAAGCGCCTGTAGCACTCACGCTGGACACAAAATGCAAATGGATAGGGTTATCTGTTCTATGACAAAATTTGACCAGATGATACAATCCTCGGATACATTCGTCATCATAGTATGAGACCGGATGATGGAAATCCATTAACCAAGCACAATGCTGAACCATCGTCACTTCACTTTTCAAGCGTTCATAAAGCGCAGGATCGAACCCAAGGTGATCTTTGTTTAGTTGCATAGGTAAAGCCTCGACACGCGTCAACAAGTCAGGGTGTGTATAATCTCGTTTTTGAAAGGATTCAAGGATACGATCCATCAAGTTGGTTTGACTACCGCGAACAAGGGCATAGATTTTCTTGATGTTGGGATTGTTTAATAATTTGAGAAGGATAGCGGCGCCTAAAGAACCTGTAGCCCCCGTAAGCAAAACAACATGCTCTCCCTCATTTCCATACTCTGTCATACGTACGGGTTCCAAATCAGCAGATGCAAATTTGAGGTATTTATGAAGGATATCGCTTGTTTTTGCATAATCAAACTCCTTGCTAATAGACGTTGTTCCTTTTTCGAAGAACTGGATCATTTGAGATAGACTAGAATAGCGGTATAAAAAGTCTTGTGGTACAGATTGAATTGTAGCCGAAAGCTGGTTTCGCAGTTTGATGGCAAGAAGCGAATCCAAGCCTTGTTTAAATAACGAAAGTTCCTTTTCTAATAATGTGCCGGGCAAGACTTTTGAGACGGCTTGGTGTACTTTGACCTCGATTGTTTGATCACCCACCACTAATTCATTTTCAATCACTTGTTGTGCTACGAGACTGGTGTACATGGCGGTCACCTCCTTTTGGAATGCTTGAATCGCTCGGTTTCTGGAAACCGTTCCTTTATCTGTGATCGGTAGCTGTCTTGAAAGTGGGATGATCTTGACCATTTCAGGCAAGAGGATACTATGCTGGGGTGCGATTTTATTTGCCTTTCGAACCGATTCATGCACTACACACAACAAAATTGATTTTTTTTTGGTTTAGAATGTATAAAGAATAAATAAGTATGTGTGTGTGCTTTTTTTACCGCTTTCATAAATATCATCAAGACAAAGTTGTTTTACTGCTTCTACATCCAGTTGAATTAAAGCAGCGGTACAGATCTCATTTGCGCCAATGACAGTACAATGAGATACCAAAGGGTTTGATTTGATGATGTCTTCGATCGGTAAGGGATTTGTTTTTTCCCCATTTGACCTATTACATAACATAAATAAATAAAAAAACACATTATGTAAACAATGACTTTACATGATTAAGATATCATCTGCACGGCCTACATAGCGATAACCACCTTTGACTTCTTTACTAGCAATAAATAAATCTTTGGTTGCAAAATCTCCATTGGGTCGATTGGCGACACCTGTTGCAAGAAAAGGGGAGCCTGCCCTGACAATTTGTTGATACTTGTCACCGTCGAAATGTTCCAAAAATATTTGTTTGTCCGAGTCTTCCAAAAAGAAATAAGTATTACTGTCTCTTCGATTTAGACTAAAGTCGGACATCATCATGTAGCAGCATTCTAAATAACAAAAAAAGAGACCGTTCAGTGATTGTTACCCTTTAGAAAAAAAAAAGTGACCAGTTCTTATAATGCAGGTTTTTTTTTTTGTTTTTGTTTTTTTTTTTTTTTACCTGACATGGCATACAGGACACCAAAATTTAACTTGTGCTTTAAAAAATACGCGTCTTGTTCATTAGGTGTAGGAGCACCTCCCGATCTAAACAAAAAAAAGTAAGTAAGACTACTTTTGTTTGTTATGTAGATGTAACGTGGGGTGGATGAACTTACAGGATTAATCTCAAATTTTGAAATAATTGAACGTCGCCGGTTTCCTTCATATAATGCAACATTTGGTTGATAAAGTAAGGTGGTGCATTTAACCGTGTGATCTTTTCTTTCTTCATGACACGGATGACATCCTTAGAGGAAGGGGGAAATTGATGTAGATAGTAAATAGAAGCTCCTTCCATTGCAATTTGGAAATTACTGATATGACCAAACATATGAAACCTAAGTTCAACACAATATATCAGCCATGGCAAAAAGGTACCTGGTCTATGAGATAAAACTTACAGTGGGGTAATACCAATCAAGATATCTTGGCCCGTCTCCATAAGATGTCCAAGACCTTGTTTGGAAAGATTGTACTCGTACGATTGAATTGTGTACAAATGAAACCTGTTGCTCCAACGAATGGCTTTCGGAAAAGAAGTTGTTCCTGAACTATATGAAAGATATAAACGCGTAAAACGTTTTTAGTTTTCATAAACCTTTTTTTTTTTTTTTTTTTTTTTTTTTTTGAAAAACTCTGTTTAATTCCTTTTTACCTATGCACAATCAAATTTGTTTTATCTAGATCCTCACTTGTGAATTTCGAATCCAACAACGTATCTACATCCCGATGAAGCGGTGCACTCTTAAGCTCCTGGAAGTTCATGGGCGGTGTTTGTACAGACTGAACCCCAGGCATGTCCCTCTGAAGACTTTCCTTAACGTCTGTATAAAGAGGGCCGTAGACAAAGGCGTCTGCATTGACTTGGTTTAACAAGTTTTGCACGGATTCCGGTGTATTACGCACGGAAACCACGAGAAGAGGAATTCGAAGTTTGAACAAGGCGAGCATCAGAATAAGATAGGTGACCGAGTAATCCTCCATAAGAGCAATGGTAGAAGCAGTATGCAAACGATCGTGTAATACACAAGCCAAATTTGTAGCAATTCGATCGGTCTCTCCGTAGGTTAATGTCTCGACCTGAATGTCATGGTGAGGGGTCATGACCTCATAACGTATATAGATATTATCCGAGAACTTTTTGGCTTGCGTTTGAAAGAAATTGATAAAGGAGTTGAATTCTTGTACTGGGAACTTGGATTCATGAACAATACGAATATCATCAAAGGAAACTGTCATCTTGGATTGTAGTGAGAAAAGAGAGAGAGAGAGAGAGAGAGAAAGAGGTGAATGCTTCTTTTTCTTGGTTGGTTTATATATAAAAATTTTGTATGCTTGGCAAAATGCTACACTTCTATGGTCGGTCAATGAACGCACACATGGGTGAGATGTTCGGCGGGGGTCATGAATTAGGAAATAAAAAGGAAAGGGGTTACACATAAACCTGTCACTTTTTCTTTATGTTTGTCTTTACACACCCCCATATATATCTGTTTACCCGGGGTTTGGGGTCACCTTTGTTTATTTTTAGGGTGGCAGTAAACTGTGTAACCGATAAAGCCTAACCAATGTTTGTAAACGTTGATGATTTTCCATATATGTATTATATATAAAAAAAGATTCATCTAGAATGAAGGATTATGATAAGAAATTCAATCTTTTTTCAACAAATTTTGCACACACACGAAAAAAAATATATTTTATGCGCGACATACTTAAGAAAAAGTGATTTACCGATTATGTTTAAATATCGATTACTTGCATGCATCATTTTCAATTTTCAAAAAAAAACACAGACGCGTTTGGTAGACAAAAGCTTAAAACAGCGGATGCATAGATTCGATTGACCAAACAAATAAATGATTCCTGAGGGGAGTTTTTTTCTGTGCTTGCAGCACATGTGCATATATTTTTAAATGCGCATATAGACACTGATGAAGGTAATGAAATTAGTTTTTATTCAAGTATCAATGGAATCATAAAAGAATCCAGAGCCCAAGCCAGGAGGTACGGGCGGCACGTCGATACTACCGTGCGGAATCTCGACACGATCACCAGCGATTTGCAGCAACTTGACCTTGACCCCGACCTCTGTCAATGTGTGGAACAATTCGGCCGTCTCCTTACTGGTAAAGCGTTTATCCAAAAGCATACTAAACCCGTCTTTCCATTCCGCAGCCTGAGTAGCACTAGAGCAATAGAATTCGGCCATCGTCATGTTCTTATCTGTATACAACGCAAATGCCAAATTTGGATTTTGGGGCGGGGCCATGAATTCCGTACTTGTATGAAAGATTTGGGAGTTGGACATGTTCAAGCCTGCACTGGACATTTTTCGAATCGATCGAATTTCGCTGACCGAACTCAAATCGATGCGATGGGGTAACTTTTCATAACTTTTGAGAACGGGTGCAATCTTTTCAGAGAAATCGCCGTACAGGATCGATTTTTTGGATCGACTTAGTTTATAATAACGCCATCGTTTACTACTACTGCTGGAGGTGTGGGTAGGGGTGGTGGGGGATATGATACCCAGGGGAGAGTTATTCCCACTGCCACTGTTGTTGTTGTTGTTGCTGTTATTGGTGGGATTGGGGGAAAGCGGGTTCGCGTTGTTGTTACCCGTCATGACTGACATTCTTTGATTGGAAGCTAATGGGCAGGGAAACCATGCTCCTTCTAGTAAACAACTGATGCGCTGTTTTTTTAAAAACTCGTAGGATTGTTTCGATAATCTTGTACGTAGATTACTATAAGAGAAGGATTTAACAAAAATCAGGTTTTTTATCAACTGAGAAAAAAAAAATTATTACCTGATGGCGTCTCTTCCTAGTAAATCATCCGCCCATTCTAATTCTTTTAGTCGTCTGTCTCGAATCACTTGATAAGGTGTATTAAACATATTTCGATCGAATTCGACAATATCTTTGGTAGAGGCAAATGCAGACCGTAACTGACTTCGAACAAGAGCAGACACTTTGGAAAAATCAAAAGTGGTAGCTTCCATGTCGCGAAAGATGCGGAAATAGGTCTGTAACGTTGTTGAATGAACATGATTGAAACTTAATAGAAGAGGTTGAAATTCGGCAATGGTATCTATGGATGAAAATAAAGGTATGAGTGAAATGAGGGGACATAACAGGTGTATATAGAGGATAAACTTTACTGGTGGATGTGATATTCCACAGACTGCATAATAAGTCTGTCACTTCAATACTTGCTTTTGCAAAAGGACATCTTTTACCTTCGGGTCGATGTAGTTGTTCAGAAATCAGCTACAATGCAAAACATTAACAAAACAAAATTAAAAAAAGCACTATAGGGGTTTATTATGGAAATGATGAATGAGCTTACTTTGGCAAATAAATCCTTGTTTTGGATCACAAATAAGTGCATTTCCTCTAACCCAAACACACCCGTTCTACCAAATTCACGTTGTGGAACTTCTGACTAGAGTTACAAAGTAATATGTTATATAGAAAAAAAAAAAAAAAAGAAAAAAAAAGAAGAAGAAAAAAAAAAAAAAGAAAAGCGTTAGATTTTGAAAATTGATTGAAAAAATAGCGGCAACTTTACAGTAAAGCCAAGCTTTTTCCATTTTTTGTTTCCGGGTATATCAATTTGATCGACATGAGCGGCATCCCAAATATCATTGAGCATATTGATATGGCGAGGATTATGCATTGACACTGCTGTGCCGTGTCGCATACTAATGTTTTGAATAAATACCGCCTGGTACTCTAAAATCATCAATTTAAGTTCATCTGAAGGATGGTTATTCATCAGTCTCTATTATTTTATGTGTGTGTGTGTGTGTGTGTGTATATGTCAGTCAGTCACCATATGTATGTATACGTGAAATGACTTACCAGTATATTTTTTTTAAGGTTTGAATTGTCATAGGCACTGGACAGGATACTTCTGTACTCATCCGTGACGTATTTCATCATGGCAGTTAACAGCGACATGCTTGTGATAGATAACAAGTACTCTTGGCTGACTAGACGATCGACCAGAGTAGGGATCAAGGTAGTTTCACTTTCGATGGCTTTTTGGATCGTGTTATAGCCATAGCAAGTGACACCTGTATTTTCATTGTTTGCAGAAATCAATTTCAGCAAGATGGCAATAGCAGGTCTAGCAATGGTCGCTAGTTGTTCATTCACTGCCACATGAGCTACCCTTGCCACAAACTCATCATCTAGATTCTCCCAGCCTGAATTATGTTCCATGAGTGACAAGAAGGAATTCAAGGCATACGCGAGCGTGTTGCCTGTTGAGTTTTTGATGATATCACAGAGGGACTCTAGTCCGCCTCTTTCTAAAAACTCGGTGGCGAATTCCTTTTCCTGATTACAAAAAGAAAGGGGTTTCTTTAGCTAATGGCTATAAAATGACATGTGTTTATTACTTTCAGATATCCTTGCAGGGAAAAGGTGGCGAGTTTCAAAGACTTGTCATCTTTGGCTGACATGACATGGTTGGAATTCTCAGAGAGGCTGAATCCAGAAGAAAGTCTCTTCACTGCTTCTTGTGCTGAAGGTCTTGAGTCCATATCGTAAGACATTTTAGTACAGAAAAACGAAAAAAAAAAAAAATTAATTTCGAACAAATTGAAACGAGGACGATTATTTTAAAAATAAGCTTTTACAGCCACGTGATTCCCCCGAAATAGTGTCTGTGGGGTAACACACTGTCCTTTTCTAAATGTAATTTATCACAATAAGCTTTTTATTTAATATGCATTTCTTTTTATCCAATTGTTTAATAAACCATTTGTCATAGCCACCATCACCATGCAAAAAGTCTTTACGTAACTATATTAAAATCACGTGTGTGCTCGGTGTTTGTATTCTTTTTTTTTTTTTCTTCCTTTTAAAAAAATTATCTTGATTTTTTATATTTTTTTTTTCTAGATATCTCTTTTGAACACATTATAACAGTAGGGGCAATGACAACGATTCTGCTTGATTCCGAATATTCTGATGAGCTCACACACATGAATGAAGACTCGTTTTATGAGTATGAGGGGTTTGGAATGGATGATCTTTATCCTAATCAAGTCAAGCTGAATAGTGAGCAAGATTTAGAGAGTTGTCGAGCGTCTGATTCTAGTGAGGAAGAAGAGTATGATTACAAGCCGAATGCACCACCCCCGTCACCACAAGACACTTCCATGTTGGACATGTTCTTTTCACAGAAGCTGGCTTCTTCACTAGAGTGTCTAGTGAAGAAGGAGCCCTTTGACCATGCACAATTGCTACGCAGAACCATGAATCAACCCCAGGGAAGAGGAATCTGTAAGAGGAATCTGAAGCGATCGTCATATACCTTGCAAACAAACTCACTGCCGTGGTCAACTTCAAGATCCCACAAGACATACTCGATGGTTGACCAAGCTGAAAAATTAAAAAAGGCCCTTCAAAAGCATTTAATGGATGAAGAAACCTCTGTCATGATTGATGAACTCAAAGATATGGGTTTATAAAAAAAATTCACTCTCACTTTTTTTTTTATTTAAAAAAAAAATACCCTTCTTTTTTAATAAAAGGTTTTTCCTTTTCTGTACATACACCCGCAAAGCTCTTTTTATATGTGTATATATATATATAATCTAATTGAACAGCAGATCAAGGAACACACTTTAATTCGAAACAAGCAGATATTACAATGTACTCATTCACGAGTTATAAAAAGAAAAATCAGCTGCTGTTTAGTCCACTCAACTGAGGGAAACACATGCTTTTTTATTTTTAAAATTATCTTCTTTTACGACAACATTCGGTAAAGATATCAAAGAGCAAGGCCACAATATAGCCTATAAATGCAACCCAACCAAAAAAGAGGCTGACATCGTAAAACTGACAAAATTTGCTTCCATCCGTGCAGCGAAACATGACGACCTCTACAATGACACCCACGCCCCACATGGCAACCATGAAAAAATCAATCAAAAATAAGGCAGGTCTGTTGATTTGGGATTTTTTAGCCACTCGTCTGTAAAAGTAATGAAGTACGAGAAAACACGACCAAAGAATCGATAAGGCAGCCTATTTTTAAAGAGTTAGAAATATCTTTTTCATGTGTGTGTGTTATGCAAAGAAACTCACCACTGCGAATAGATAGTAGAAGCACCCAGACGAGTAAAATGGGACTTGCTGTCCAGAAAACTAAATACATGAAAAGTCAGTTACTTTTTTTCTTCTTGAATTCGATATAAAAATAGGTTACAGGTCTGGCACCAGCAGCAAAACCTAGATGACCCACGCTCGCCCACAATAAAATAAATCGAATCCAGAAAAGACCTTGATGAGGCGGCTGGTATGTTTCTCCATTCCATGGCTTTGGGCCCACACTAGGTTTTGCATTTTCGTGCGTAGCCACAGGTGTATACTGATGCTCTTGATTGGCATAAGGAGTGCCAGTGAATTTGTAAGCACTCTGCTGCTGCGGCTGCGGCTGCGGTTGCTGGTGGAGAGGTGGTGCATCTGTAGTGTGAATGGGTTCAGGCATGGGTGCTGTGTATTCTGTCTTGTTGGACTCTTCCCATGCATTATTGTAACCTGTTGAACTCATGGGAGGTAGATCATTTTCGTACGCATTTCCAAAACGAGGTCCTTGTGATTGATTATGTTGAGCAAATGGATTTGACATTGTGTAACATTTATGGAAAAAAAGAATAAGAACAAGATGAAATTATATATATTTAAAAAAAAAGAGAGAAAGGGTTTTAAACTTGTCACATTGCTCCGATGACATACAACTGACACTCTATTTGGAACATTTTTTATTTTTATTTTATCATTGTTTCTTCTTTAATCTATATTTTTTTTTAAATATATATATAAAATGGTGGTAAACGCATTTGTACTACAAAAAAAGTATCCCGCCTTTCAAGTCAATGATATCAATGGCTTAATCGACAAATTCCAGTAAAATCAGAATCCTATTGTTTGTTTACTTTTTTTTTTTTGACATTTTATTTTATCATTAGAGAATGTGATCTTGATGCAGACGGTTTATTGGATGGAAGAGAAATCCAACAAGCCTGTAAAGATACTGGTTACAGTGACAATTACGATGAAATTCGTGCTAATCTAAAACAAGTCGCCTCTAGTGCCACTGGTAAAATTGATGTCGAAGAATTCATTGATGTAAGCGTTTTGCATATAAAAAAAAAAAAAAAAAACGGAGTTTTAATTTGTGGAACCAAACCAGCTTGCCAACAGGCTGAAAGAGGGTCGAAATAAAGACGCTTTCAACGTACACCAACATAAAATACAAGTCCATGGCTCAAAAGGCGATGCCACACATACAATCAATGAAGATGAGCGCACTGAATTTACGCGTCATATCAATGATACCATGTCAATGGATCCAGACGTAGGTTATCGCTTACCGATCCCCACCAACACCATGCAATTGTTTGATGAGTGTAGAGATGGTTTAATTCTTTGTAAACTCATTAATGATGCCGTACCAGATACCATTGATGAACGTGTGCTCAATGTCAAGAAAAAGATGAATAACTTTCAAATGGTGGAGAATAACAACATTGTTATTAACTCTGCAAAAGCCATTGGTTGTTCCGTTGTCAATATTGGTCCTGAAGATATCATTGAAGCCAATGAATACTTGATCTTGGGACTAATTTGGCAAATTATTAAACGCGGTCTTTTAAACAAGATTACAATTCAACAGCATCCAGAACTCTATCGTTTATTGGAGCAAGACGAGACTTTGGAAGGCTTTTTAAAGCTACCACCCGATGTCATCTTACTACGATGGTTTAATTATCACCTCAAGGCAGCCAACTGGGGACGTACCGTCAATAATTTCAGCCAGGACATTGCTGATGGAGAAAATTACACTGTCCTGCTTAACCAAATCAAGCCTGAATACTGCTCAAGAGATCCCTTGCAAGAACCCGATTTGATGAAAAGAGCTGAAATGGTCCTTTCTAACGCAGAGAAAATTGGTTGTCGTAAATATCTGACACCTAAGGCCATGGTGTCTGGTAACCCCAAATTGAATTTAGCCTTTGTGGCTCATTTGTTTAATACACATCCCGGTCTGGATCCATTAACAGAGGAAGAGGCGCCCGAGATTGAACCCTTTGATGCCGAGGGTGAACGTGAAGCACGTATGTTCACACTCTGGTTGAACAGTCTCAACGTAGAGCCCGGTGTCTATGACCTGTTTGAGGATCTTAAAGATGGCCTAATTCTTTTACAAGCCTTTGATAAAGTTGTGCCAGGTATCGTTCAATGGCGTATGGTCAGTAAAAAGCAGCCCCTTTCTCGATTCAAGCAATTGGAAAACTGTAATTATGCAGTACATCTGGGACAAGATAATGGGTTTTCGTTGGTAGGTATTCAAGGCTCGGATATCGTGGATGAGGTAAAGACCTTGACCTTGGCTTTGGTTTGGCAATTGATGCGGGAAAACATTGTTCGTACTTTGCAATCACTCAGTGAAGGTGGTCGAGCTGTCACAGACATGGATATGGTCAAATGGGCCAATGAAATGGCTCAGAGAGGTGGTAAGCAGACAAAGATGTCGTCCTTTAGAGATCCTTCGCTTCGTTCAGGTGTCTTTTTCTTGGACGTCTTAAATGGTATGAAACCTGGCATTGTCGATGCTGCTCATGCTACAGCTGGCAACACAGGTAAGAATAGAACATACATTTTATATTCTGTAGTATACTCATTCTTCCGCACATAAAATAGATGAGGATGCGTTTAATAATGCTCGTTTGGCTATATCCATTGCGCGTAAATTGGGTGCTACAATTTTCCTTGTTCCAGAAGATATTGTTGAAGTTCGAGCCAAAATGGTAAATATTTACAAAATAAATACCCCATCCATGATATACTATCCATGATATACTAAAAGAATTCTTTGTAGAATCTCACCTTTGTAGGAAGTTTAATGGTTGTGGAGCGACAAATGAAACGCAATGCATAATTTAATTACAATTAAAACGGAGTAGTTCTAATTGAATAAATACAGAGGGAAAACAAAGCTTTATTATTATTATCATTGTTGTTGTTATTGTTGTGTGGATGGTGGCGGGTGGGAATATCTCAGATGGCTCACAAAGCTTTCTTTGGATTTGTATGTACATTGGCAAGATGTACAGTGATTGTCGGGATTGTCTGGATCAGGCACAATGTCCAAAGGAGCTTTGCGGGTCCTCATAGTAAAGCCTTTTACAGGTCTGGAATAAATATTGTGTATCATGCGCAAGTGGTGTTGATATTGTAACCTTGTGTCATAAGTACGACAACAAGTGGCGCAATACAAATTAGGGTCATGTAAATTAGGAATATCTATCTGTTGTTGTCTCTGAATGAATTGATCCAAATCATTTTGAGTACGGGGTCGTTTATAGGGTTCTACGTCTATGCCATAGCTGTAATGGAGATGTTGAAGGAAAGCATGACGGCTTACAAAGGTCTTACCACATGCATCACAGTGATTCTTTTCGTTAAATACATCCGGCTTAGTATTTTCATGTACTGATACAATGTGACTATAGACTGTGATATTATGTTTAAGAAAGAGATGGCTGCGGTAAAGTGGGCGCGAGTCAAAGCACAAGCAGCATGGTTTACAGTGATTGTCTGGGTCCATTACATTGGGTGGTACATCAGAGTAGTCTGGGAAGGAAGGGCCTTGGATTTTGTGATCATGTTTTAAATGGGACACAAATCGAATTTTGCTCTCGTAATGTATTTGGCAGGTCTCGCAGTAGAAATCTGGGCCTTCAAGACAAGGTAGAAATCTTTTGAGGTTGATGTTAAGGTCCATATGATGGTATCTTATCCAGTGCTTATCCATTTTGTAAGTTGGTATATTGGATAAACATAATGTACATGGGGCTTCGGGCTTGCCTGCTTTTACGAATAAAAACTTTAATTACCCCTCAACTCAATACATGTGTGAAGAATAGATCGTTACCAATTTTCCATTGACGCATTGTCATTTGTGTCTGTTTCGAATTGGCAGACACTTTTTCTGATTTGGACCTGTTAGTTGATCTTTTTTTTGATTTTGGGATGGGAGGCATAGTTGTGGAATGATAAATTAGAATTAGAAAAGAAAGGGACAACAAGCTACTGCCAACTTTCACGATTTTTTATTTTTTTTATTTTAGACAGATGTCGTTGTCACGTGAACTTTTCAAATGTCCTACGCTACACGCCTCTGTCTAAACTCTATATTTTTACATTCGTTTGCTAAAGGCTATTTTCATTAGTAAACTCGAAGGGGTTTAAAATTAATAGCCATAATTTTGGGCAGCATCTTCGAGTGGCATGTCTGCATCTTTCCACAACCATGTTTTAGGATTATCGATAGTTGTAAGAAAATTATGGCTTAAGGCGGCTAATTTTTTTATAACTGGTGAATTCTATGAAGTACCGCTTTACCAATCGTATTATCTCGAAGTCAATCGGGGCCACAATTAGTAATTCGGCTAATGATACACCTTTTACGAAAAGAAATGGCAAACATATTGATTTTTTGGCACATAACCTTGGGGATACTTGCAGATGGTTCTACTATAAGTAAAGGCTCAAACACATGGATGATTAAACGCTTTTCTTAAGGACAGCCAAATTTTGCTCAGGGACAGTCAAAGTGCACGTAGTCATAACGTAAAATCCGTGTTTCGGCCGTCCTTCTGATCTGGAAACAAGAATAATAGTTACAAATAAATGTATATTGCACAATTCACACCTCCAATTCGATCGTTACTCTTTTGACCTTGAGCTTGTTTAATTTTAATATTACGCAAAAACATAAAGATAAAGTTCAATCGAGAAGTGAAAAGAAAGCTATAATATCACACGCATACACAGGTTTACCATATGTAAATTGTGATAAATTTGCATCTAGTTTAAGACGACAAGTTGTATTAACCACTTGGTGTCAGTCAAGACATCATAATCCTATATTACGACTAAGCGCGCCCGGACTGTCCCTAAGAATAATTGTTTGTCTACAAGAGACCCGTTTTCTGATTTCGAGTGTGAAACAATTGCGCAAGGAGCTGGCTAAAAAGCCTGACGACACAGTGTAGGGAACCACCAACTCTGGCGTAGCCGAGCGAGTCCAATATTGTTTCAGCCCAATAAAACGCAACGATATCAATTGGCCACGATAGAGATTGATATATTGCTAGAATTGTAGAGATGTAGTAAATCAATTCATGTTGATGTCTATAGGTATGTGAATAGCAGGCGAATTGATATTTAATTATTATGCGATCTGCACCTACTTTCTTGATGGACCCTTGTTTTAACAGCTATAACTCCTGTGAGACGATTCAAAAACTGAACGGTCTGAAGGTATTCCTACATCTTTTTTATCTTTAGGTTATACCAAAGACAATGAAGCTTTCTGGTGGATTTACAAAGTACTGTGAACGTGATTGGGTAAAAGCCAACTTGTAGGAAATGTGTGACCGCGGTCTCGAACGTCATATTTTTTTCCAAGCTTTGTCTGTTCATTTTATTATTTTTCGATAGAAAGCAATTTTAAAAAAAAGATGTCTAGATCCCCTGAAAGAATGAATATTGATGATGGTATAGTATGAATGAAGCAAACTTGTTTTAACGCGAAAAAATAAGTTTCTTAAACAGCATTACAGATGTCCAGATTAGAGGAAGAGGATCAAACACTGACAGTACGTTATGGAAGACAAGTAGAGAACTTTCCGTCTAAATTTTTTTTCTCTCTTCTTTTAGTCACATCGCGACTTGGTAACAGGGTAGATACAAAGCAACAAGAGATTGAACCTGTTCGCTGTAAGTAAGCTGATTCGAACATTATCGAAACACCCAATTGACACAAACGTAAAATAGCTATTGAAGGTTGGATCATCATCGTTCGCGGTCTTCATGAGGAAACCGATGAAGAGTCTTTAGGAGAAAGATTTATGGAATACGGAACGATTAAGAACATTCATTTGAATTTGGACAGACATACTGGTTATGTCAAGGTATGCATCTATTAGGAGGAGAAAGGATGGTGAGTCGCTTATGCTAAATATGTGTTTTATAGGGTTATGCTTTAATCGAATATGAGGCACGTAAAGAAGCCGAACAAGCCATTGAGCAAGCTAATGATACACAATATCTCGGACAAACTATTAAAGTAGATTATGCTTTCGTTAAAGGTCCTGTCAGCAATGGCAATGATCGTGATAGACGTGATCGTAGAAGAGATAGAAGTTTAAGTCCTGCAAGAGACTAATTCGGGATGGATTAAATAAATGGGATTCGAAAGAAACTCCCCGACATACACATGAATAAAAGTACCAGCGTTTTAAACAGAAAAACAGGTTACAATTATTATTGATACGAGGCCGAGAATGACATTTGAAGTATTGATCTGTTGCTTTTCATTTTGATCACATATAACTTTTAGACTTGGGATTCAGCACAGTGACATAGAAAAAAAAATGGGTTTCGAACTTATTTTATCATCTTTTTGAAGGACGCAAATATTATGCAAATCTGTATTTGAGCCTATGAAAGAAGGGGAAAACAATGATGTATCGTTGATTTTAAATAGTTCACATTAATGTTTGCTTTATCTGGTAGACCCTAATGGAATCACTATTTACAAAATAACATTAAGGCCATATTTGATATATCAGGTATCGCGGTAGTAATTAACTTTCGGAGTTCTATTATGTACCCGATTTTGCGATAACATTGATTTATGGTGGTAAATATCCTGATGGCCGACAATGTAAAATTCAGTTGGTAAAAATAGGGTTAAACCTTACACTTTTATCAGATCAGACATTAAGGTCGCACCAACTAAAGTTGGTAACACTTGACTTGGCATAGCGAAGCATAAGTAAAACTTATGAAATATCTGAAGCTCACATAAATTTTGATGGGGCAGTCTTTTGTAATGAATGGAAAGGTACATGTTCTGCAGACGTTCAGTCGTATAGTGTAAATAATTGACTATGTATGTAGCAAATGTTAATATGATCGTGTTTAGAATCCTAAAATTACTATCGTGGGGAACTCAATAATCTGATGATATAGTTAAAGTAATGGATATTCAATATTTGAACATCAAACCATATGTATGCATCAGCTTATCTATGATGATTGTATCGAAACCGAAAATTCAAGTGAATTCATTTACTCAGATCATTAACTAGATATTGTTTACAGCATTTTTTTTTAAAAAAGATAATCGAAGTCTCATAAGATTATTTAAGTACACTAGACAACAATAACAAACATAAATCAAAGTAAAACTTATGCGACCCATTTATCAGTATGTAAGCAAAAATAGAATATGTAAACTTGTTTATTCTAGAATTAAGAATTTGCGAAACGTTTTTGTGGTAGTGTCAATATTTGGTACATCAGATAAACAATTCTACGGGTTAAATGTAAAACGTACTAATGTCAATAACACAGTATAAACATGATATGAATAAAATTTAACAGCCATACATATTTTCTTTCTTACTATCACATGTATACCCGTCTTTTCAAAGATCAAATTTATAGCCAGATATCTTTTATTATTATACGCCCCCACAAATATACATCTACTACTAATAAAATACAAAAACCATTCGAATTCTATTGACATCATATTAGCATGTACGCAAAAACTATACCAGCGATTACTTTTTATTTAACTTCATCTCATCCTAATATCACATTTAACTCAGGCTAACACGAAGATATAGAAGCTCGTGGGATACGAAAATTTATCCTACTAATTTACATATGTATTCTTCCCACAAAAGTGTGCTGGAGTAAACATGTCAAGTATGGCTGGAAGGAAATCGAACCTTCGAAAGTATTACGCCTTTTATAAACACAGAAGATACAAAGGGTAATCGTAGTCATTCCAGGCAAGACTACCTGTATTAAGAAGAATGGCAGATCATACAGCTAATCATTCAATCTAGATATATGCGTTACACAGAGACATTTCTTTCTGTTGCGAAATTTAAAAGTCATAGTATTTGGAAATGTATAGATGTATTTTAGCCCCATGAATTATGGGCCCCTTGTTGTATCTGTATAATTAAGTGTAGTACTTTATCTCAACTGTGTTTTTTAACAGAATGTATTTAGTTAGATCTTTTTTTTTTTTCTGTTTGAAAATCCAAAGGCTGCTATATGTCCTATGTAAGATAGACGCTATTTTTAGATTTTTTTTTTTTTTTTTTTTTGTTAATCAGAAAAAGCTTGGTATGCTTCTGGAACAGAGACTCCAAGAGTTTTAATTGAAAAAACGCATCTTTAACCAAACTTAATTGTTCCCAAGGTCATTTTCGAAAGTTTATTTTGAATTTTACACTCCACTCTTGTGGGCATGCATGCACCTTCAACAAAAAGAAAGATTGTTTATTCTAATTCAAGAAAAGTGCAAATAGAGATTAACAGAAAAGTTTGAAGCGCTTGAATTGAAAAAAAAAGCTGTATTGTAGCTAGTGTATTTGTCATCGAAGAGATTTTTAAAAAAAAAAATTAAAGAGGAGAAAAGTGCATGTTTCCTACTCTTTTTTTGTGTAGCACATATATGAACTTTAAATGACATTACGAAATAATTCCAAACCCAAGTTTAGCGAGGGTCGGCAATCAATGCTAGGGTAGGACGGAAAAAGTATGGAGTTAAGATGCATAAGACAAAAAAGGGACATACATCAGCAAGGGGCTTTTTGCAATTAGATCAACATGTGTAAGAAACAGATAATAGATAAGACAAATAAATGAACACCGCCCGGTGGATGAAATGGGTACAAACAAACGAAGAAGATAGATTTTTTTAATTTTAAATTACAGTTGGCAACTTTTTCAACGGGTGTTTGCTATTTTTATGTTTCGAGCACCACCGTAAAATTAAATCACCAGAAAAAGGTTCTAGGTAATTCTTTTATGTAACCACTTAAAATGAATCCGGTTACTCTTTTGCCACGTTACATATGACACAAAGCATCATCGCGTCGTGCACCTTGTTTTTATTTATGTGAGGAATTTATTTCTAAATCCCATAGAAACCAAAAAAATGAACGGGCGCAGAAGAAGATTTTTAGTTAGCTGGCTCATAATTGTGGTAATGAAAAAAGAACCTTTTACAAAGTTAACTAACTAAATGAAGAGGGTGTCATACATTGGCATTTACTGTGTTTACCTTATTGGCTTCTTTAAAAAACTGTTACCGAGGCGAAGTTCATTAATAAAAAGTAATTATTCTGCATGTGTTGGGGTGAATATTGAATGGGGGTAATGCTTTGGTTTGGTGATTGTAACTTATCATGGTCGCGGGAGAAATGTTGCATAGTGAGTTTGAAATAACGAAGCTTTGGATTTAAAAAACATAATGTTCTAACATCCAATGAATTGAACTCAGACTTTGGATCGACTTTGTCAGTGTCACGGTCATACCGAACCTCTGTAAAACGCCAAATCTCATGTCGCCTAATGAAAACTTTTTAAAAAAAAGTATGAAAATAGGTATTTGATTCTCTCATGGTCAGGTACGACGAGACTAAATAAACTTTTTTTTTTTAGTATTTCAATTGCGAGACGTACCCTTCTTACCTATTGGCTTTTTCTTTTTCTATCCCAACAAAAAAAATCTTTAATTTTTACTCAGCTTTACTTGTTAAGCAAATACATACAACACTATATTCACTATATTATCAGTTCTACACCCTAAATGAGTGCACCTGATTTTCATTCACTAAGTCGTAGGTGTGTCCATGGCATTTGTCATTGTGATTGGAGACTGACGTTACAAGATTGTGTCGAAAGTCGAGTCATGACTATTATTCATGGGATAAATGTTGGCATTTCTGGTATAACTGTCATTATCGGTATGTAATGTCATTTTTTTCTCGGCCGTACACAGTTCTCATAAGACTATTCTTGTTGTAGGTATTATACTTTTAAGTCACCGTGTCATTATAAAAGGACATAGGCTGTTTGATAGAAGTTTATCAAAGGGCTGCTTTCGACCTAAGCCAATTGATTGCATGTTATTATTTATCATCCTTTTTAATTTATGTAAGTCATAAAAATCCCAATAATCTGGCTTATGTGTCACCGTGTACTAATTATACATTTTTATTAAATAGTGAGATTAATATCAAGTACAATTCTGATAACTGACATTTGTCCAGATATGATTTCTCGCTCGTGTAATATATAAATATCAAGAAATTTAATTTTTCATGTGTTAATGATTTTTTTTTCTTATCATTAGTCATTTATGAATTTCCGTGGCAATTCGGTCTTGGTGCCTTTGCTTTATACTTAATTGGTATTGCACAGACTTTAGCAGATGTAAGTTTCTATCTCGTTCGGACTTTATGTACCGCACATGTTGACACAGATTTTATATAGAGTCATCGAGTGCTTGCTAATAGTTGGTTGCCATCTCCCAAAGTAGTGGATTTCATTGGTTGTACCATCTTTTTTTCACCCTTCATTATCAACAATGCCATGTCTCTGTCGGCCGGTATTCTAGCAGAAACAAATTTACCTTTGGCAGAGACATTTACAAGATTATTATACATTTTTTGGTTTATTCATTGCTTCAGTCTTGCCGTTGCAGTTTTCTTTGCCGCTTATCGTTTAACCCGTATTCTCGGAGAACATTTGAAGAAATTCAATACAACCGGTCCTCGCTATATTTCTGTAAAAACCGGTATCTTCAAAATCCGTGCAGTCATGACTATCATTACAATTTGTTTGTTAATGTTTGCCGTCTTCTTATTGGCCTACGGTGTTCTTCGTGACATGATTATTGTGAATGAATTAGGATCTGTTGTTTTGGGCGGTATGTGGACATATTTAGGTGCCGTTTCTACTCTTGGTGTAGAAATCGCCATTATTTTCAAGTAATTATATTAGGAAAGAGAAAGCCTTGCGTATATTTACTAACTTTTCTTCTTTGATTAGCCCTAAAGTAGATGATACCGGTGGACTTGGAATCAGATCAACGGGAGATGAGGATAAGTCAAACCCAGCTCAATTTGTTACGTACTCCAACTTCTCTACACAAGAGTATTCAGTAACTAACAGCAACCCCAATGCGGCACAAGGCACTTTAAGTCATAATGCTTTTGATGAACTTAAACTGCAGCAACTCCAATACCAAAAGGTCTTCCAGAAACACAATCAGCATCAGTTACCTCACAAAAACAATATGGCTGATATATCCACGGCTGAATCAAGACAACTTAAACTATCGCCTGCGGGAATACCAATGGAAGATGATGAATACTACCCCAATCAAAATAATGACAGCGAGGTTAAAATGCATCCTTTTCCTTTGAATCATCATCAATCCCACCATCTTGATGATGATCGTATTTTAGACGATGGTGAATCCTCTCAAATGGATCTCGTAGAATATGCATCAAAGAATTAGCTTATACGCTTTCTATATCTCTGATGTAAACCCCCCTTCTTTTAATTGTACTATATTCAACCTATCTTAATTTTTTTCTCTCTCTCACCATGCGGACTACCAAACCGCCTATTTATCCCCAATTTATTCTTATGTATTAAAGCGATCTTGACTTCTAAATTTTTAGTAGCAAGGAACACAAATAAACTTCACGTAACGTTGCTTATTCAAACTTTTAAAATGCCGTACGCCTCGCTTAATTAATATTACCGAAATCAAACTCTATATGTATTTTTGAAAAGGCGAATTAGCCCGAGACCTTTAAGCTGTTGTAGACGCACGTACCAAAAATAAAAATAAAAGTGGGCCGTGTGAATGTAAAGAGTGGTATAGTTACATTTGTATGAAACTTTTTTTTTTGATCGGGGAACTCATGTGTGTAATGATTTGGTTTTTTCCCGTTTCTTGATCTGTCTGAATTAAGGTATCTCGAGAGCACCAATGAAAAGACATGCGTAACATAAATTTTTTACCCATCAGATGCATAAACTGAAAAAGTATTTTTTTTAATTTTTGTATTTAAACGGGTCAATAAATTCAAAAACGTAGCAACAGGTATATTTTTTTATAGAAGCTGATAACTTTTGTTGGCTATCATAGAAAGTTTGAGCTGTGTAAAATATATACTTCGTATAAAATAAAAATAAACTGCTGATAGTTTACAATTTTCTGCATCACATTTGACACTGAGTGTATTCACTTTAAGGTTGGAATACCGATCATATTATTGTTAAAGTACTCCCACTACTGCTACTTTGTTTATGTTTTCTGTATGGGTTGTAGAGACACCTTTAGTGTATTTTAAGTATTTATATTGAATAGATTTATACAATATGTTACCGAATGTTTTTTGTTGGAAAATTACCAGCATAAAGTATCGTTCTAAGAGCAAGATAGTGTAGTATCTGTTAATAGATATTACACATTGTTCAATCTGTAGTTTAGACTTTATTGTTAATGGTTTAGTTACATTTATTTTCGGTATGTGCTACATGATGTCAGATGCACGACTAATCCAGTACCAAAGTTTATCTAACATTAAAACCAAATTTACGGGATTGTACAGCACGTCCTTTATGCAGATATTATCTAGTCAAATTAAAGACGCATGCGGGATCTGTAAAACCCCAGAGTTCTTACAAGGAAAAAAAAATAAAGAGTAAAAACCTTGTTTTTGGTCAAGACTTGACACTTTTTGCTTGATAAATTGAACGTCGTCCATGTCTAAACAGCTGTCAACCTTTTGCACGTCAGGGGCACTTTCTAGAAAAATAATAATCCGAGGACTGCTTTTTTGTTTCTTTTTGGGGGAAAAATCAAAAGGCATCAATTTGGCGCCTTTGTGACGCACTCACGCACACAGCAGAAAGATAGAAAAAAAAAAGATCAGAGCCTTTGAACTTTTTTTACATAGAAACTAGGTTCCTTTTTCTTATTATATCCTGTCAGATACGCAGTTATTAAATGAATCTTTGAATAGACCTTATGCTCACCGACTCAAGTTTAACAAATATACTCGTTGTGGTAAACAGATATATAAAAAAAAAGTTGACACGATTGAGAAAGGTTATCTGATTGCAATCTAATTCTTGTTGTAGAGTGGCGTATCGCAAATACGCTATAGAGTGTATAACCAACACTGTAATAGAGAAAATCTTGTAAAATATTTGAAATGTGCACCCAACTATGATGCCTCCAACGATATTTTGATGAGAGCATATACGAACTTGATATCAGCCAATATACCGGCCTTATGGCGAGTCGTTTCCGAGTCAACAGAACCGGGAAAAGAAATAACATTAGAATTATGGGTGTTTTGGTTTGATGAGAGACACACTGGAAAAATTGACGCGAACGATGACTTGTATGCTTTAGATGGTAAGAAGTGTAAAAGAGTAAACAAAACAAATCATAAAAATAAGGGGAGGGGAGCGAAAAAAAAAAAGTTGGGTGAAATTAACAAATAGCCAAATTACAGAAACCAAAGTTGGATCGTTTACATGGGAAAATGCGTACAGCAAGATTCAATCCCCAACAGCTTCCCCTATTGCTTCTTCAGCTCAATCAAATTCTAGTACACCTGTAACAGTTTCTGATGAATATAGAATGTTTGTAAAATCCATTCGAAATCTTGTGCATGTGTAAGTCATTTCGAGTTTTTTTTATTTCAAAAAGAAAAGGGGAGAGTCGATATTAAAAACGTTTTGATTCCTGTGTTATAGACAAATGAAGGGAAAAGGCGCATTTCCTTTGGGCGAATTTTATATATTCCCAAATAGTGATCAGGATGTTATTGGAGAGGACAAAACTAGCCAGTCCAATTTATTAAATATGGCCACTTCTTTGCTTTGTTGTTCTTACAATATTTATTTGGCTAGCACCAACCTGATCTTTCAGCCCAGCACACGTCGGATGAGAATCAGGCCGATTACACTCCAAACTATCCGTAACCGAGGAAAGAAAGGTAATGCATTATATAAATTTAAAAAAGTCAAAAAATCATGTAACTGAAATTTGTATTTTAGTGATCATCAGTCCATCGGGTGAAACGGTTTATATTGCCACCAACAATTATTCTTTACCTCAACAAATGGAAGAAAACATATTAAAGAAATGGTCGTTATTATTAGATATACCCTATACCAACCTAATTCAACCTACACAGCGAGACAAGCAACAAAAGAAACAGAATGAACCCTCTCAAGAAAAGTCCATACCGAATTTAGTGGCAATAAAGATTTCGGCCTTAGACGAGACATTTTTATATCCAGCACGTTTAATCTTTATATCCTCCTCATCCAAACTATCACCGACCGCCATGGCCGGAGTCAACGGGTTATTTGGATTTAATCAAGGATTTACCGAGGATTTGGGAGATAAATGGCATCGTTGGGCATGGAGCGAAAAGATTTCAAATTATTGGGAGTATGCGTGTCCCAGGGACACAACCACCACGACCGTACTCGATACCTTGTCTCAAGAGAATAACAGCAACAGCATGATCAATTTGCTACAAAAGGCAATTAATGAACCTGTCATCGCCAGTCCCTTGATGGCAACCAAATCGGTTGCTACGCCAGGTTCTGCTACCTGTCAACGAAACGATACGAATATCAGCATGACACCTACATCCTCCGTAAACGAGGATGACGATCCCATGACGCAATCGTATCAACAACCGCAACATCAGTTACAGCAGAGGTCAAAGGCAAGATACCAGTCTGGATTATCGCTTGTGGATTTCGCCATGACCCATTTTGCGATGCCGAATAGTAATATGGACGATTTTCCTGAATATCCCGAGTTAATGCACGATAATACAACGAACACACCTACACTGCAGCACCCTACCATTAAAATGAATGAAAATGGACAACAAAACCAAAAAATGAACCATGCATTAATAAATTCAAATAGTATTCATGTAAATAAGAGCATGCTAAATATTTCCAATGATAATGCCATGACCAGTGCCTCGAATACAGCAAGTAACTCCACGTACCAGTCACCACAGATCCCTAATCTTGAATTGGAGGCCTTTGGGATCGTAGAGAATATGGATGTCGATAATATGGTACTGGATATACCCAATCAATGGGCGGGGGACGGTATGGACGACCTGGATAGTTTTGATTTCGGAGTAACGGAAGAAGATTTTGACTTTTTTGAGTCTGGACCAGCACCTGCGCCCGCCGCACCACCTGCACATTTAACGGCTGTAGAACCAGAGCATACGTTTGCAGAGAACGATTTGATGCTAAATAATTTGATCAAGCAAGAAGCACCCTTTGATAATTTCGAGACGAAACAGCTTGCTAGCTTGAATGAAAAACAACAACAACATATTTTGGACACGGATATGGATGAATCGCATGATTCATCTGTGACACCGCTGGAAGTGGGTTTGGCAACGCAGCATGATCATTTTAGTTTTGAACAACAAGAACATGTGGCGAGTTTACAGAAGCAACATGAACATCATCAAATGTTTGTCCCACCTCAATTTGCACCAGTGAAAATGGAGTTTGCAGTCAATGATGCTAAATACATTAATGGGGGTAAATTTACGTATACACCGGACACACCCAAAACAAAGAGAAGAGGCAGCGATTATCAACCAGACTATATTCCATTGGTGCGTAAAAAGAAGTCGGAAAGAAGAAAATCGTCCAAGTTGTTACAGGACACGATCCAGAACGACAATAAGTCGCTGTCGATTATTGAGGATGCGCATGCTTCCACACACAGTTTATCTTCGACGTCGGTGAGCAGTACGGAAGAGAGTTCGACGGAAGACGAGGAGTATTCTGAAAATGAAAGCGAGGATGAAGCGAGTCGAGTGACGCGTACGTTCAAGGCATTGTGTCGTGCACAAAACAAGTTTGTGGCCAAATTGACGAGTTTATCACCATCGATATCATTGAAAAAGAAGCTTTCGTTGGAAAAGATGGTGATGGATTATGACAGCCCTTTTGCGCGTACGATTGCCAGTAGTGTGATACGACTGGACCCGAAAAAATATCAGGATTTATACGCCAATGAAGATTTTCAAGCGTTGGATTTTCTGTGCCAGCAAGTGGTGATGGGCGGATATCCATTTTCGGGCGGGATCGAGTCCATGTCGTCGAACGGATTTGAGGCCAATGAAGGCGAATCGGCCAAAGTGGTTGTTGCAAGAAGAAGAAACTTATTACAAAAGTTTAATGGAGGTATAAGATTTGAAAAATGTTTGTATCTTCTTATTTGGTATTTATATATTATTATTATTATTGACAGATGTTGTTCATATTCCTTCAACACCCAGTGATGTGGATTATATGACACAAAATTTTAAAAATGTGTTAAGTGACATATTTTTCCAACGAAAGAGTACGGATATTAACGATATGTGCTTGGATCAATTACCTTTACCTGCATCAGTTACTGTAAAAGGACCGTTAAATGTGCAACAATATTACGATTTATCTGGTACGTGACAAAAAAAAAAAGAAAAGATATTTTGTATCAATGGTCTGATTATGTAATTTTTTTTTTTTTTTTTTTTTTTTTTTTTTTTTAAAAAAAAAACAGAAACAAATCAAACGCATTCGAAATATGGTAAATACCAAGTGAAAAAACGGCGTCCAGCAGAGCCAAATCTCGACACGTTACAGCCACCGAATATTACGATCAGCCGACAAGAGGACTTGATTGAAGGGTCTTCGAAATTGATCATGCTTTGGGAAAAATTACGATTGGAGCCTTATTCATGTAAAAAACACATCAATTACTTTGTGGTGTATCCCAAGAATGATACAGTGGAGAGTAACGTATCCCATTTCTTGAAAGGATTAAGTACCTTGTATGAAACATGTCAATTGGGCGTGCATCATCCGGGAAATATAAGTCATTATCGCAGAGGACTTGCTCCTGTTCCTCTACTTCGTAAGTGTTTTTTTTTTTTTGCTATATTTTAAAGGGCTTCCCATCTGACATTATTTTGTTAGCAAAATACGATGATGAATCCATGGATGATCGACAGCTACGTAGTTACATGGTAGAATGTCAAAATCTCGGGTCTGCGTTAGGAGGAGCGATGGCGGAAAATGTGCATATTGTGATCTACCTAGTTAACCCGGCCTCGCACTTGAGCTCGAATCTTGACCTGAGTCGATGTTTTAGTAAGCTGACCAACGCGTTTAATGCAGCTGCGATGGGTACACGGACTACAGAGAAAACACGAGCGCGACTTGTTTTACAATTAATGCCGATTGAACATATTTTACGGTCTACATCATTTGGTGGGTGTCTCAAATTCGGATTGAAGGAAATTGCATTTTCGGTGTACAGTAAGTGTCATGCAGTTGTGGGCAGGCACCACACGATAGCGGGCGTAGAGGATACGAGACCGATCACCGAAATGTATGCACCACCCTTTATTCTGTCCAAGCCAATGCCAACCACTATCCCTTTTCAACTCAAGAAGGCTTTGAATGCGTTTTCCACCATTTTAGAGACACCAGCGGTGTTGCACATGGGCTATTGCTTTAGTTTTGATAAACGTTGGATGATTATTGTATGGACCGATAATTGTGGTGAACTTGTAGAGTTTACGATCCTCGATAATCAACGTTATAGTCTTCCCTTGGTGAATGTATTTGAAGAAGCTTGGGCCAAAACCAAAGATATTGCTAAGCGAGCAGGATTTGCTTGGACTTTTGTCATTGCTAAAATTGGACTTGTATTTGAAGAAGAATTGCAAGCATGGATTCAATGTGTCTCGAATGAAGAAAAGGTTGCGATTGTCAGTCTTGATATGGAGTCTACATTGTATGTCAGCCCCACCTCGGATACATACATGAATGATGCGTCCGCGAATACGGCGGAAACACTTGGTACTAATACACATAATATGATGAACGCTTCAGCCTCGTCGACTGCTGCTGCCGCTGCCGCTGCTGCTACGGCTGCATCTGGCGGCGGGAGTAAGAAAATGTTTGTTGATGTAGACACATATGGATCAGGACAAACGAAGGCGTTACTGTTAAATCATCGTGTGGCCTATTCAAATAAGAGAGAGCGCGCATCTTATGGTATTCTTGACATGGATCCAATTTCGCAAATAGAAGATTGGATGATACCCTTGGCAAGTGGTTATATGATCCACACACCGCCATCTACAGAGAATCCTAATAATGAATTATTTAACTGCAATCCACTTGTGATAGAGGTAAAGTTATTTTTTTTTATAGATGGATAGAAAGTAATTTTCATTTCCAAGGCTAAACCCCCAATTTCCATGTATAGATACATTTAGTTTATAATCAAACCAACCATTCAGCTTATAGTACGCTGAGAGATATTATCAAGAAATACCATGCGTTATCCTATGTGAATGTGATGCCATCCAATAGTAATTGTTTCCCTATTCATCTTGCACTTGTGGAAAGACTTTCTCGTATATTACTTGTTGTGAATACATAATTTATCTGATTCCCTCCCGCCCTTTTTTTCACCACCTTCTCTTATATATCTTTCATTATCATTATTATTTTAACCTGTAACATGTTTCCTTTTTTTATTTTTCCCTTTTTAAACAAAAAAGATCTAACCCTTCTGCAATTCACATCACATACTTTTATATATTAACTTATTTATTTATTTCTTCTTCTTTTATTATATATATACACATCTCTACTTCTTCTTGTACAGTTTTTAAATACATGATTTTTATGAACGACAACTAATTAAAAGAAAAAGATATATTTATGAAACAAGTATGCCAAATTAGCTTAGTGTAGTTGGAATAGATCTATTAGCGTAATAAGGTAAGATAATTGTCCAAAGGGTTTTAGTTGTGTAATTCGGAAAAGGCCTTCATTTGGGTTTAGCTCAAACTAATGCAGGAGGGGAACACCCGTCTTATTATATCATACCCTTCTGCCAAGAAAACGCATGCGATATTTGGAAGATTTTAAAGTAAGTTTGATAAACCCCCCGTTTCCTGACAAAGTCACTGTTAAATCCAAGGGTATGTACGCAGTGATCACAGGTGGTATTACTTGTATGCTATCCTAAAAATGAGTGTAGTATGTCAACTGCTAATATCGTCATTGGAAGAAACAAGCTAAATGCTAGTTTCAGCAACAGTTGCTTAATTTCCACTTGAAATACATACAACAAGCTGTTATTTTACATTGGTTAAATATTAAGTGGCACTTCTATGAATTCAACACTGCACACACACACACACACACACAAATGAGTCTATTTTGTCTAATAATAGACTGATACACAGGGGCTTCTTTTTTTTCGCCAGATGATTGTTTTAGTAGATCCGAGAATTGCAAATTTTACTCAAAGGAGAACAAAACGCGTGTTATTTTGAACATATTTTTTTTTTTTTTGATGAATGCATTAACTCTACTCTCATCAATTGTGAATAAAACCATGCACGCTAATGTTCAATGAACTAGTAATATGAATGGATTATGTAATTTATCAAGTCTGAGACGGGGAGAGAATTAAAATCATGCATTTATCAGGGACGCGGGCGTTCCACATTTTAGGGAAGAAGAAGAAAAAAGTTTTATTTTTTAATTGATTGTCATCATGAGCGATCTAGATGAATCCTTCGAGGCAGATTACAATCCACCTTCTTCCGTGTTCTCTTCGCCACCGCATGAATACGAGGCTTATGCGGCAGTTTCTGGTTTTGGTGAAAGCGATGTGAATTCACTGGAAGGAAGCGAAACAGAAGAAGCGGGTGCTGACGATGCGCAATTAGAGAAGACAGCCAAGACGATCTACTTAACGCAGCATCCGGGCATTGCACAAAAGGAACTCGGTGGACGTGAGATCGGAAAGAATGAGGCGATATGGCGCGTTTCTTCCTTTCGGTCGGATTGGGGACCTGAGAACTTGCGAGATAATAATCCATGGACTTATTGGCAGTCGAATTGTCCGGATCCCAGAAAGAATCATACAATTGATGTGATATTTCATCAGGCTACACTCATTAGACAAGTGTCATTGTTTCTTGACTTTTTTCAGGATGAGAGTTATACACCAAGGACTATCTGTATTCGTTGTGGCACATCACGACGAGATCTACTCGTAACCATAAATAAAATAAAATAAAAGAAGTGGGCTTGTGCGTGGGACTAAAAGAGTGTCTAACGTGAATTTTCTTTGATAGGATTTGATGACGATTGAATGCGAGCAAGATTTTGTTGGATGGTTAAATGCGGATATTATGTCAAAAAAGTAAGTAGAGGATGGATGAATAGACAGTGAAGGTTGGATACTAAAGGGTGTGTAGTGATGGAGAACCATTTCGATTATGGTTTTTACAGATTGCGATATTGAATACACATTCAAATGGACGCGACACACATATTCGACAAATCAAGGTGTTTGCTTCTTAAAGGGCCTTTTGTTTGTTGTTTCTGTCAATTTAAAGGATGACAAGAGAGACATACAAATGACGAATAAAAACAAGATGCTACCCTAAATAAAGAGAGTGTGTGCTACTACTTATATGCGTGTTTATGACGTCCATTTTAAGCTATCTAATAATTTATATATTTCGGCTACAGATCATTGATTTGGTCCTTTTTTTTTTTTTTTTTTGTTTGCTTAAAATATGATATCCGTTATACGATCACCTAATACAAATCAAAAATTCTTATTATTGGATGCACCTACACGGGACACTCTACCTACTTATATTGACGTGTTTAAAAAAGAGAATGTGTCTGACTTAATACGAATCTGCCATCGACCCTCGGCCATCCAGAATAATGAATATGATGCGGAAGAATTAGAAAAGAGCACAGGAATTAAAGTGTCCGATGCCATCAAGTTTGAAGATGGAGGAGTTCCAAGTAATGAGGCGATTGAAAGCTGGTTAAACCTGGCTGAGAAAGCTAAAGAAAATGAGACCACTATCGGCGTTCATTGTATCGCAGGTATTGGTAGAGCACCGGTAAAAGTTAGAAGAAATAGGGGGATGTGTTACCATAAAAGTTTAATCTTCCGCTATTTTAGGTTTTAATAGCGATTTCTTTAATTGAAGGCGGAATGGATCCTTTGGTAAGTGTTGAATATTTGCTCCCTAATAAAAGACTGCTATTGTTGAGGCTTATACGTTCTTTTAAATTAGGATGCCATTGCGTATATTCGAAAATACAGGAGAGGCGCATTAAATAAAAACCAGGTTCGGTTTATAGATAAATACAAATCGAAGAAAAAGTCTAAAAAGGGAATATTGAGCTGGTGGTCTTAAGACGGAGTTTTTTTTTAACTTTTTTTTTTTTTTTTTATAAAACACAAACTTACCATTGTAAAACTTTTTCTCTCTCTCTTTTTTACTTTCTTGTCAAAAAATAATAATAAATATACATATATTGTACTCTGATGATTGAGAGTGAACTGTTTGCAAGACTCTTTGGTTACTTTAGTATAGGATGTTGGATCGTTGTATTTACACCGTAAGTCATATTTTGAAGTTTTTTTTTTTTTATTTATTTATTTAGCGTATCGGGCTGACATGATCAACATAGACAATTTTATGAAAATTATAAATTGAAAAACACAGATGGTGTATCCGTCACCTTTCTCACCTTGTGGATATTGGGAGATATATTGAATCTATTCGGAATCATCTTACAGAATCTTTTATTCACCATGGTAACACATTGATATCTTAACTTTCATTCTTCTTGTGACTCATACCGAAAAAAAAAAAAAAGTTATTACTAGCATTGTATTATTTGATGGCAGATTGTATGTTAATGGCACAAGTGTTTTATTACCGTAGACCTCACCAACCTATAGAAGAAGAAGTTCATGTGTATGAGACAGGACCAGATGAAACTACTCGGTTATTGAATCATGATGCCGCCACTGTGAGCAGGGCTAAGAATCCTAAAACGCGTGGTATCATCCGACTCTTTTTTGTCAGCAGTGTTTGCCTCTGGCTTGGATTGTTGGGTGGATCCGCCCTGTTTTTCCTTTGGCCGGGGCAGACAACGGATTGGAGTCAATGGCAGATTGTGCCACAAATGTTTGGATGGGGAAGTGCCATTCTTTATTGTTCAAGTCGTATACCCCAAATCATGCAGAATTTTAGAAATGAGAGTGTTCAAGGATTATCTCTGGTGATGTTTATATTTAGTGTAGTTGGTAACATCACATACTGTGTGGTAAGTTCAAAAATAGGATGTTTATATTTTTCTTTTTGGGGGGTTTTAAGGGCTAATTCTCTTATCTTACAGAGTATCGTATTGGAATCAACTGACCCAACTTATCTCTTGATTAATTATCCTTGGATCCTTGGAAGTGGCGGAACTCTCTTTTTTGACTTTACAGTAAGTATTTCACCATCAATTTCATTGTCCTCCCCCTTTTTTTTTTCAGTTACTGACGGCATTTCAAAAAAAAAAGATCTTTTTCCAATTTTACATGTACCGTAAGCGCACAGACGTGGAATTTAAGAACATAAATGAAGATGACTAAAAGCTAAGGGGGTTTCTTGTTTATTAATAAAATAAAATGATAAAAAGACCAACATTGATATTTGGTTTAACCGATTAAAATGACGACGTTTCATCCGCTGCAGATGATACAATTTGGGCGTTTTGTAAAGACATCGATCTGCAATAAATAAATATCATTTGACCTCTTGATCGACACTTGTTGACTTTTTTAGTCTATATAAATAAATTTCTATCTCACCTTTCTTTCTTTCTTTCTTTTCTTTTCTTTAAAAAATGAGTCAAAATAATATCACTTTACCACCTTTAAAACATGTCTTTCAAGGCTTGTTCAATAGCCAACCCCAATGTAAGTAGATTGCTTTTTTTTTTAATTGCATTCCCTCTCCCTTTATTATAAGCTAATCTCTCCTTATTAGCAAAACAACATCGCCAGCGTAGTACATCTTCTGGTGGATATCCTTCTATGGAGTCTGTAGAAGCGGCAAGATCATTACAGCAGTTGTCAAGTGTAAATCAAACATGTTGCTACCATTGTGCTCCCACCCCCATGAACACACAATTTTTTTCGGGTCATCGTCGAGCTGTGTCTGCTTCTACTGAAATGTCGAACCGTCAGTATCCTCATTCTCATCCACATCATCCAGTGATGGTTAACCAACAGATGCCTAACCAACATGTGGCTCCAATGTCATCGTTGCCAGGACAACCGCCAATGATGTATCCTAATCAACAGTTTCGACGAGCCAGAGCGCATACGACCTCAGGGTACCCACCTACCATGCTCTTTGAGCCTCACGTGTACAACAATGACAACAACAACAACAATCAACAAACAAACGATTCTCAGATGATGATGATGATGCGAGGCGATAATGTGAAGAGCACGAGTAATAGTCACCGATACCACTGTCAACATTGTCGAAAGTCATTTTCAAGACCTTCATCGTTAAGGATCCATATATATTCACATACGGGAGAGAAGCCATTTAAGTGTCATCATCAGGGATGTGGTCGTAGTTTCAGTGTGCATAGTAACATGCGACGTCATTTACGTGTACATTATTATCCTCAACAACAGCAACAACAGCAACAACACAATAGTATGCGTTTACCTATAGTGCCAACGAATAACTATGATGTGAGAAGAGATTGCTGTGTCACTACTAAATCACCTATGTTGCATACATGAATATTTACTTCCACTCACACATCACTACTCGTATAACATTATTTGCATCCTAACCTTTCTCTCTCTCTCTCTCCACCCCTTTGTTCATCACAAGGGCACACCCCCCTTTTTGTTTCTCTCTCTCTCTCTCTTTCTCTCAATTTTTTTGTTCTTTTTCCAGTTAATATTATAATTAAAGTACACACAACACACACGCACCGCTCATACTTGTTTTTACGCCCTCATGCGTGGAGATCTACAAAAAAAAAAAGTTATTATTGGGAGAATAAATTAAAAAAAAAAATCTTGTCTTGTTTATATCTGATCATGCTGATCCAAATAAATAGTTTCTCTCTCTTGCTGAAGTGATCATCCTTTGCATGATATTTATAAAAAAAAACTTCTGGATGCTGCTGATGGTTGCATGTTTATGCAACTAAATAAAACCGATGTTTGTGAAACCGATTTTTTGTCATTTATTTATAATAATGTATATCATCTCCTGTTTTTTTTAATGATTTTCAAGTTGTACTACACAGTATCTCCTCTTTTTTTTTCTTTGTGCGTGTGCAGAATTACATATTCATTGTAATTTTATTTTTTTGGTTTTGGTTTTGTTTTGGTGTTTTTACGCCTTTTACATGTTGTGGTAGCCGATCTTGGCTTAAATAGGATACATTAATCTCATATTTTACCGTTCGTAGAAGATCGACTTGGAAACACGCCACTCTTTTTTGTTATCCTGACCTTCTTAAACGCCTATGGAGCTGATTGGAATGTTTCGTGTTGTAGTACATAGATGGGTGTAAAAGACTAATAAAATAGCTTTTCTTTATTACTAGTGTATCGCGATTTCGTGCCTAGGCATGCTTAGGATTGTCTTCCCCCCTCCCCTGAGAATGTCTTTTTTGTGATACGTTTTATATGCCAATTGGTTTATTCATTCATATGATGTAGATGATCGTTTTAAATTAGTTTGATTATGAGAGACAAGAACACGTCATATAGTACATGAAAGACAAGCACTAATTTTTTGATGATTTAACTATATAAATTATATTGTCCTTTTGACAATCGTGTACACGTGAATGTCTTTTTTTTTCTGGAAAAAAAATCTTTACACGTGGTGTAAGTCGTACCTGAAAAAAAATATATCTTAGGTTTTCGGGTTGGAAGTTCCAATTGAATGGTATAACTATACACGGCGTTGAACTAGGAGCAGCTGTATATGAACTTTTTTTTTTAAAGATTATATTAGGGTCTGTTCTCCGTTTAATAAATCATGTATATTTTCTGAGTAGATGATTCATATCAACGTCAATATTCATTAATATGGTTTATATTAACCGACGTGTATTCACATAGAGAATGTGAATTGATTCACATCATAAGTACTTGTGCCAGCTATAAATTTATACATATAAGAAAAAAACTACACCTGGTACTGCTTAAATATCTTGTTTGAGTGATCTCATTTATATATATATATATATTTTTTTTTTTAAAAAGTGGCACTGACACCTACTAAAAAATATTATTGCAATGTATCAAATTGATAGCATTTTTATGAAAGCATATTCTCACAGATTAGCTACTTGTAAGAGAAATTGTGTTTGTAAACATACTAATACAACACCGTTAAAAGTCATGTACGAGAGGGCTTATTTCTAGAAGCATGAATTGCTGCTTTTCACCACTGAATTTATCGAAATAAACAGACACACGTCGTTTGCTCACATTAGACCCTGGGTTGTAATATGCTGATGAACGATAAAAGCTTCCTGTCTGTTCTAAAAGTCCTGGGATAAGTGGGACATTTATTCAGATGTGCGTTGAAGTGACTTGTAAAGGAATAGTTTTAAAAGTTTTTACTACTTTATGCTACCAAACCGCAGCTACTACATCTTTGTATCATGTTATATACATATGTGTAATCTAGACTGAAGGGGATTATGTTGGCTATATAATAAAATTATGTTATATTGCTATCTATTTATATGACTTTTATGATACTATTCAAGTGGTCACTTTAAGCTTATAATTGGACGTGCTGAATACTATGCTTGAGTGATACTAGCCCAAATGCTTAACAAACCGGTTTATGCTTAGATTTTTTTAAAAAAAATGCGAGATTCATGCGAACTAGTGCAAGCTCGGACCAAGATTAGAAAGTTCTAACATTAATCTTATCATCATCTATTGGTCTACAAGTCAGTGTGGAGTAGCTTACATCGCGACAAGAGAGAGATACCAAGACAGAATAATCAGGTTATAATACTTTTTTTTTCTTGCATGCCGACCCAAATCCCCATGCTTAAAAACTTGTCACCTTGTCTATTACAGGCACGTTACTTTGCTCTTCTTATTAGTTGTTGTGTGCTTTTTCTCTTTTTTTTTTTTTTGGCTGACTTGGATCTAAAAGTCATGCAAGAAAGCGTGTGTGACGGGATTTCTATTACGCGCAGTGACCTAATGTAGACTACTGATTATAGCTAAAGTAAAGCCTATGATCAATGCTAGGCATAGGGTAGCATGCTGTTCAACATGGCCCAAAAGAGAAAGGCCGATGTTATCTAATCCATGAAACAAGATCAAAAAAAAAAAAAAAAAAAAAAAAAAAGACGACTTCCCGTAAAAGGTAAGCGAATAGATTCCTTACACAAAAAAAAGCTATTTTTATTTTTTATTTTTTCAAAACGGAGAAGAAACTTTACCCGCTTTTCCCCCTTAAACATGTCAAGATGGCTCAAGCCCGCCATTCGAAGGTTCTCAAGTTTGAGAACCCCTGATTTACACGTTGACAATATAGTCATTGGAGCTGGTGTTGTAGGACTTGCAATTGGAGAGAAACTAACACGCTCATTACCCAAAGAATCGACGATTGTGGTCGAAAAGAATAAGCGAGTAGGTGAGGAGACAAGGTAAGACCATATGTTTTATTTATATTTTGGCCACCTCCCTTTTTTTTTCTGACCCTTCCATTGAATTTTCAGTGCTCGTAACAGTGAAGTCATTCATGCGGGTCTGTATTACCCCGAGGACAGTCTAAAGACAAAACTCTGTATCCAGGGTAACAAAAAACTTTACGAGCTTTTATCTCGAACGAATATACCTCATCAACGCATTGGAAAATGGATCGTAGCGCAAGACAAAGAACAACACGATTATTTAAATAAACTTTCGGATAAAGCTACACGATTGGGTATCGAAACCTATTTCCTCGACAAGAATGAATCAAATCGACAAGAACCTCATATCAATGCCTATTCGACACTTGTTTCTCCCAGTACGGGTATTATTGATTCTCATAGTTTAATGGACTACTTAGAACAAAGGACAGATGTAGCTCTATGCACCTCGGTCAGATCGATTGAGCCTTATACAGGTGGTGGTTACCTTTTGGAGATTGTCACTGGATCTGATGTTTCAACTGTGTTGGCGAGACGTGTATTTAATTCAGGTGGACTTCATGCAGATAAAGTGAGCAATATGTTGATCCCTGATGCTTATAAATTATATTATGCCAGAGGTCATTACTACGCATATAACACACCATTGGATGTACATCATCTCATTTACCCATGTCCTGAAAAGAACCTTGCTGGTCTCGGAACTCATCTCACTTTGGATTTAGCAGGACGTGCCAAATTTGGTCCGGATGTGCAGTACATTGATAACCCGTTCGATTACAGTGTGCCTGATGATCAGATGAAGAAGCAAGCGTTTGTCAATGCCATTCATAGTTATTTACCCAGTTTAAATCAAGATAAACTTCACGCTGATTATTCCGGTATTAGGTAAGCCATAATCAAAAGAATGTGTACTTCACGACAGGGGACTCTGATTCATTTCCATTCAAATAATATGTAATAGACCCAAACTTGCTGGACCAGGCGAACCATTTAGAGATTTTATCATTAAAGAAGAGAGTGAACATGATAATTTCTTTTCTTTGGTCGGTATTGAAAGTCCTGGATTGACATCTTCATTGGCAATTGCAGATTATGTTTATTCAATGATACGTAAATAATACTATGTATAAAAAAAACTAGTTTTTTCTTTATCTGCTATTTTCCTTTGTCACATTGTCAGCACTTGACATTTCCTTTTTCCGCAGCTCATCGAAATAAGGATCTACAAAACATTGATTGTTAATTAAAAATGAATGACGAGTATAACCTTTTTTTTTTTAAAAAAAAAAAAAAAAAAAAAAAAAAAAAAAAAATCTTACGCTGTAAGGCATCACTGGCTGTGATACGTTTTTCGGGTGGATATTCAAGAAGGCGCTTTAATAAGTCAATGCCGTGATGATCCAATTTGGGCAAAAGAGTTTCCAATTGTATTTTGGGAAAGATTTCGAAATCACGCTTATATTCAGGAAGTTGAGATACTTTAGGCCAGATTTCTTCGGTAGGTGTACCCAACACCTTGAAGATCTTTAGTAATTGATCGGGAATAGAACTTCCAGGGAATAAAGGTCTACCCGAAGCCATTTCTAAAGAGAAGAAGGTTGATTTCTTGTACATTGGTGTTTGGAATTTCTTTTTTTTTTACCTGCAAAAATACATCCAGCAGACCATAAATCAATTGAAGTGGAGTATTGACGTGAACCCATCAACACATCGGGTGCACGGTACCATAAAGTAACAACTTCATGCGAATAGCTTCGAACAGGAATACCGTATGCTCTTGCAAGACCGAAATCACCCAGCTTTAATTCACCTTTCTATAATTAGCAAAGAGGAAAAGAGTAAACACATGGTAGGCTATATATTTATCTCAATATGTCTTACGGTGATATTCACCTTGTTGATTAATAAGTTTTGGGGCTTTAAATCCTACAACAAAGAATGAGAAATGTAATTGTGTTGGACCAATTAAATAGCTTACTCTGTGTAGAACACGATGTGCATGACAAAAGGCTATTCCTTTAAGCAATTGGTACATTAATTGCTAATTAAACAGGTTAGTGTGGAGTGATGACTTTCTATACATGTTTTATATCTACTTTTAAGGTGATAACATCAATGTCTCCACCATATGAATCTAAAAACTTTTTCAAATCGGAATCCAAGTACTCAAATACTAGTGTCAATTTCTTTTCCGTATGCAACACATCATATAGTCTACATAATACACGTTTTTAAGTTTTATTTTTTTCGGCACTTTCTTTTTTTAATTTTCTTGTTACCTGACAATATTTGGATGCTTTAATTCTTTTAATAATGAAATCTCTCGAATGGCCGTACAAGGTACCTATGATGATGTCGTTCTTTAGTATTGGGTAGCAGAGACAATTAAACGAATGCACACTTACACCTTCTTCCTCATTGTCAAGACGAATACGTTTCAAAGCAACAACTTCGTTGGTTTCACGGTTTTGTGCCTTATAAACGATACCGTAGGTACCTAATATTCCAACTAAGTAATCTACACTTTCTTTATTCCACTGTCTTGATTACCTTCACCAAGTTTTTCAATTTTCTAATAATTTGCATTGGTTAGTCTCTTGACATTTGCAAAGAACAAGCTCAAGTATACCTGATATTTGTCCATAATTTCTCAATGATAAAAAAAAAAAAAAAAAAGGAAAAGAGGAGTTTTATATTTTAAACACACACACGCAACAAAAAAAAAGAGGCTTTATTGATATTTATTTATTCCAAGTTACGCTTCATTCCGTCTAAAACCATTTTGGTCACCATTTCTCTCAATTCTTCTTCATTTTCAACACCACCTTGTTCTTCAAGACGCTTCATAATTTCTTGCATCTTGTTTGATAATTCTTCATCCATTTCCTCATCGTCTTCCGCGTTTTCTTCTTGTTCCATATGAGCTAATGAATCCTCCTCCTCTTCTTCGCCAGTAGGCACCAACACTTCCTTTGTAATGGCAGCCAACAAATGAGCCACATCGTCCCATCCTTCTTCGTAAGCTGTGGCAGCAGGTGTAATTCCATCCTCGTTCACTACCTTTGGATCGGCTCCATGATCTAATAATAACTGTGCCATCTCCACTGTCTCTGCAACATATAAAGGTGTATCTTTTTCGAAATCTTGGACATTCACATTGGCCCCCTTTTCAAGTAAATATTTCACGACTTCAAATTGGCTGTATGAAACTGCGGCATGCCTATATACATTGAATAATAAGTGGGTTTGTCCATAAAGTTTATCAGCATAAAGTCTTTTTTTTTTTACATGGCTGTATAACCGAATTGATCATGACTATTCACTTCAACACCAGTTTCTAATAATTCCTGCAAATGTAAATGTTAATCGATGCCTTTTTTTTTAAAGAGGTGATTGCTTTCATACTTTAACTCTGTCTAATTGACCATCGCCTAAACAAAACAAAAAAGAATCGATTTAAATAAGGGCTGTTTATGACATTTACATTATTTCTATCTGCATGTACCAGCTGCTACCCATAAATTGTCTTGTGTTGTAGGTACCTTCATTTAAGTATGTGTTTGATATAAAAAAGGGGAGGAAGCGTTTGGATACCGGGAAAAAAAATCTTTAAATTATGCGTGGCTTGTCCTCAAGAGAAAAGTCCGCTTTTGGAAGGCATTGACCGTGCCCGCCTTTAATGCTTAGCCTATAACTTATTCGTAAGTACGGTTTTACGTGTAAATATTAAGATCATAATAGCTATCATCGTAAAAGCTATGGTTATCTGTTCATGGGTTTAATTTTCCCGGTCATAATTGATGTCTTTTATTCCATGTGTAAATAAAAGAGCCCATCATTTCAAATTTCTGACTAAGGCTTCGGGAGTAAGTTTGGCGGTAAGGATTTCTAAAGGTCTAGTCCCGGCGATTATTTTAACTATTTAGGTACCGGATTATCCGCAGATGTTGTTATTATCATAAAATGGGCTACGATTGAACATTGTCACTTGAGGAGAGCAAATTATGCCAAACACTGACATTTAAATTCCAGAAGGTTCTTGAGGATAATTAATCTCACGCACAATAGATTAAGAGATAAAAATTACAGGGGATTTTGTTCTAGATGGGCAAAGATTAAACTGGGAAGGAAAAAAAAAAAGGCACACGGTATAGCGAACCATGACGTTATGCTGGAAAAAATGGGCTGTTTCTGCATTGATGGTTGATAAAACACTTGAATTCAATCACCGATTTGAGTTACAAAAGATGGCAAACAAGATAACTTAAAAAAAAAGACATATAAAGGGCTACCCAATTGTTTAGTGCACTTCTCTTTTTTCTTCTTCATTATAACAAAAAAAAACATTTCTTTTTTCTTATAAATTTACATACAAATATTTTAAAAATGGTCAACGTAGGTATTAACGGTTTTGGTCGTATCGGCCGTATTGTTCTTCGTGCTACACAAAGCAACCCCGATGTCAAGGTGGTTGCCATCAATGATCCTTTTATTCCTCTTGAATACATGGCCTACATGTTAAAGTATGATTCTGTTCATGGTCGTTTCGATGGTACTGTCGAGGTCAAGGATAACCAACTCGTTGTCAACGGTAATGCTATCTCGGTCTCTGCTGAACGCGATCCTAGTCAAATTCCCTGGGGTGAGCATGGTGCCGATTATGTTGTTGAGTCCACCGGTGTCTTCACTACTATTGAAGGAGCCTCTGCTCATTTAAAGGGTGGCGCCAAGAAGGTCATTATTTCTGCTCCCTCCGCTGATGCCCCCATGTTTGTTTGTGGTGTCAACCTTGATTCCTACAAGTCCGAATATCAAATCATCTCAAACGCCTCATGTACAACCAACTGTTTGGCTCCTCTTGCAAAGGTTATTCATGACAACTTTGGTATTGCTGAAGGTTTGATGACTACTGTACATGCTACCACTGCTACTCAAAAGACAGTGGATGGTCCTTCTAACAAGGATTGGAGAGGTGGTCGTGGTGCTGGTGCCAACATTATTCCTTCCTCTACAGGTGCTGCCAAGGCAGTTGGTAAAGTTATTCCCGAGTTGAATGGCAAGTTAACAGGTATGGCTTTCCGTGTTCCCACACCCGATGTCTCTGTTGTGGATCTTACTGTCAACCTTGTCAACCCTGCCAGTTATGATGAAATCAAGGCTGCTATCAAGAAGGCGTCTGAAACCACAATGAAGGGTATTCTTGGCTATACTGAAGATAGTGTCGTATCCACTGACTTCGTCGGCGAGACTCATTCTTCTGTATTCGATGCTACTGCTGGTATTCAACTTTCACCCAAGTTTGTCAAGCTTGTTTCATGGTATGATAATGAGTTTGGTTACTCTCAACGTGTAGTTGATCTTTTGGTACATGCTGCCAAGGTGGATGGTGCTCTTTAAATTGGGACTTTTCATCGCTTTCTCATTATTGCATTATATCACATTTCTTTCTCTTATAAAAAAATTTCTTTTACTTTAATAAAAGGAGATTTTTAAAAAAAATCGGTTCTAGTTCTTTTTGAGCTTGGAATTGATTTGTTTAAATTTTGCATATAAAAAAATTATTGCTTGTCTTTTATTATATCAGGATGTGAGTACTTCTCTGCAACTGCAATGAATTATTGAGCTTTTTTTTTTTTTTTGTCACGAGGCGTAAGAAGCGCTGTACTATGTATGAAAATTAATTTTTGTGGTAGAGAGGTACGCTTCCTACACTTTATAGCTGAATAATTCAGTTTCTTTGAAGCAGGACTTTCTAGACCAGTAATCTTTGTGTCTTGCTGTCTTTAAAGAGTATTGTCTAATTGTGTTGATATCAGCACAATCGATTGCTAAATTTTTTTTTTCCATTTCAGGACTGAAATATATTATGTGGTAACTGAGGCAATTATATGGTAAGGTGTGTCCATAAAAAAAAAATATCATTTTTTCAATGCTACCGTTGACTTACTGTATGATTCAATTCAAAGAGAGAAGTCTTTAACAAGATTTGGGTATGCTGTAAATGATACAATATATTTTCAAAAAGCATAAAAGGTGATCATATCAAAGCAAATTATGTAAAACGGTGTACACATATAGATATTTAAACAGTGAATAGTGTTATTATGGAGCTATCAAATAAAGCGATCATTTGACATTATGAAAGCCTTGATTTTAAGTACAAAGAACCTATCCTATTTGAAATGTGCAGAGATGGCAAATTTTCTTGGAATTGTTTATCACTTTGCGAAGATTGTAACTAGGATTAAATTCTGCCCCAATTAGCTAGGTCTTAAAAATACAGGTGTTTCACAAAATTGTTAACATGCACTTATACTTCATACTATACTTAAAATTTTTTAATTAACACTGTAAGGGAAACTTTACACTATCTATTTAGATGTAACCGACCGTTAATTGTTCGCATATATCAATAACCTGATCACCAATATCATTATTTCTTTCTGCGTGCTCTATATCTGGTAAGCAAAGCTCGAACTCTATAATCTGTGACCCATTTATGTACATACTTTGTACTTTTAATTCAAAAGAGGTGTACATTTTCTTTTCGCAGTCAATGTCAAACGATCCTACTTCATGTAAAAGCATAGCATCTATTGCGATAAAACTGTGCAGATCAAAATTTTCTATGGACAGTATTCTGACTAAGCCTTTCAAACACAATAAAATTAGTCTTGCATACAAAAACAGGACTATAGCTAATATTACTTACCCAAAGTTGCCTTATAAGAACTTGTTGGTATATAATCGTTCGTATGTTTAAATGCAATACAAAACTGTACATCATTTAATTTATAACTAATGTTATCACCCCTTTTCGTAACCACAAAAGCCATGTTTAGGTCATCGCCATAAACTGTGCTATGTTCTTTGGTAGTTATGTATGCGCCAGACGAATTTCCAGAGTACAATTGCTTGTCTTTAACAACAGACTTGATGCATAATGCATATGTATATTTAAAAACCTTGCTCATCATTCCTGTCGCGAAAATTTCACACATGTCTAGTTTCTGATCTATAATTGGGTCTGAAAGTTCTTGTGGATCCTGATTTAAAACCGAAACAATACTCCATCTGTTACCATAAAATGCTCTGCGTACTAATGCTATATATACTGTGAAAAGTGCTGTGTTACATGTGAGCTTAAATGCATTTCCTGTGATAAGAATATTCGCCATGTCGTAACTTGAAAGACTAGTAATCAGAAATCCTTTTAACCTATCTGTGATGTTTCGTATTACTGGCTTCATTCCAAAGTCAATGATCATACGAAGAGTCAAGTGAAAATAGCAATTACATGTATTGTTGATACTGACACTAATTTCCTTGTCCATGTTTAAGCATTTTCCGCTGTTAGAAAACTATAAAATAAGCGAGATTTTGTATATAAGCTATTTGCGAAAGTATCAATACAATTTCTTACTATTTCCGAGACGTGATGGCTAATGTTTTTTATAACAGTTTTAAACGTGCGTAAGGACCCAAGATCAGCACCTTTATTGTTTTGGTGTAAGGCACAGAACTTTACTGTTTGTCTTGACTTGATTCGGTGCCATATATTTTTACACAAAACCTTGTTTGTGTCTTCAACAGAAATATGATCACACCTAGTTTTACTTGTAGATGCATCTGCAATCTCAGAGGGAATTTTAAAAACTTGATACACTGTGATGAAGATGTCGGTTTGGCAAATATAAATCACAGCAAAATGCGATTTGACTGGGGTTGAACTGCCTAAACTCGCTTGAATTCTAGCGAAGACATCACCAATGTCCCCTAATATAATGCCCTTTTGTTTTGTATCCTCTTCATTGAGTATACAACTTCCTTTCAATATATATTCAAATCTATCACGTCGTAAACATACTTCTTTTGCTTTTGAATCAATATATAATAAATATCCAACATTCTTTTCTTTCCAATTATCTCCAAAGTCTGTGTCCATAAGGACTGATATCATCTTGTTCACATATGCCAAATAAATATATACAAAACAAAGCCTATATCCGGGTCTGCTAAGAGTCAAAAAATTGGTATCCACTACGCTGAAATCGTCCTCGTTTCTGAAAAAGAACTTGTCGAAAGGACACTCGGTAAGAAGTTTCTTAATACCAGGTCTAACTTCTAGATAAAAATCTTGTTCTGTTGAATAATTCTTTATGGCATCTCCAAAATAGACGTCTACTAAAGACTTTATTCTAATAAATTAACAGAATAAATTAGCAGAGAACAGTGTATTAAAGAAGCTCAAATGTTTTGTGTAAATTTACCTTGTAGGTATTCTAAGCAAACCTCTTTGGTAAATTTCGGGCTGCACAAAATATTGCGTCAAACTTGGAATTTCGCTAATTATAGATAGGATATACAATTTAGTAGATTTACTATTAACGCAATATTTTTAAAAACTTGCCATATTAAATAATCAGTAAATCCTATAACGCGATTCTGATCGCCCAGAATTGAGCATATAAATCCAGTCCGTTCACTAGATACATCTGAATAAAGAAATTGTTGGCCTTCTTCAACGTCAAATAGACATTTTTAGTTTATTACCTATATTTATAACATAGCTTGGCTTCCCGTCCAAATGTGAGGTTGAAAAAATATCGCTAGTATTTGGTTCTGCTAAATCTGATAGGATCAAAGGGTCCTGCTGGTTAATAAATGACTCAACTACTTCATTTGTTTGACTGTTGTTACAATCTAGCAGCGTGTTTGTTTCCAAAGTAACAAAACAATTTGGGGTCTTGTTAACAACCAAAGGTACATGATTAAATTGTTGCATCCCATAATCTATTAGCCATTGGCTCAATGAATGAAACAGAATAAAATGGGTCCAGCATAATTCTTCAGATTGCAATGTATGATGAAGTGCTATAATAGTTTCCCAACACAAGACATGTCCGTAATTAGAAAAAATATTCATTTTTTCCATAATAGCCAGTTTGATATCATCAAGTACTTCTATTAGGACCTCTTGCATGGTTATTGATTGTATGCTAATGACTTGATCTTCAAGTAACCCCAAATTTTCTGCTTCGATAGCGGAAAACGGTTTGTATGTATACTCTTCTGGGACGCGAACGAAGCACTACAATTTGAAGGATTATTAGCATTGTGGAGGTACTATTTAAAGAAATTATATATGAGTACCTGTAGTGTGCTGAATTCTTCGACCAGCTCATTTAATTGCTGAATCAAGTTTGAATCCGCAATAATACCTCTTGCTTCGAGACATGCCTCTATACCATTACTTGTTTCGTATTTGAGCGGTACGGTAAAATATATCGACTCTATTAATCTTATAGGTGATTTATCTTTCAATATAACTACGGAACAATGATGAACGGAAAATAAATCCATGGTGATTATCAAGTTGTTGCCCAAGAATTTTAATCCATACATGACATAAGAACTGTTTCTCAAACCATTGTGGTATGATGTAGCCACTTTTAACTTTATGTCTACTTGATTGTGAAATAATATTCTACTGCGATGATCATCTTCTTTCACCAGCTCGGCCTCAACAAAAAGGGGCCATATTATTTCATCTTTTATTGTAGGATCCCAGTGTGTGGGCATATTGAAGACGTAATGATAACTGGAAATCCATTGGCTCATAATTCCGAACCTTGTTCGGAAGCGACTACCGGCTCTTCTCAGAAACATCACCGTTGCATGTAAAATGATACTATCGTGTAAATTCTTTTGGTAAGATAGTAATTTTCTTTTTAGATAGATGTTATTTAATTCCATGAATATGTTCTCAACATAGGTTATTGTGTCATTCTCTTCCCAAGGTCTTTGATTGTATGCAGTATCTTCTTCACCCAAAATTTGGCCTGTGGTTGCATCGTATAATAGAGAGGCCCTGCAAAATTTCCCTCTTATTTGTAGATGGATACAAATTAGTCGGCACAAAGAGAGAACATCTTTAATTTTTTAGTTAACCGGGTACTTACTTATATAATTCTATCTGTTTTCCTGTGGTGCATCCGCTATTAAAGCCATCAATAAACACAAACTCCTCGTCAATATCTACATTTATGCGATTATCAGAATAAAAAGATGTAAAATTTAAGACACCTACAAAAGCTAATGCAGTAAGGACAATCAGAAAAATCGAAACTGTCCTCCATGATATTAATTTTTCTCCTTCTTTTGCTTGTAAAGACTCGAAAAGAACTATTAGATAACCCTTTTAAGAGATACTCAGCCGAAGTTTTTGTGCGCTAAATGGCAACACAAACAACAATATCACTGGACGACTTCCAAAAATAAATGTATTTTCTAGATTGAGAGGAATGATCATGCTTGTTTTTCACTTGTCACGCTCCTTTATTTTTCATTATGTGGCTAAAAGATAGCTTTCTTTCCTTATGTTTTTTTTCTCACCTAATAAAAGAACGTTTTAAAAAATCAGCCGTAGTTGTTTTTGAGCTTGGAATTAAATTTTGCATAAAATAAAACACGTTGTCTTTTATTAGCATTCTTTAGTGGGATATTACTCTTCAACTACGAGGAACAATGGAGCACAATTTAAGGAATGAGTTCCTGAAATATTAGGCCGACGAGGGAGGAACACTGTGCTTTTTGTGCGCAGATTTCAAGTAAAAAGGTTATGGGTTGACTGTAGACATATAATATTCCGCCACAAATAGCTAAGTCTCTGTTTCACAAACTTGTAAACATGTTATTATATTTTATTCATGAAAAACTTACAATGATAATTATTTAGGCGTAAAATAACGCTAATTGTTCGCAAATGTTAATGACCTGACAATCAATCTCAGCAGAGAGTTCTTCATTATTTATGTCTGGTAAGCAGAGCTTGAGCTCTATAGTCGATGACGCATTGTTAGTTTCTACTTTTAATTCAAAAGAGGAGGAGTAGGCTTTCTTTTCGCAGTCAATGTCAAAAGATCCTACTTCATGGAAAAGCATAGCATCTATTGCGATAAAACTGTGCAGATCAAAGTCTTCCATGGACAATAATCTGACTAAGCCTTTTTAAGCACAATAAAATTAGTTTTGCATACAGAAACAGGAATATAATTAACATTGCTTACCCAAAGTTGCCTTATAAGAACTTGTTGGTATATAATCGTTCGTATGTTTAAATGCAATACAAAACTTTGATTTATGCAATGACTCATCGACAATATCGCCCCTTTTAACAACCACCAAAGCCATGTTTAAACCATTACCATAAACAGTACCATTTTCTTCAGTATGTATGTAGGCGCCAGACGAATCTCCAGGGTACAGTTGTCCGTATTTAACAACCGATATGATGTATAATGCGTATGTATATTTGAAAACCTGTTCCGTAAAAATATTACACAAATATGGTTTTTGATCTATAATTGGCAGCATGAATTGTTTTAGATCCTCTTTCAAAATGGAAACGATACGCCATTTATTGCAATCGAACGCTTTGCGTAACAAAGCTATATATACTGTGAAAAGTGGTGTGTTGCATGTGAGCTTAAATGCATTTCCTGTGATAAGAATATTCGCCATGTCGTAATGTGAAAGACTAGTAATCAGAAATCCTTTCAACCTATCTGTGATGTTTCGTATTACCGGCTTCATTCCAAAGTCAATGATCATACGAAGAGTCAAGTGAAAATAGCAATTACATGTATTGCTGATACTGACACTAATTTCCTTGTCCATGTTTAAGCATTTTCCGCTGTTAGAAAACTATAAAATCAACGAGGTTTTGTATTTAAGCTGTTTGCGAAAGTATTGATACAATTTCTTACTATTTCCGAGACGTGATGGCTAATGTTTTTTATAACAGTTTTGAACGTGCGTAAGGACCCAAGATTATCACCTTTATTGTTTTGGTGTAAATCACAGAACTTTACTGTTTGGCTTGACATGATTCGGTGCCATATATTTTTACACAAAGCCTTGTTTGTGTTTTCAACAGAAATGTGATCTCTCCTAACAGCAATTGTAGATGCATTCGCAGCCTTAGAATGTGTTACAACCTGACGCAAGTGGATGAAGATTTCCGTTTGGCAAATAGAAACCAAAGAAAAGAATGATTTGACGGGGAATGAAATATTCAATTTCTTGTGAATTATTGTCAAGACATCACCAGTACTCCACTGTGTCAATCCTATTTTGTTTGTGTCTCCCTCATTGATTATACAACTTCTTTCAAATATAAATTTAACTATATCAAATTGAATACATTTTTTGTCTACTGCTGGATCAATATATAATAGATATCCAACATTCTTTTCTTTCCAATTATCTCCAAAGCGTTTGTCCATAAGGACTGATATCAACTTGTTGACATAAGCCACATAAATATATACAAAACAAAGCCTATATCCAGGTCTGCTAAGAGTCAAAAAATTGGTATCTACTACGCTGGAATTTCTCCCTTTCCCGAAAAAGAACTTGTCGAAAGGACACTCGGTAAGAAGTTTCTTAATACCAGCTTTAACTTCTGAATAAAAATCTTGTTCTGTTGAATAATTCTTTACAGCATCTCCAAAATAGACGTCTACTAAAGACTTTATTCTAATAAATTAACAGAATAAATTAGCAGAGAACAGTGTATTAAAGAAGCTCAAATGTATTGTGTAAATTTACCTTGTAGGTATTTTAAGCAAACCTCTTTGGTAAATTTCGGGCTGCACAAAATATTGCATCAAACTTGGAATTTCGCTAATTATATATAGGATATACAAGTTAGTAGATTTACTATTAACGCAATATGTTTAAACACTTGCCATGTTAAATAATCAGTAGATTCTTTAACGCGATTCTGATCGCCCAGAAGTGAGCATATAAATGCAGTCCGTTCACTAGAGATATCTGATTAACGAATAAATTGGCCTTCTTTAACCTTAACTAGATAGTCTTAATTATTACCTATGTTTATAGCATAGTCCAGTTTCCAGTCCAAAAATACGGGTGGGCAAATAATGTCGTTCCTTTGTTCTGCTAAATCTGATAGGATCAAAGGGTCCTGTTGGATAGTACATGACTTAACTACTTCAGTTGTTTGACTGTTGTTACATTCTGACAGCTTGTTTGTTTCCAAAGTAACAAAACAATTTAAGGTCTTGTTAACAACCAAAGGTACATGATTAAATCGTTGTGTCCCATAATCTATTAGCCATTGTCGCAATGAATAAAACAGAATAAAATGGTTCCAGCAGGATTTTTCAGAATGCCCTGTATGATGAAGGGCTATAATAGTTTCCCAACGCAAGAAATGTCCGTAATTAGAAAAAATATTCATTTTTTCCATAATAGCCAGTTTGATATCATCAAGTACTTCTATTAGGACCTCTTGCATGGTTATTGATTGTATGCTAATGACTTGATCTTCAAGTAACCCTAAATTTTCTGCTTCGATAGCGGAAAACGGTTTATATGTATACTCTTCTGGGACGCGAACGAAGCACTACAATTTGAAGGATTATTAGCATTGTGGAGGTACTTTTTAAAGAAATTATATATGAGTACCTGTAGTGTGCTGAATTCTTCGACCCGTTCATTTAATTGCTGAATCAAGTTTGAATCGGCAATAATACCTCTTGCTTTGAGACATGCCTCTATACCATTACTTGTTTCGTATTTGAGCGGTACGGTAAAATATATCGACTGCAGTAATCTTATATATGATTCATCTTCCAATATAATTTTGGAAGAGTTATTAACTGAAATCAAATCCATGGTGATTATTAAGTTGTTGTCCAAGAATTTCAATCCATACATGACATAGGAGCCATTTCTTAGTCCTTATGGTAATCTGTAGCTACTTTTAACTTTATGTCTACTTGATCGTGATATACTATTCTACTGCGATGATCATCTTCCTTCACCAGCTCGGCGCGAACAAAAAGGGTCCATATTAGTTCATCTTTTATTGTGGGATCCCAGTGTGTAGGCATATTGAAGACGTAATGATAACTGGAATTCCAAAGACCCGTAATTCCAAATTTTGTCCGGAAGCGACTACCGGCTCTTCTCAAAAACATCACCGGTGCATGTAAAACTGTGCTGTCGTGTAAGTTGTCTTTGTAAGATTCTGATTTTCTTCTGAGATAGATGTCATTTAATTCCATAAATATGTTCTCAACATAGATTATTGTGTCATTCTCTTCCAAAGGTCTTTGATTGTATGCAGTATCTTCTTCACCCAAAATTTTGCCCGTAGCTGCATCGTATAATAGAGAGGCCCTGCAAAATTCTTCTTTTCTTATTTGTAGATGGATATAGATTAGTCGCCACTAAGAGAGAACATCCTCAATTTTTCAGTTAACTAGGCGCTTACTCATATATTACTTTTTGTTTTCCGATGGTGCTTCCGCTATTGAAGCTATTAATAAACACAAACTCCTCGTCAATATCTACATTTAAGCAATTATCAGAATATATTGATGTAAAATTTAAACACTTACAAAAGCTAATGCAGTAGGGATAATCAGAAAAATCGAAACAGTCTTCCATGATTTTATTTTTTTCCATTACTTTTTGTTTGTAAAAAAAACAGAAATAGACGAGAAAAGGAATAGAAGATAGCCCTTTTTAGAGATACTCAGCCAAAGTTTTTGTGCGCTAAATGGCAACACAAACAATAACATCACTGGACGACTTCCGAAACCAAATGTATTTTCTAGTTTGAGAGGGATGATCACGTTTTCAATTATCACGTTCCTTCATCTCGCAATATGTGGCTAAAAGATAGCCTTCTTATTTTATGTTAATTTTGACCCAATAAAAGGACATTTTTAAAAAATTGGCTCTAGTAATTTTTGAGCTTGTAATTGGTTTCTTTAGATTGTGCATAAAATATAAATCGCCCTGTCTTTTTTCATCATTTCTGGGCCGGATGGTACTCTTGAACAGCGAGGAAAAATGGACCACAATAAGAAGAGGGGCTCCTGAAGGAAGAACACTGTGCTTTTTTTGTATGTCACAATGTGTAACCAGTGCTAAACTACGAAAAATAATTTTGCGGTAGAGAAGTCTCTCCTATCTTCCAATAAACTTTGCCAGATGAATCATTTTCTTTAAACGAGGACTAAACAGTAATCATTATGATTTTTGGTTCAAAACATTTCGTCGAACTGGTTTGCATATGTGCTTTCCTTGATATCTCAACACATTGAATATCTAACTTTTGTTACTTTAAGACTGTGAAACATACCATGGGGTACCTGAGGTAATTGTATGGTAAGGCATTTCCCTAAAAAATTGAAGTTATTTTTTAATGCTATCGTCGACTTATGGGATGCCTCAATTTAAAGAGAGGTTTTTTTTAAAAAAAACATTTATATGGACTCTGTTAGGTTACAAAGATTGGACTATCAATGGTGCTCTGCTATTTTTTCGATGAGAGCAAAATATGAATAAAATTGCCACAAGCAATCTGACAAGCATTATATATGACCATAGAGTTGGCGAATAATGTGATCATTTTATAATTAGAGAGCCCCCTTTTTTTAAATTAAAAGAGCCGAATCTACCATCTGAAGCGTGCACATATCACAAATTTTTTTTATACGATCTATTGCTTTGCAGTGATATATATATATATATATATATGGATTAATCGTATATTATATCTTGTTCTAATTATGCAACAAACAATTAATAAAAGTATAAACAAGTAGTTCTTTATATCATTATTAAATTTTTTAACAAAAACTTTCAATAAATATCTAAACGTAACCGAACGTTAATTGTTCACATATAAGTACAACGTGACCATCTAGTCCATCGCCAGAAGCCTCATACTCTATATACGGCAAATAGAGCTGGAATGATATTTCAGACGACTCATTATAAGCCAACACTTCGATTTCAAAAGAGGCAGGGTGGTGGGCCTCCATTTCGTAGTTAACTTCGAAAAAACCCACGTCATGCAAAGGCATGTTGTCTATTGCAATGAGTTCTTCCGAAGCCAGCTCTTCTGTGTGCAGCAACCTAATTAAGCCTATTTAAAATTTAATAAAATTAGCATTGTATAAAGAAAAAAGAATGAAATAACATCACCTATAGTTGCCTTGCATGTACTTGTTAGTGTATAATCATCCATATTTTCAAAAGCAATAGAAAAACGCGTGTTATCTCTTAACTCACTTGCAATATCACCTCTTTTGACAACTATCAAAGCCATTGTACTTCCGTCACTATGAGATATATTGTCTTCTTTGGATGTGATATAAGCGCCAGACAAATTTCCAGGGTAAGTTTGTCCGTCTTTAAAGACGGAAATAATATATAACGCATAGGTGTGTTTGAAAATTTGTACCACATGTCCTAATGTAAATAAATCACCCATGTACGGTTTTTGACCTGTAACTGGTAACATCATTTGTTTTGGATCTTCTTGTAAAACGGAAACACTATTCCATTTGTCACTGTCGAACGCTTCACGTAATATTGCTGAATATAATGTATAAAGTGGTGTGTGATATGTGAGCTGAAACACACTTCCTGTAATAAAAATATTTGCCATATCAAAGCTTGAAAGCACTGAAGAAATCAAAAAGGTCTTTAAATAATCTGTGACCTTTTTCATCACTGGCTTCATTCCCAAATCAATAATATTACGAAGAGTCAAGTGAAAATTGCAATCGCACATACTGCCGATGTTGACTCTGAATTTTTTGTCCATGTCCAAGTTGTTTCCGCATTCGGAAAACTATAAATGATTTATAGTGGGTTCTGTAAGTAAGCTATCTGCAAAAGGATTGATGTCATTTCTTACTATTTCAGAGACCCGATGACTTATGTTTCTCATGGCAATTTCAAAAGTGTTTAAGGTCTCGACATTATTTAATCCACTCTCTACGTTTCGGTGTAAAACACATGTATTGATTGTTTCGCTTGACTTGATACAGTGCCATAAGTTTTTACATAAGCTGTAACTCATGCTTTCAAAAGAAATATATTCCTGTCGTATTTGACGCCTAATTCCACGAATATAATTACTCTTATCTTGTCACTCAATTATAATACATATAACCTATGTATTATAAGTACCATATTGCGAATACATTCCTATTGGTACGACACAGTACCAGCTCCCTCATATGTCAAACTGAGATCAGATTTCATAATCGTTCCTGGATTGGTCGAGTAGCTGCCGAATCTTCTAGTTTCTCATAAATTTATTTTAGTAATCCAATCAAGGACCCTGTCATTGAATGGATAAACTATAATGCTCTAGAAGTGCCGGATATGGGTCAACTAGCTCCTTGTATATAACAATAAGCTATGTTTCATATGTAACTGATTTCTAAATCTAATTCTACCATTTCCCAGTTTGCGGGTAAATAGTCAATTCGATCTGCGCAGGAAAAATCTTGAAGTAATAATTGAATATAAAAAGGACCTCTATTTTTATCATGACAAACTCTCCAACTTATAATAAAGGATTAAAGAGTCTCATTTCTTTACTTGTTTATTTTTATCTTTTATTTTCTACCTTTTTATACTCAAATTATCACAATTCCCTCCAAATGACAATAGTAGATACATCCTCGTTCTCCGAGGAAAGCTTGACGACTTGATGCAACTGTATGCAAATTTCGGTTTGACCCATAGAAACCAACGCAAAAAATGATTTTACAGGAAATGAAGCATCTGGAATTTTAGTGATAATACCACCCATATTCCATAATATCCTTCCTTTTTTCTTTCGATCGTCTTTATCAAGTATACAACTTCCATACAATAAATAATCTGTTCTACTGGTGAAAAAGCATGTTTTTTCTACTGTCGGATTAATAAATAATACGTATCCAACATTCATTTCTCTCCAATGATGCCCAAAATGCTTGTCCATGTGGCTTGATATCAACTTATTAACATAAGCTAGATATATGTATTTGAAACAAAGCAAGTATCCGGGTTTGTGAAGAGTCACAAAATTGTTATTATCTAAATTAGCATCGTCCATAGTACTGAAAAAGAACTTGTCGAAAGAACCCTCGGTAAGAAATTCCCTGATTTTGGGTTTTACTTTTGGATAAAATTCTTCTTCTGTTGAAAAGATTTCAGAATAATTTTCCAAAATATTCCCAAAATGTCTATCCATCGACAGCTTCATTCTACTAAATGTTAGGACGTCCGACGATAGAAATCAGTATTTAAAACAAGCGTAAACTTTTACCTTTCGGATATTCGAAGGGAAGTTTGTTGGTAAAGTTCAGATTGTACAAAATATTGCATTAAACTTGGTATTTGGCTAATTGTAAAAATAGTAATACACAATTTAGTAGGTTTATTTTAAGTACAGTAACTTTAAACACTTGCCATGTTACATAAGGAGTAGATTTTGTAATGCGGTGGTGATTACCCAAAAATGAACATACAAATGCAACTTGCTCGTTTGAAATATCTGATTAAAAATACAAGTCAGTCTTTTTATCAATCCGATCATTTTTTGTTTATTTATTTATCACCTATATGAACAACGTAGTTTAATGTTCGGTCCAGAAACAGTGTTGAAAATTTTTTGCTAGTAGTTGCTTCTGTTAAATCCGATATGATCAAAGGGTCCTGTTGTATAGTATATGACTTGACTAATTCATTTGTTTTGAAGTTGTTGCACTTTATCAAAGACTTTGTTACCAATACAACAAGACAATATGGGGTTTTATTAAAAACCAAAGGTACATGACAAAAGTGTTGCTCCCCGTAATCTATTAGCCATAGCTTCAATGAATGAAACAGGAAACAATGGTTCCAGCAGGATCTTTCAGACTGATGTGTATAATGAAGTGCTATGATTGTTTCCCAGCGCAGTACATGTCTGTAGTTAGAAAAAACATTTTTCATTATGCCCTCAAATACATCTTTGACAGAACCAAGTAGTTCTGATAGGATTTCTTGCATGGTTATTGATTGTAAGCTGATAATCTGATCTTCGTGCAACCCTAAAATTTTCGGGTCGATATTAGAAAATGGAGTTCCCGTATACGCTTCTGGGCCGAAAACGAAGGGCTACAGATTTGAAGAGTTAACAACCTTAGAAAAGTGTCACATATTAATTCCATTTGAGTACCTGTGGTGTACTGTATTGTACAACCAGCTGATTCAATTGTTCAACCAAGTTTGAATCTGCTTTAATACCCCCGACTATCTAGACAAGTCTTTATGCCTTTACTTGTGTTGTATACGAGGGGAATAGTAAAATAAAAGGATTCCATTGGCCTTATAGCAACTTCATCTTTTAATATAACTACGGATGAATGATGAACTGAAAATAAATCTAAGGTAACTATGATATTTTTGTCCAAGAATTTTAGTCCGTACATGACATACGAGCCATTTCTTAGGCCTTTATAGTGCATTGTAGCCACTTTTAACTTTGTATCTATTTGATCGTGGAATATTATTTTACCGCGATGATCATCTTTTCTCACTAGCTCAGCCTCAACAAAAAGATTCCATATTAGTTCGTCCTTGATTGTAGGATCCCAGTGCGGAGGCATATTTAATGAGTAGTGATAACTGGAAATGCATTGACCCAAGATTCCGATTCTTGTACGAAAGCGATTACCGACTCTTCGCAAAAACAGCACCGCTGTGTGTAAAACGTTATCATCATAAAAGCTGCTTTTGTAAGAAAGTGACTTCCTCTTTAGATATATGCCATTTAATTCCATAAAAACGTTTTCGACATAAACGATTGTGTCATTATCTTCTGAAGGTCTTTGAGTGTATGCAATATTTTCTTCGCCTAAAATTTGGCCTGTGGTGGCATCGTATATAAGAGATGCCTTGCAAATTTCATCTCTTTTTTATGGAAAGATACAGAATAGTCAGTGCAAAAATAGAACATCTTACTGATTGTTCAATTATTTGGGCACTTACTTGAATAGGTCCAATTTATGTCTAATGTCGCTCCCACTATTAAAGGAGCTGGCATACACAAACTCCTCGTCAAAATCTACATTATTACATTAGTATATAGCAGAACAAAAAGACATATGAGATAGACAGCACTTACAAAAACTAATGCAATAGGGGCACTCAAAATAATTGAAACCTCCCTCCATGATAATTTTTTTCCTTTCCTTTTTGCTTCGTTGAAAAAAGAAAAGGTAACAACAAAAAAAAAGAGCCAACAAGCAACCTTTTTTTTAAAATACTCAGCTAAATTATTTGTGCGATAAATGGCAACACAACAATGATACCCAAAAACAAAAAGTACTTTTTTGATGATCATGCGTCCATATAATTTCATTCCGCGGTTACCTAAAAATGTCTCGTGATTGGCTATCCATTATCAAATTATTGCCATTTTGTTAATCCTTCCCTTTCGATTTTATACATCTAGGCAGAATCTACAGTTGATGTAACGCTAGTCTTTATCGACTTCAGCTATAGTTTTTTGAAACTTTTTTCGATGACATAATTGTTTAATGGTATCGTCAAATGAATAACTAATGCTAATAAATTATCTTTAAAGAATGTCTATTTTGGTACATACAATTACTTTAAAGCCTGTTGTGGCCAGCAAGGGGGGGGGGGATGTTTTTATCTTTTTTTGCAGCATAATTTCTCAAGTTTATTGTACTGTTATTGGATTCATGTTGTACCTGGTCAGGCTGAGTTAATAACATGCTAGCGCTTTTTAGGAGTAGAAGAGAAGCTTGTTAAGCTTGATATTTTATTCGATATAAGTTGATAGACAAAACTTACAACAATGCTGCTCTAACTAAAAATAATCGAACGTTATTTGTTCATTCACATTCAGAATAATGTTATTTGACCAATTTTTGATTTCTGAATACTCTATCTCTGGTCTGGATAGTCTGAAAGAAATAGCGGATATGTTGTTTAAAGCGAGAACTTCCAAGTTAAAATGCGAGGAGCAGGAGGTTTCTTCACAGTCTACTTCAAACATTCCTACATCTTGATAAGGAATTTCATCTATTGCGACAAATCCTTCCATATTGTAGGCCTCCGTATGCAACAATCTAACTAGGCCTTTTAAAATTTGTTAAAAATGAGTAATGTGCAGGAGGAAAAAATACATGAGAGGCATTAATTATTACCAAAAGATACTTGGAAACCACTGCTTGGTAAATATCCACCCACTCGTCTAAATACCATATCAAAGTTTATCATATTTCTTCTCACATCAACAAAATCTCCCTTTTTGGCTACTATTAACGCCAGTGTATCATTGCGACTATGAGTGCTATCATCACCACCAGAAGTTAAATAAGCACCGGACGAGTCTCCCGGGTAATACTGTCCGTCTTTTAAAACGGATATTACATACAATGCGTACGTATACTTAAATACTTGTTTCGCATAACCCACCGTAAAAAGATCACACATATAAGGTCTCTGATCTTTAGTTGGCTGCACCAATTGGTCCAGATCATGTTGTAAAACGGTAACGAGATTCCATTCATCACTATTGAACGCTTCATATAATAAATTCGAGTACACGGTATGAAGAGGTGTGTTGCAGGGAAGCTTGAATACATTTCCCGTAATAAAAACATTGGCCATGTCAAAACAAAAGAGCATATAAGTGGTCCAAATGACCTTCATTTGTTTTTCGATGTTCTGGATTACTGGTTTTATTCCAAAATTAATGACTTTGCGAAGAGTCAATTGAAAATGGCACTCACACAAATCGCTGATACTGACACTAACTTCCCTGTCCATGTGTAAACTTTTTTCCTGACCATAAAACTACGAAATAAATACCAAGTTTGATTAGTTAACTGCTTTGGAACATATAAATATAGTCTCTTACCATTTCTGATATGCGTTGTCTTATGTTTTTAATGGCAGTCTTAAACGTGTATAATGATCCAAGGTTATCCGATTTGCTTTCTTTGCTATTGTGTTTGTCGCAACAATCAATTTCTTCGCTTGACTTGATTTGGTTCCAAATACTTTTACACAAGACCTCGGTTGTGTTTTCAAAAGAAATTGGATGTCTTCGAATAAATACTGTAGACGCGTCTTGATCTTTTGAGGCAACCTTTAGAATTTGATACAAGGATAAGTTAATCTCTGTTTGGTTAATCGACACTAAAGCGACGAACGATTTGACGGGAGATACAATATTTGTTTTTTCCTGTATTTTTGTCATAGTACCACCTTCATCCGATAATATTACTCCTTTTTTATTGGGATCATCTTCATTGATTATACCACAGCCAAATAACAAATAGTTTGTATCAGCCTAGTCAAAGCACGTCTTCTCTAAAGTCGGATCCATGGATACTAGGTATCCAACATTCTTTTCTTTCCAATCGTCGTCAAAAAATTCGTCCATGTGGATTGTTATCAAGTTATTAACGTAAGCTAGATATATATATATTCAATGTATTCGGGCTGGTGGAGAATTTCTATCTACCGCATCGGACTTATCCCCTGGGTTAAATGTATCAAACGAACATTCCAAAAGAATTTTCTTGATCTTGGGTTGCACTTCAAGGTAAAACATGTCTGTCGTTATGAGATTTTTGAATGATCCCTTGTAATATCCCCACAATATTTGTCTATGAACAACTTTAATCTACTGGTATGTTAGAGCATAACGTGGAATAGGGATGTATCAGGAGGGTAATTGATTTTTTGCTATTACTATACCTTTTGGGCATCCGAAGTATTGGCTTTCTATATTGTTCTGACCGAATAATATACTGGCATGGCTCAAGGTACATAGAGTCCCTGTTTGCTAAAAAAAATGACGCCACCACTTGAAGATCGAACCAAATGAAGCCCAACATATATGGTCTTGCCAATATATAATAGGAAATAGTACAGAACACACTCGTAGTTACAGAGAAAAAAAATTAACTAAATGAGTGCAGGATGAAGACAATGGCTTAACTAGTGTACCTGGAATTTGTGTACTCCAATAATCAATCATTTGGACAAAAATATTTTTAGATTTAAATAATACTTTTACGGCAATTACAAAAGATACAAAATTTTTTTATTTGTTAGGAAAATGAATGAAAAGCGGCACTTGATGGTTTGAGCTCAAATCGTTTTGTATTGAATTTGACCGAGCGTGAGGATGATCTTGGATTTTTAAATCCTTGTGACAGGCAGTGTTAAACGAACCCTGTGGTAAACAAGTTTTTGTTTTACTTAACCTTCGTTATGGATAAATTGAAAAAAAAAACTCCCTCTCTATTTAAATCAAACGATGATGTGCTCTCAAAAAAGTTGCTTATAACTATGCCTTGTAAATTTTGTATGCGTGCTTATACGATTGACAGGGCCTTTTGGTATTGTGTAGACTAGAGATAATGCCTACAAGAGAATAGGAAGTTGAAAAAAACAAAATGTTACTGGAGTTATGAAAAAAAATTTACTTGAAATATATCCATTTTATAGACAGAGGATCATTTTACTCAACGATCATATTCAACAAGTGTAGGTGTAGAGAAATCAGGTCCCAAAAATAAAAGATTTTGGTTGGTTCAATTGAGCCAATGGAATTTGTTTGTTTTAAAAAAGAGAGAGTAGCGAGGACTTTTAAAATAAGCAACCTGATGCTACCAGGACACTTTTTTCTCGGATCATTGCATTTTATTTCCAAAACTGGATTAATATAAAAGTAATAAAGGGGAGAAAGAAAATATAACCATATTTGACAACAGGACACTCATTCGTTTCTAGATGACTGAAAATACTGACAGAACAAGAGCCATACGAGCTGAAAAGCAAGTCGAGCGATTAGAAAGAGAGCTTGAAATGATAAAGTCTCGTTTCAAGGTATTTTTTCTCGAAAAAAAAAAAAAAAAAAATAGTGCTTCGCCTTGCTTTTTTATTTATTTTATTTATTTTTATGGCTTTAGAAACCAACAACTAATGGAGGTTCTTCACCTTCTCCCATGGACAAGACTAATTTTCAATTATCCGAACAAGTCAAAGATTTAAAGTACCAATTAAAGCATCAATTGTCAGAACACTCAAAACTACAAGAGAACTCAGCTTCGAGGATAAGTAAGGATTACTCTTTTTATAGGTCATTGCGAGATCCTTGAACTAATCGTTCATATATATAGCTGAATATGAGGAAAAATTAAAACGAATGAGAGGTATTTAAAGAAAAAGGAAAGAATAAATAATTTGGATATTGACAAATTACAAAAGAAATTTTCGGCCAAGCGTCGAAAAATATTGATGGATATCGTGCCAGTATAGCTTCTAAAGACGTTGAGATTGAGAGATTAAAAGGAGAATTAGAGGAATCCAGTGTGAGCGAGCAATCTTATAAATCTAAATATGAAGCACAACAACGTAAGAAGGATGTTCATTTTTTTTTATTATTTAAAAGAGGATGGATTATCAGGGACTAATGTCAACTAGTGACCATCGAGACATTAAATACGGAAATTACAAGTCAAAAAACCTTTTACGGGACCGAGATTAAACGTTTGGTAGAGTATATAAACCAAAAGAATGGGTATGGTCAACACTCTCTAACATGGTATTTATTTCCTAGGAAGCGAAAACGAGGCAATTATCAAACCAACTTGAACAAACAAAGAATAATTATGATCAGTATAAAAAACGGGCTCATGTGTTACTCGAGAAAAACAAGGAAAAGTCGGATAGTGGAAGAGTGAATGAATTGGAGGAACTTGTTCAACAATTACAATCACAAAAGACGTATGTTAAAAGGATAGTCAAGGTGATTGACGTATTAATTTATTGATTACACTTAGAAAATATGAATTGGAGCAAGCCGAGAAATCTGAACATCAGTTGTTATTAGAACATGATATTAGAAAGGCCATTGATCGAATTCACGAATTAGAGACCACCCAAAATAACATGGCTAAGGAAAGAGACAATAAGGATAAAACCATACGTGAATTAAGCCAAACATTTGCTACTGATAAAGAGAGTCTGGAGAAAAGTAATGTGTCACAAACAAAGTTAAAAATAACAATGCTCACACCTATTTATAGAATTACAGTCCACCACGTTAGCTCATAACCAAGTTATGCAACAGTTAAATGAATTAAAGAGCCAGTATAACAATCAAGCTGACATAATTAGCACCACAAAAGAGGAAACGGACGATGATATGACGCAGAGATACATCGATATGAAAATGCGTGTGCATGAACTAGAGGAGTCAAATGATTCACTTTATCAACAGTTGTTATTGAAAGACAATGAAATCGAGAAATTAATCGTATCTACACCCACTTCACCACCCGCAGAAGATTTAAACAATATTCCTATTGTAAAGGATGATGAGATGGACAATAAGAGATATATTGGCAATGATGTATATGGTAAATATGACGGATTTTTTTTTTTATTTTGTACTTAATTTTTTCATTTTAAATAACAGCTTCAATGAGTTCTTTACTTTCACCACTTGTGTCACGACAAATACCGGATGAACGGATTGGTTTAGAAAAACAGGTACAGCGTTTAAGCGAAATGCTGCATGAAAGTCAAGATAAAGTCAATGCACTAAAAAGCCAAGAAAAGGTAATACAACGTCATTATTATAATTTATTTATCTGCCCCAATCAATTATTAAACTATGACGATTTATAGATTTTAAAGGATGAACTAAGGTACTACAGAAGAAAAAAAAAGTGATGTTTAGTTGGTATTAAATGTATTCTATAGAAAAATAGATGCGTTCGAAAAGAGACAAGATGTGAATGTCGAATACTTGAAGAACGTGCTTGTCAAATTTCTCATGTCTGGGAATAAACAGGTAAGAAAAAAGAAAAAGGAAATGCAAAGGAACATTGAGAGCTGAACTAGTATAAAAAGGCAATGGTACCGATTCTAGCGAAACTTTTATGCTTGGATACAGCAGAAACAAACACTCTCATGGAAAAGTGCATATAGTATCACCACGATGATGTAAATATAAAGTTTAGGTTCCGCTACACCATTCGATTTTTGAATAAAAAGGCTTTACTTTTTGGGATTCTTTTTTTTTTTTTTCTTTTTTCTTCTTTATAAAAACTATCTGTATATAAATATGTCTGGATTCCCTCAAAACCAATACTTTTACATTAAATCCCGTAGTAACGGCTTCGTTATGGATGTCTATATGGGTGAAACTACCGTAAGTTTAAAAGCGCGTGTGATTTACAATCGAACATGTTTACTTATTCTAGAAAACAGGTCGACTCCAATATCATTATCTGGCCTCAGGTAAAATACTATACTTTATACCATTAGAAACAATACCAACGCCGTTTTTTTCTTGAAAATTGTAGAAAGAGACTACCGCTTATGACAATGACAATCAGGTAAGAATATTGTCTTGGCTTTTTTTTTTTTTTTGAGAAAAAAAAATATTCATTTGTTTATAGCTTTGGCGCTCCGAAGATGGTTTCTTGATCAACAAGAAGTCTAATTTAGGTAAGATAAGCTCTTTTTTTGTATATGTGTGTGCCATATTCATTAATATGAATATGTAGTTATGGATATCCGTGGTGGTGACCTTCAGTCTGATAAAGCTATTGTCCAGTATGACCGTAAAATGACCATGTAAGTACTTTAAAGTGTAATTTTTCGGGCATGATGATTTAATTGTGTTAAATAGGGCCCATAACCAAAGATTCGGATACCGCGATGGTTATATTTACTGCTTAGCTGATCCCCGTCTTGTTTTGGATATTAGAGTAAGTCATTGTTGTATAGTTAAATATGTGATGGATTACTCATGAGTGCTGAAATAGGGTGGTGGAAGCAAGGAAGGTACCAAGATTATCTTGTACAAGCGTAAGGATGCTGATAATGATAACCAACAATGGGAACTTATTCCTGTTCCCGGTCAAAATCAACAACATGGTCAACCCGACCAACAAAGCCAACATAGCCACGGTAATGTACCTTATTACCCACAACCTGACCACCAGCAACAACAACAACAACATCACCAACATCAACAACATGGTAATGTTCCCTACTATCCTCCACCTGCCGGTATGGGTGGTTATGGTCCTCCCGATGATCAAAACCCTACTTACGGTCGTCGCGATTAAATAATGATACCTTTCTTCATCCGCTGATATGAAAAATTCCCACATTGCTCAAATTAATAAAACTTATTTTTTTTCTTTGCTGCATATAAAAAGCACATTACGCCACGCAAGTGTGTCATGGTACGTAATTCCATAGTTAACTTTTTCAACACCGAAATGCGGTGAATGTGTTATTTTTGGTAATCAAGTTTTATAGAACATTGAGTCTTCCATTGATAAATAAACCTTTTTTTTTTTAAGTTTTGTGCAGTTGTCTATAAATACTTTGCATTGAGCCGAAGTAATGGAAGCCATAAATATAGATTGAAATTGGCGTCTGGATTTAAGTTTGGTCGATATAAAAAGGGTCCTTCATTCTCTTCCCCTTTTCTTTTTATTTCTTACTCTTTTTAAAAAATGAAACTCTTTTCTATTGTTACTATAGTTGCTTTGCCTGCTCTTATATCTGCTGCCAGAGAAAATTGTGTATCCAATGACATTGATTGTAGTGTAAATCCTTGTTGTCCCGGTTTTGACTGTAGCAGTGAAACTCAGCGATGCATCCCGGAGAGACCAAAGAAATTTTGTAAAATTTTGGGACTTACATGTGGACCTGATTCGAAGAAATGTTGTCCAGATACTTCTTGTGATGCTGTTACCGGAAGATGTGTCATCGACCCATAAGTGATAAGAAGACTTACTATAACTTTTTCATGAAAATAAAAATCATAAAAATGTATTATGCATTTTGCTGTTGGTGTGACCTTGTGTTTTATCGTAGTTTTACTTATTCTCATCTCGCGCTCTACATATATAACAGACTCTTTAAAAAAATATACGTAATAATATTCCTAGACAAAAGTTTTTACTTGAGCATGGCTTTACATTTCACGCGTCGTATCAGCTTCCCCACACGACTTTTTGTGTAACCATGCATTAAGGTATAAAAAGAAAACTGCGCAGCTCATTTTTTTATTTTTTATTTTTTTCACTGTTATTTTTTTTTTATATAAAAAAACGCCATGTCACGAAGAAGCACCCGACCTTCCACAGCGCCTGAATTTATTCGCAACCTTCGTTTACTTGGTTTTGAACCACCCTGTAACAGCAAATGGGTTGTCAGTCCACAAACATTTACAGTCAATGCTAATAGTATCAAAGCATTCGAACATGTCAGTTACTTCTTATTCCAATTACTTGACAAAAAGAAGGCCGAAACAACCTTTACAGGAGTTTGGCCTATTACAGACCCCAAAAAATCACGCGAGTACCGTCGGCTCGCCTTTCAGTGGTTAAAGGGTATTCAACCAAGAACTCAATTAATCGAAGTCGCTTTGCGAAAAAGTTATTTTATCGATTGTCGTGGGGAACCATTTAACAAAATCGTCTCGGCTTTTTCAGCTTATGTCGTCGAAAGAAAGCTAATCAGTCGTAGAGGTGAGAAAGAAAGAAGGAAAAAATTAATTCATTAGTCCAGAAAAGAAACTGACGTTATTTATGCTTTTGCTTTAGATGTTGCTATGTACAGTTCCTTTACAGCAAGAACAGACCAAGATGATAAGCCCAGCGTTGCTGGTAAGCGATCCACGGCGCACCGTCCGGAAACAACTGAAGTGTTGCTTCAAAAGAAGACAAAAACCCGAGCTCCAGTTGATTTACTCGAGTCATCTTTAAATTCAACACCACCCACATACCCCTCAGCAGTAGCACCTATTCCATCACCACATCAATCTCCATCGCCACATCAATCTCCAGCACCACATCAATCTCCAGCACCACATCAATCTCTAACATTATATCAATCTCCATCATCACATCAATCTCCATCACCATATCAATCTCCATCACCACAACAATCTCCATCACCACATCAATCTCCATCACCACATCAATCTCCATCACCACATCAATCTCCATCACCACATCAATCTCCATCACCACATCAATCTCAATCTCCATCACCACATCAATCTCCAGCACCACATCAATCTCCAGCACCACTTCAATCTCCAGCACCATATCAATCTCCAGCACCACATCAATCACCATCACCACATCAATCTACAGCACCACATCAATCTACAGCACCACATCAATCTACAGCACCACATCATTCTCCAGCACCACATCAATCTCCAGTATCAACGTCACCAGCACCACATCAATCACTAGTATCACATCAATCACCAACATCAACTTCACCAACATTTTCCTTTTTCAGAACCAAAATTACTGATGAAGAAAATCCCTTCATGGTTGATGATGGGCAAATAGGAATGCCAATATCAACCCCCCAAAAAATTTGTGAGAAGGAAGCTATTGCCGAGAAATTTAAAAAAATACAAAGGGAAGTATTGGAGAAGGCACAGCAGGTATACCCCGACGTGTCCTTCATTGAGGCTATTCAATTAAAGGTTGCAAACTTTCGTCGTGATCGGGAGGATTTGCCCTTCTTTGACCAGGATAATGTGAATCTGGCAACTGCAGCAAGAACAGAAACTGCATCACCAAGCAGATAATACCCAATAAAAAAATTAATTTATTTTGTTTATTGTTTGTCTTCTTGGGGTTATAAAAATCGGAATTAAGAGTGATATTTAAAGACTGATCTGCAGTTTCAGACTACTTGTTAGATGTAGTTTTTTGTTAGTTAATGGCGTATCACATACTCGTTTAGCCATTATATCAAAGTTAGTGTTCGGAATGAAGATCGAAACTCTCGAGCGAGCTTCGATCGTGTTCCAGTCGAACTCGCTCGAATTTTCTTAAGCTCGGCTCGGCTTTGCAAAGGAAAGATCGAACTTTCTCGCATTTTTTATTACATGCAAGTTGTCAATTGCAGAAAGTTATGTTTATTAAATATTATTTATTAAAATACGATTTAACGTAAAATACGAATTAATGAGAATAAAATTGACAAGTTCCAAGGTACGATAAACTACGGCGTACACTGCAATACATAGAGTAAAGTGTAAACGATTAGGATCCTATAACCAAGAAAGCTTATTGACAGTTTCTACTAAGTACAACCAGTGCCAATGTTCGGCTTAATCAAGTTTAGCTTAAATTTTTGTATCATTTATTTGAGAAGACTGGATTTTTTAGATGCGTTTGTTAAACCATTAAAATTAGAAATTATGAAGCAAAAAAAAAAAAAGAAGTTGAAAGTATTTTTTAATAGAAAATGTTATTGTCTGTCTTTTTGCAGCCTTGAAAGAGTTGACTTATACAGATTCAAAGACCATTCAGTTTTAATTGGACCGTTTCGTCTTTTTAAAGTTAATGCATGGCTCGCTCGAAGATCGCTCGAATCCAAAAAAGGTGGCTCATACTCGAGTATAAAAACTCGGTTCAAGCTTTGTTCGAACCGGCGCAAGATCGGTGCAAGCTCAGAAAGTTCGAACACTAGTATTCACAATACGTGACAGTTGGTAACAAATGCATATCTGTTACAGTTATAGGAGCAGTATCTTCGCCGGCGACTGACATTAGCATTGAGTGCTGCGAAATACAAAAAAAGTGGGGTCAGTAAAGATAGCATCATTGGTATGTTGCGTACAGCAAACCTTACCTTGAGTGTTAAAATAGAACACAAGGTGTGTTCCAAAACCAGATTTGAACTATTGAGTCGAGGTAACTGGCCCCAGCTAATCTTCTCGTACGGGTAAAGCCCATATATGAAACGTACATTGTAAAATTCAAACGAACAATCTAGACGATATACGCACATATAAACAATTATGAAACAGCATTCATTGTCAGCACTTACCATATATCAGAATGTCAAAAGTTACATGCTTGTGGGCGGCACTGGTGGTTTTTAAGAGAAGATGCAAATGACGTTTGGCTGTTTCCAGCACCCTCACTCTAGCCTTGTCCACTTCACACTTTGAAGCACCTGGCCTTTTGATCTCCCCATTGGCAATTTCGAGTTCAGTACCGCAAGCTAAAATTGTGCTAAAGAACACATCAGGACGGATGCAAACATTATCGGGGGACTTAGAACAAGTGGTCAAAGACGTGTTATCCCTAATAATTATAATTGGCATGAGTGACTCAGAGTCAAACTTTTAAAACAAACTTACCAAACAAGACGAATATTTTCTTTTGAGGGCCATAGTGTACCAAAGAGGCAACTGATACAATCTGCAATTGAAGGGCCCTCAAACTGTTTTTTTAAAGAACCCGATTAAGGTATTTTTAAATATAGATTTTTTTTTCGTAAAATGTTACATTTTTCCAAATGGAGTCATTAAAATATAATCGTCCATATACAGACGATTATATTTTAATAATTCTAGTTGAAGCAGTGTTGTGCGCATTGTCATAGAGATCTTTTACAACGGTATTTGCTGTTGACATTTCAACTTTCTCGGTGTCAATCGTACGAAGTCAGAAAGTGATAAACACCAAATATATTGTTTTGTTAGCTTTGAGCTAAGCATCGATATTTCCGCGTATATTTCATCGACAAAGCTGGGACCATCTGAGCACCACAAACTAGAGTCATCACAAATGATATCAGCAGTGGGATTACTTACAGATTCATTTTTGTCAGAAGAGCTGCTACTAACACAAATGTCACTGGAGAGACATTGTGAGTTATCGTCACCTTCATTGCTTTTTTCCTCCAAAGTGCTTATCAAATATGAATGCTTATTTACTGCTTTGACCTTCGGAGTTAATTCTTTCAAGCTGTCTTTTTCGGATATCGCGGGCAAAATTTTCTGTCTCTTGTATGAACGCTTCACAGGTAGACTCGATCCTCCTTTTTCTTATTGTTTGTTCTGCGTCTAACCTCACTTTACTAATGACTTGTTCATTGAGTTGGTTCCAGTCAACATTTCCATAGTCTAAATTTATATCTTCTCTGTTTAAACACTCAGTGGCGATTCTTGCAAATCTGCTGCTCCAGGTTGATTGAAGTCGAGGGTCAGCTGGGAAATGTTTAGACATCCGTATTTTTTTTCAAACGTATTTTTTTTTATACCACTTACAGCAAGTCTGGCCAAGACCAGAAGGCCAGTATAAATAAAACTATTTACAGTGCAATCACAGCCATTCACAGCCTCTGAGTTTCCAAAAACTCAAGAACCCTGCTACAGGAGGTCACCCCTCCTATAGCAAAGACTAGCCGCAGCCGCAATATCACAACATATCTTTTTTTCATTTTAGCTTCTTCTCAAAGAAACAAGAGTCAAAACTAAACTAACCTTTTTACGTGATCGGTTAATTTTATACGATAAAAGAAGTATGTTAAGGGAAAAGAAAAAGGAGAAGAATAAAGTGTGTGAACCAGCTTTATTTGTAGGCTGATAAACAAGCTTATGTCAGGATGATTTAATTGCTTGTTTCATCATCCATAATGTTTGGGCCTTTACTTAAATTAGAAACATTGGCAAAAACCTCCCAAGCAAATCAGAACTTGGTAGTTGTCTATCTGCGCTCCAGTAGTAGCTTGTAAATGATAGTGAAACAGATTTTAAGGAAAACAAAAATCGATCATCCTATGAAGTTTAGATGACATGGCATGTCAATCGACGTAAAGACTTATGTGTGGATCATCATGTGATTCTAAAAAATACAGTTCTAGACATTTCCCTGCTTTCTATAAAAAATACGTGTAAAATTGGATCGAGAGGGTGTTGGGCAATCTTTAGAAAAATGACACATATATATCGCAAGAATGGCACTGGATACAATCTTTAGATTTCTGACACTCATATTTAGTGTGCTGGTCGGAATGACGGTATCTACACCAAATAGGCGTTGCGGTAAATGTTGCGTGACAAAACCCATCACAGCCAGCAAGGAAGATATTGAGTGTCAATGTCTTAAATTTATGGTTCTTGAGACGTTGGAGAACAACATATCCACCACCCATAAAAAAACCACGCACAGGTTCAAATTTGAGGCCGACATACTTCACTTCACCAAAGAGAGACAGCGCCTTAAGGAGTTCTGAGCGAAGTTCAATATGACTCGGAAAAGGAAGATCAGACAGGTTCAAGTGGACTACACCTTCGCCTTCCAAAGCTTTACACGGAATAAGTCGGAGCTTAGATTTTCCGTAGCTTACCCCTTTAGTATTAAAGATGGCGACAATGTTGTCGCTTATCGACAACGTTGTCGATTTTAACTAAAATCCAATTGGCTGATTGAAGTTGAAATCGACAATTGAGAGGTCAGGGTGGACCTCAATGTAACGATCTTTGTTCCGTCCTGACACTTTAACACCACGGAATTTATGCGAACCTCTATATTGATCAGCGATCTCTACAAAGTGTTCATGTTCTTTGACCTTAGGGATCTTAGAGATGTCAAGAAAGTAACCATCGGGCAGATGGGAATGTTTCAAAATGTTGGACTGAATAACTGAAATTAAGTCATAAAAAAAACTGCGCAGCTCAATTTATTTTTGCTCTTCTTCACTGTTAATTTTTTTTTAAAACGGATGTCACGAAGAAGCATTCAACCTACAACAGCGTCTGTATTCGTTCGCAACCTTAATTTACTTGGTTTTGAACCTCCACTTAACAGTAAATGGGTTGTTAATGAACAAACTTTTACAATCAATGCTAACAGTGTCAAAGCATTCGAACAAATCAGTCATTTCTTATTCCATTTACTTGACGAAAGAAAGACCAGAACCACATTCATGGGAGTCTGGCCAGTTACAGATCTCCGAAGATCTCATGAATATCGTCGACTTGCCTTTCAGTGGCTGAAGGACATTCAACCTGGCACTCGATTGATGAATGTACCTTTAAGAAAAAGCTATTTTACAGATTGTCACGGTGAACCGTTCAACAAAATCGTCTCGGCTTTTACTGCTCTTGTGGTAGACCAACAACTAAGTAATAATAAAGGTAACTAAGAAATAAAAAGAAAATGGGAATAGTCCAGCAGTGAGGCTGACATTTGTTTCTGTTTTGCTTTAGACGTTGCTATGGATGGTTCATCTTCAACAGGAACAACCCAATATCCTAAGCCGAGCGCAGCTGGCAAACGATCCACTACACACCGTCCTCTCACAAATGATACGCTTCTTCAAAAGAAGACAAAATCTCAACCTCCGGTTGATTTACTCGAAACATCCTTAGATTTAACACCACCCTCATACCCCCGAGCTTTATCGCCCATTCCAGCATTACAACAATCATCAGCATTTATTTCACCAGTTCCATCCTCCCCCAACCGCCAAACGCCATCCACTTGTAAATCACGATTCATTTCATCCGAAAAAGACTCTTTATCATCATCATCATTATCATCACCAATAAATGCAGCATCATCCACAGCAAATAACACCCCACCATCAAGCACAGGTATATTATCATCCTCAAACCCTGTTGAATTAGCATCTACAATAGAAAATCATCTGCCGCCCGTAACAGAATATCCTTTGTCACCCTCAGTAGAGGCACCTCCACCCATTTCACCTGCTCTAGAATCCGTCCGATTTTCAAGCTTTATTGAAAAAATACAACGGGAAGAACTAGTTTATAAGAAAGAACTAGCTCGAAGAGACAAAGAGCGATATACAAGGGAAAGCCTCGAACGAAATCGTCTTTTACTTGACAGTCGTTCTAGTGTCACTGATAAAGAAAATATATTTGTTGTCGACGATGGACAATCAGCAATGGAGAAGCCATCTCACGAAAAATTGCATGAGAGGCAAGCAACTCCAGAAAGTCCCAAGATGAACCAAAAGGAAGCTAAACCTCTTCGCCCTGATTTGTCTTGTATTGAGGTTGTAAAATCCAAGGTCGCAACCTTTAATCGTGAACTGGATGATTGTGCTTTGGATATGCGGGATAAGGCTGGATCATCACCTTTAAACATGGGTATGGATGTAAAAGAAATCGCCGGTCAACCTCAACACGACGAGACGATAAAAAATGTTGGGAGTGCCACTAAAGCCGATTTAGAAACTGAAAGAATCGAACGCGATCTTAATCAAAAAGAGGCCCATAGCATTGGGGATCTGGAGAAAGCTACGGACTCGGAAATAATCAAGGATCGGGTAGAGGCTGAAAAGAGCACGATCGAACAAAGACATGAGGAAAGAGGAGAGCATGAAGAGAGAAAGTTCGAGAAAAGAATAGAAGCGGAGGAAGCTGAAAGGGCCGAATGGGTTAAGCGCATGGAAGATGACAGAAGTGAAGAAAGATCGAAGCGTGAGAGTGAGGAAAAATTAAATGTCATGGCTGCTAAAGAGGCTGCAATAGAACATGAACATAAGGAATATGTAGCACAACAGTTGGAAATTATCAGCAAAACTTATGATCAAAATCCTCAACAAGGACTATTTCTCTTGGTTGATACTGACGGTTTTTCGCACAAAAATCGTACAACACGCGATGTAGAAAAATTAGATTTCGGACGCAACCCATATGAGGATTTCTTTTCTAAAGCCAAAACAACTAATACAGACGTACATAAATCTAAAAATCCAAGTCCACCCCAGGTCAAAACTGAGCTTTGTACAAATCGATCACCAAGCTTTGTAGATGTCTTGCCTGATCCCTGGGATTTTAGCTCTCCTGATCACAGTCCCTCTCATCGCAGTCCTCTTCGCTTCAGTCCTTTTCGTTTCGGTTTTCATTCTCTCGATTATTCTGCCAGCCTTACTGACGCATTCTACGAAAACAAGGATGACGAGAATTATACATCACCAGACCAACTGTTTTTAAAGAAGAACCCCGAATCAAGTATACCAGGTATGCAAGAAAGTGACAGCCGTGGCCCATTAGAATATGGAAGAAGTCCAACGCGGGGTGTGATCTATGCCAGTTCTCTGCCAGCAAAAGCAGAACTACCAAACCCGTTTCTGGATACAAACTCACTGATGCAACCTTCCGAATTTGAAAGAAGACTACATCGATTGACAAAGAATACACCACCCGAAACAGGCATAGTGGATGACATTGCTATTGCTCCCAGTCCACCACAACCACGTAGGCCATTCACCAAGAAACGATTTGAGTATGCTGCTTTGCCAAGAACACCATTAAAAGAATTTTCACGATCTCCTTTACACAATGCAGCCTCTACTATGCCCGTGGTAGGATCACCCTTGCGTAAGTCTTTTATCAGCACTAGAAGCAGTCTTTCAGGAGAAGAATATGACTCCGTGGCTGACATTCGCCTTGAGGAACCACCTCACTATTCACCCTCAAAGTTCGAAACTCCAAGGAAGTATAATCATGAACATGACTATAGTAAATTTATATTTTCGATGGGTCATACTCCAGAACAATAAATCTTTTTTTTACATAAGCTTTTATTAATGACAAGAAAATCAACTTTTTTTTTTTTTTTTTTTTTTGCTTTTCATGGTGGAAAACGCCATTTCGTCCTATCAGATCTCAATACTTCTTATGGACTCACTCCCAATGCTTCATCTTCCGTAGTAAACATCTATGTCGATTCAAAACCAAATAACTGATGACTACGTTCAACCAAATTGAAATTCTCAGATTTAAGTCTTTAATGAAAAAGATGCGCCCAATATGATTTCATATTCCCATTTTTAAAAAAGCTGCCCATAATATACCCAATATTGACAATCAACTCTTTCCTGCACCTTTTTTTCGCTTAACACGCTGTTTTGAATTGAATTTTATACATAGATAACCGTCGTCCCCGTACGTCCTTTCAAGCCAAAAAAAAAAGCTCAGAATCATCTAAAATATTATATTAGATTTTTGATTTTAAGATTTTTTTTTAAAAAGACCTAAAATCGGCTAAAACACAAAGGGTATACCTCGAAGAAAATCCCAAATTTTACAAATGAACCTTTTGAATACCCTTCCTGTAGGTTTAATAAAAAGTGGTTATAGGTAACTATCACTCAAATTTAGTGCCTTTTAAACTGGTATTGTTTTGAAGCAGTTTTATTATACCAACACTTATTTTAAGCGCATAGTTAAAAAACCAGTTTTTGTTAGATCAGGTAAATTATTTCTACACACAAAAATGCTTTTTAAAACCTATTAAAATATGCGTCTCAATTTCCTGAGAATTTTGGGTATAAAACTATCTTAGTAAAATTTTAATATACAGGGACTTTACTTTGACACAAAAATTATAAAATGTCATTTTTGATCAAATCGTTTCTGGAAAAGCGATTTTGTTTTCTCTGATTATAGACTCCATAAGCGTCGGGGAACAAAAAGAATTAGATGGTCTCGAGGCTGCCGTTTGCGCGCACATTTTCCACGTAAAACATGTTTTTCGTTAAAACACAACAGTGGATCGTCAAAAAACCCTCAGGCCTAAGATTAAGCTTATAAAATTAGCACTTATGTCGAATTTGAGTATGATTCACTCTAGAATAAATAAGCAGATCGTTTAAATAAAATAAAAACAACCTTTGATGTTGTATAGCAGCATACACATGTATACTGCTATACAACTTCTCCTTTTATAAGTACATACTTCTATATTAAAAGTTGCACGATTGGCTAAAATATATATGTGGCATTTGACAATGAAGTAATACACTTTGAGAAATACTGTGATAAAAGTATGTTTTATTGGTGGTAAAAATAGACTAAAAGAACTCTACTGCTATGAAATAACGCATCTTTTTATATTTCCCAAGTTGTACTAGATCTATACTTTGAATTAAATGAATACTACTCGTTAGGATTGTCTTCAGTTAACGTTGTCACATATCAGTGGATCGGGAGTACAGCTATTCTAATAAATACTTAGTGTTACGATACACTTATTTGTAAGATTTTGTGCAACGGTTACTGGTTTATTTCATCATTTGATGTTGCATGATCTGCATTGACCTAAATTTTAAGCTCTGATACAAAAGACCCTGAAACCTTACTATATGTCAATATTAGCTGTTTCGGCCTCAAAACAAAAATAAAGGGGGGGGGGGGGGTTGATAACTTAAATGATAGACAGGTCAAATTAAAAGTTATTACGCTGATACACTTTCGCTATTCCGTTATGTATTTTATTTTACGTTAGATTGAACGGGAGTAAAGGGCAAATAATTTGGTAATAACGCATTCACACGTACTTAAAATTACAGCAGAGTCGATACCGGCCTAAAAATTAATTGTCTCGTACGTGCTCGCTAGACGTATTGCGTGTGTAGATCTTTTGAGTAAATCGGCAATGCATGGTACTAATAGATTTGTGGTTGTAAAAGAAATAAGTTTTAATATTCTTGTCTCGGTTCGAATTTCTGTCATATAAAAAAAGAAAGATAAATACATATTTTGAGTAGCTTTTCATTTTTTTTAAAAAAAAAAACAAATATATAAGAATCATGCAGTTTCCAATCATTCATTCGGCTATTTTTTTAGTCGCTGCACAATGCATTTTAGCCGCTCCAACCGGCACTACACTCAATATGACGATCTCTTTAGACGGCCTAGCTCCTCAATTTTCCCCTGTATTTCCCAACATTAACGTTTCACTGTCTCACAGCATTCCCTTTTATAACAATGGTCCGTTAGATACAAATAACACGCTATCCAATGTCACACTCGATTTGAGTAACTACCCAGTTGCGTGGAGCAAACCCGATGTCAACCATCCCGAGGTAAAAGCCGTAATCAAACAAATCAATTGGCACCTTGTACCAGACTACGTTCCAAAAACGATGCTTGATTACGACCTGGATCAGACTCATTACGATGAAGAAAAGGATGATACCTGCTGGTGGACTTCTACCAACTGTGTTAAACCGAAGCTCACTTACTTACCACAGGATTATTACACCTGCCCTACCAAAGGAGATTGGGGTCTTTCGTACGACGATGGTCCATTGAATATGCGAACTGAATATGATGGCGAAGATTTTGAGATGGAAAATAGGTTTGCGGAGCCTAGGCTTTACAACTTTTTAGCCAAAGAAAATGTTACCAGTACACTTTTTGTAAGTTTTAATATATATTTTTAATGTGAATTATAACTAAGCCTTTTTTATAAAAAAAAAAGTATATCGGATCCAATGTATTAACTTACCCAGATGCAGCAAGACGGGCACTTTTTAACGGACATACGCTATGCTCACATACATGGTCTCATCCAGCCATGACAACACAAACGAATGAGCAAGTAGTGGCTGAACTGTATTGGACACTTAAAGTTATTAAAGAAGCAACGGGGGTCACACCCAAATGCTGGAGACCACCTCAGGGCGATGTAGATGATCGTATTCGATCTATTGCGTGGCAGATGGGTATGAGCACCGTGATTTGGGATAGAGACACAGAAGATTGGGCAATGCCTGCATTGGGCAGTGGGTACTACCCTCCTGCTATGGTTGATGCACTATTCGAGAAATGGATTGAGGAGGAAGAGAAAAACTTGACAAGCAGTGGTATCATGGTACTGGAACACGAATTAAATCATGCTACAATCAGTATGACGGAAAAATGGATACCGATCCTAAAGAAAACATTTAATGTGGTCTCTGCTTTAACATGCAATGGCGTCTTTCAACCCTATTGGGAAACAGATTTCAAATACCCTAACATTTATAACTTGAGTTCTACTGAAGAAACAAATTCTACTACTACTAAGGTCACACAATAGCCAAAAAAAAAAAACTTTTTTTATTACATGCCAATAAAAAAAAAAATGCAAACAAATAACTTTTTCTAAACGTCAAAATGCACCCATTCATCCATCAGCGTATCTACTTCTAATTCTTCGTTCGTTTGATCGCCTGGTCTCATGGAAGCGGTAGAAGACGCCCTCAGTCTACCAGAGGAAGGACTTCCACTCGGACTCGAATTCAAGGAAGCTGTTGATTTCTGTTTGGAGATGGGTGAGTGTAATTTAGGTGCGTCCTTGGCTAACTTTTGTCCGTCAGCAAATAAGTTCTCAAACAACTCTCTGCCTAGACTCTTTTGACGATCAGCTGCAGATTTCACCAGCTTGAAGCTGTTCGTAAATCCATGATCAAACAGCATTTCTAAGGATTCGTTCGTAAGTACAACCATACGGAATGAAGGTAAAGTGATATCCACTATGTCTGCTAATAAAGCGTTTTGGAGCTGCTTTATACGTCCATGGAAGGATTCGCCGTCGGCTGTCATGGTTAAATCTGCCAATCGATGTGTCAGTGTAGCTTCATCGGGTTGATCTCCCTTTGCAATGTCCGACTGCTCGCAACTGTGTACAACCAGACTTGTGACAGCATCCCAAGCAATATCCGTATCTTTCAGTATACTCAATAACCAGTAAAGTTCCTTACTCATGTTGATGATATCGTTGCTTCTTAAAATTCCGTCTCTATCCTCATCATAAAGATTAAAAAACCAATCCATATGCGACATCAAGTCCTATATGAACGTTGGTTAATTGTGTTTCCGTGTGATGAGTTTTTTTTTTTTTTTTTTTTTCTCACCCCGTGTAAAATTTCGCTCATGCCCAGCACAGCGTGTTGAAAATCTACCAGGTGATCAGGAGCGTCCGCGATAAAGACGTTATAGAGGCGATCTAAAAAGCTGTTACGGACGTCTCTAGCGGCGTGTTCGTCTGGAGAGTCATTAACAGGGACTTTTCTTGCCCAAGATGTCATGGAAGCTAGCATACTGCCAAAAGTCTCTCTATCCATCTTTGATTCTGGTTTACCACCCACTTCGTGATTAGCATAATAGAGTGCGGCAAAGAATTTGTCGTAGAGGATACCGATTTCTTCCTTGTTAAAAGTAGCCATGTCGTCCAAATGCCTAATGACGGTCCGTTTTGTAAAGGATTCGATGCCGGCACCGACTTTTAACTGGTTTTGACTACGTAGTTCTATCACCAGTTCTTCAGTCACAAGAGAAAACTCTCGGTACTATTTGTATATATTAGATTGGTTGTGTGATATAGGGAGAAGGGGGGTGAATATCTTACCGCAGTCAACATGACTTCATTGAATTTCTATATAATGAGGGAGAGGTTAATTTCAATCGGTCTATTAAAGGACAGAGTGCTTACTGTTAATTTTGTATGCCGGCCGTTATCTTCCAGTTGACCGATATAGTGAAAGAAATTCTTCAAAATATCTAAAAAGGCACCATCGTCTCTTGTCTGCAAAAGCTCTTCGCCATTTATCTTTAGTATTGCCAATCTATACTTGGATGAAATTAATATTCGTATGTTTAACAAATAACAAACAAAACACCAGTTTACCCAATTTGAAATAAAATCCTTGGGCCTTCCATAAATAGAATATCCAGCACACGTACAGCAAATTCCAAGGGCATTGAGTTAATATACAAACTGAGAAACCAAGGGAGACAAGCGACAGAGAGCTCGACATTGGTCTTTTTGAAATGGGACCATAAAAGTGGCATAGTCTTTTCTACAAGCTGCTCAAATGTGATCTGATCCAATAAGGCGCCATACATGTTGGTACTGTAATAACCGGGACACATGCGGTCGACGAGAATATGCAGGATCCAAAAGGCCTGCTCTTCAGTCGTGTAAATTAAGAGGGCTGATACTACAATATTCATGGCTTGACAATAGCCTAATTCAGGATTCTTCCAAGCGTAAGCGGTGAGCACACGTCTTAGACGATTAATGCCTTCTGTGCTCTGATAGCCTGGGTATTCAGGAAGCGATCTGAGTTTCAGGATAAGTTTGATGTGTATTTATGATGCATGGTGTTTTATTACCTGTTTAAATCTTTCTCAATCTCTTCGGTGGATAAGGAAGCTTGATCTTTGTACTTCTCGAGTATTTCATGGTATACGCCTGGATTAGCAAAACGCAGGTACATGGCACCTGAGGCAGCTTCCCATATTTCACCTCTTAATGAGTTGGGTAAGCCCACCCGAACAAGTTTTCCAAAGGTGGGTAATTTTACCATGGTCAAGTTCCGACCGTTCTCTTGAAAGTATAACTTCCAAAGTTTTGTCTTGCTTTTATCTTTAGATCGCTTTGAATTCTCAGGATATCCATAGTCCATACCTAACCCACCGACATGGATTTTGGTGTCTACAAGACTATCCGTTTTAAATAACTGTTCCGATTCGCAAGTTGCCATAAATGGTTTGACTCTTTTAAAGGTAGGTACTTGTTTTAGTAACAAGCTTTTTAAAGTTTCACAGAACTGATCGCCGTCGATTTTTTCAGCCTGAGGAATATGTTAAAAAATTGAGGATGTGAGCACACACACACACACATACACACACACACACACACACACATACTTACGTGTAACAAGAATTCGTGTTCCATTTTGTGACATGTTGTTACAACAACACCGGATGTATAAGCGCCACTGTTCATTCTCTCTACGCGCTTGATGGTATATAATGGAAGCACTGCTTTACAAACGGGTAAATGTTGTTGGGGTGCTGGTAATCTTTCTTGAGACTCAAAAGCTAAAAAATTCTGGGACAAATACACTCTTCCGAGTAAATTGACTTGACCTGGAGGCACTTGTGGATAAAATTTATTATCACGATCTGGACAAGCGTCTTTGGAATAAGTAGCGTCCATGCCTTTGATCAAGTTTTCGGTGGCGGGTAGTCTAAATCGAGCGTGATAAGCTTGGTCTCGCTTCCGAGCAGCCAAGTCGTGTTTTAGAGGACTCACAAGTTGATGATGAGAACGTGAGTCAGTGATTTTCGAAGTCTCTTGTAAGCTACGTTGATGAATGATTTCGGAGGCTATAAAGTCGGCATCGTTGGATTGACCAGGTGCTTCACCACCGGCATTTTTCAGCCATTTTTGCATCGCTTGACCGGTGAGTTGGATTAACAAGTCATATACTTCGTCTCTTTTAAACATGTTGGAAAGCGGGTACTATTATGTACATCATTTAGAAAGAAAAAACCTTTTTTAAATATAAAAATTTAATTACCTCTTCTTTATCCTTGGTAATAATCCTTAAACTATCATCAAATATACCCTTTGACTTTTCCTTTTTCAACTCTTGAATGTCCTTTAATTCAATCAATATCTTTGTCTCTGCGCCAAGTAAAAATGAATGGAATCCAATGTAATTCTCACTCATGTATAACCATCCCTGTCTGCCCTTGTAAGCACAAGAATAGTCTATGAATGGATGATAGTTTAGGACACAATAAAAATTGGATGGAAATTTTAATGACTTACAGCTGACAAAGCGTTCTGAATGCGGTATATCAAAGATCTGACGAAATGTTCTTGAAGCATTTCTTACGTTTTCATCCGACGATAGTTCATCCGACCCATATTCGATAGCGGTGACAATCATGTGTATTTTTTCTGCCACCCATTTCTCTTTTTCGAACGGATTATCGATCGTATCTAATTCGGGCATGATATTTTTTTCAATCCAAAACCAAGCGGCATCTATGGCTTTATCTGATTCAGCTACAGCCACTTGAAGGCACATCGTGTTGACGTCTCGTTGGAACAGGATACGATAAGGTGGTAATTTGGTATCAAACCTGTAATATCGTCATGTCAGATACAAAAAAAAAAAAAAATGCATAGAAATATAGACACAACTTACACGCTGGCAATGGTGCTGAATAAACTTTTGAATATGGGGTTTCCCGGTGAAGAAGACTTCTGCAAGAGAAAGTTGTCCTTTTGTAACACAGTGGACCAAAAAGGTGTCAGTGTAATGTCAATGGGTGTTGGTAATGTAAACACCTTTTTTTTTCAATCGATTAGTTAAAAAGTGTGTGCGGACGTCTTTTTATTTACTTCTTCTGTATATTACTTTACATTTTGTGGGACACCAGCTGTAGACGCATGATATTCAGTCATTTTGGTTATATTTCGTTTATTTTTGTGTGTGAATGGCTGTTAACACCGAGTTATAGTGATGGGGAAAGGGAAAAAATACGAAGTAGTAAAAGAGGAACAAACACAAAAAAAAAAATCGGATTACAAAATAGTATGGCCAATCAGAGTGCGTTTGTATGTTTACTATTCTCTTTTATCAGTTCATGCTACTTAGACACCGCACTCATGCGAATTACTCAATGATGTTGACGTATAAGCGGCTATACATGCATTTTATTTAACACTGTAGAGAATTATGCAATGCCCCGTCATATCAAGTTTTATCAGCTGATAAATTTTGTGGCTCTCTTTATTCCAATTCTCAATCAAAAAGCTTAATCCGAATTCGGTTTTTTTTTTTCTCGGGAAATTGCTACCCACGCCTGATTTTTTTTATAAGCCAGTAGAAACTATAATCGACTTATGCTTAATGCTTAAATTGCGTGTTTTTTTTGTGCTGGGTGCTCATTAGATTAACAAAATAACATACAGATCCATGCAGTAAACATATGTGCCGTTGGTTCACCACAGTTGAGTACGGACCACAAAATATTGTAAACTATTAACGTATGTCTACATTTTAAACATGTCGGAGTTACATGGTAGCACTTCCTTTTTGGAAAAGCGTATAATGTTTGTTAGAAAGTAAATAGACGTTTGGGATATTAAATTCAAAAAGAGATAACCCCAAATCATTGTTAAAAATTTAATCAAACATCATCGTAAATCCCGCTATACATTGATCAACTCTAAAGGATTTTGTTTTCAGAGTACAGACAACAGCGTCGGTGTCCAAAAAAAATGTGAAAACTGGCAACAGCAAGTAGAAAAGGTAACGCCATTCCCTTCCCTCAGCTAAAGCACCGAAACACACACCCCCTTCCTTTTTTTTTTTTTTTTTTTTATTCGTAATGACCACCCCACTGATGAATGATGACTTGAATAACTCACCTCGGTCTCGACCTTCTTCTATCCGAAGAGTTCGTAGAGGCAGGGTAAATACACAAAAAAAAAGAGTAAAAGGGATGCATTGTCATGGCTTTGACTAATGAAACCAATAAAGGAAAACTCTATTATCAGCAGTGCACCTAATTCACGACCTTCATCTCGTCCTTCATCTCGACCAGTTTCACCCACTGGAAGTAACTACATGAATAATACGGAATCTAACCCACTTGATGAACAAGTGATACCCACTGCCATTGTAATCAAAAACATTCCGTTTTCCGTCAAGAAGGATGCACTTTTGAGTAAGCTTGTAAGTAAAATAGTGTGTGTGTGTGTGTGTTTATATGCAAAGTGTGATATTTTGACAATAATTATAGACTTCTTTGGATGTACCTGCAGCCTATGCGTTCAATTATCATTTTGATAATGGGGTGTTCCGTGGACTAGCCTTTGCCAATTATCGAACGGCAGAAGAAACAGAAATAGTGGTTAATACCATTAATGGGCTCGAAATTGGTGGCCGTAAATTACGTGTCGAATACAAAAAGATGTTGCCTACTGCCAGCAATAGTAGCAATTTATCCGAATACATCAATAAAAGGGAGATCATACCCCATCCTTCCTCATCAACCTCTTCTCAGCCTAGTTCTCCCTTGATCAGTAGTGCAAGTACGAGTGAGCGTAGATTAACGAGTAACCCTGACGAAGGTAATATATATATATATATATATATATATGCATAAAAGATGAAGGATACTAGATACTAAAAGGTGCAATGACATAGATACGCTTGATTTAAATGATCCTGCTGTCTTGGAATTATACAGCTTTCTTTTACTGTTCCGTGGAGACCCCAATGCCAATGAGATTGCCTTACCAAAGACACTTTCTGCCAAGGAGCGCAGAGATGCTCATTTGATTGCCGATCGACTTGGATTGGCACATTATTCGGATGGATTTGGGTCCGAGCGCCAAGTTTTGATTGAAAAAAGAGGCACCACTCCTGCACCCATTGTCCGACTTCAACATAAGAATTCAAGAGGCACACTCCGCTCCTCGCCTAGTCGTGATCGTTTGAATGCCAATACCAACAATTCTGGTGATAACAAGAGAGATTCTTATCGAAAGTCCATGATGTAACTACAAACATAACAATGAAAAAATTTAATCTGTACTAATAAGAACAAAATAGGAGTACGAGTACTACTGCTGAACTTGCTACTGCCTCTAATACGATTCATCCTATTCGTCAACCTCGAGGTCCTGAACCTGGAAAGAACTTTGCTTCTCGTCAAAATAACATAGGAGATGCATTGTCTGAAGCTTTAGCTCGTCAACATATAACTCATGTGGGTGCTTAAACATTTAAGCCAATTTAAAATAAAATCTCAGTTGATGATTATAAAAAACACGTTTTAATTTGACCTCATTTTTATTTTTTTTTCCTTTTTCTTTATCAACATTATAAAAAAAACATAAAAATCATGTCTTGGGATTCACAACTTTCACCACAAGAAGCAAAGTATTTCCTTCAATTATTTCAGTCTGTGAGTAAAACACAAGAAGGCATTGTCACTGGCAATGAAGCCGTACGCTTCTTTGCTACTTCGGGTGTACCCAACGAAATATTATCAGAGGTATTGTGTAAAGAAATGTACAAGAAAAACAAATCACATATTGAAAAGATACAACACTAGATTTGGGAAGCTGCTGATCGTGACAAGGTGGGATACCTCACTCCAGAAACTTTCTCCATTGCTTTAAAGCTAATTGCCTGTGCCCAGCATGGCAAAGAAGCTTCTGAGCCCGTCTTGGCTACAGGTAAACAAATAAGAGTCAGAGAGCCCTTAATTCGAAAAGCTAAAAATATAACAACAAATAGTGGTTCCTCTTCCTCAATTCGACGGAGTAGCTCCTAGTCCTATTAGCACACCTTTACTATCAGCACCTTCCCTCAACAACAATGCATCTCTTATCACAGCAGCCGAACGCGAGAAATATGCAAATATCTTTAAAGTACATCAACCAGTCAACGGCGTATTGGATGCCAATACAGCCAAAAGTGTCTTTTTAAAGTCGAAATTACCCATGGACACTCTAAGTCAAATCTGGTAAGTTTAGAGATATTTTTATATACACATGTATTAAGTTTTTAAACCTGTGAACAAAAAAATATATATAAAAGGTACTTGGCCGATGTCCGCCAATCAGGATCGTTAAACCAAAGTGAATTTATTATTGCCATGCACTATATTGCCAAGTTAATGGATGGAACACTTTCTAGCTTGCCAGATAAATTACCGCCAGCTGTCTTTCAATCTGCCAATGGTAACACAACACAACAATCGCCGCTTGTGCGTAATATGACGATCAATTCACCTGCTATGGGCTTCCGTCAACCTCCTCCTTCTCATCATATGATGACCCCACCGCAACGTGCAAGAACAATTGATTCATTGGGTAATTTGGCCTTTGGTGCCGCTGCTAATGAACCCGCAGTACAACAATGGGATGTCTCTGCACGTGAGAGACAACAATTTGGTGCCTACTTTGATAAGATTGATGCCAATCATGTTGGTTTAATCCAAGGCAAAGAGGCAGTTGAATTCTTCAAGAATTCGAGATTACCCGAAACTGAATTGGCACATATCTGGGATTTAGCAGACATTCAACAACGAGGTGCTTTATCAAGAGACGAGTTTGCCGTGGCCATGTATTTAATTCATAAAAGATTGGCAGGAGAACAATTACCTCAGACTTTACCAAAGACGTTGATTCCACCCAGTCATACTCCATTACAGTCCCCATTTACAAATGTCGTGTCTAGTCCATCTATGTATCACTCTACTGCCTCACCTGCTGTGACTCAACGGTCACTCCCGGATCATGACCTGTTGGGCGATTTTGGCAATGATGGTGTAGCTCATGAAACCAACCAAGTGAATTTACTATCTAATCAAGTATCTTCCTTATCGATGCACAAGACGGATGTACAACAACAAAAGAGTTCAGCAGAAGATACCTTGGAGCAACTGATCAAACAGCGTAAGGATTTGGAGGCACAAATGGCTAGTTTACGTATGGCGCATGAGGCAGCAGTCAAGGATTTGAACGAGATTCAAGAGACTGTACGACGTGAAGAAGGAGAATGGGACCAAGTTCGAAGTGAATATGATGCATCCCAACAAGAGTTAACCGCAATCCAGAACGAGATTGCACAGACGCAACAAACGTTAGAGAATGGACGTGCCGAAACCGAAAGTCTTCGACGACGCGTGCATGAGATTGGAGAAGAAACAAAGAAGGCACAATCTGAATTAGAGAATTTAAGGTCCCAAAACAAGCAGACAAACATGATGTTGGATATCAATCGACGTCAGGTCACTGCAGCAGAACAAGATCGATCATTAGCAAAACGTAACTTAGAAGATTATAAAGTGGCTGCTAATTTAACTGGTGATGGTGGGGAAGAAGAGAAACAGGAAGGTTCAATTTTCACAAGTGGAGATAGTCCTGTTGAACCTACTACTGTATCCACACCCGCGCTTCAAAACCTATTTGGTGATTCACCTTCCATTGGACATGCTTCTCCGTTCAATGAGTTTCAAGCCGAGGCAAATAAAAATGCCACACCCGCTTTTGATGATGCATTTTCTCCTGCTGCTGGTCCCTCTGTCAGTGACAATGACTTTGATGCAATCTTTGGTAATATCAGTAGTCCCGCTTCTACCAATCAAACTCCAGTTCATGCATTTGACCCATGGGTTGCTACAACTCCTACTACACAAGTAAGCACACCGGGTAGTAAAACTTCCCGTGGACCTCCTCCCCCTCCTCCACCTCAAAGCAGACATCATCGACAAACGTCTGAAGTGAGCTCAATTGCGTCTGTAGTGTCCACACCTTCCGGAGCTAAAAAGCAACGTGCCCCTCCTCCACCTCCACCTGTCGGATTATTCTCACCCACCTTGAGTACACCCCAAATCAATGAGCAGGATGATAGTGAAGAAGATGATTTCGAGGCCGCATTTTCAGGAAAATTACCAGAGGCTAAAATTGTGACCAAGACCAGTGACGATGATGATGAATTTGCGGACTTTGACGATGCATTTAGTTCATTTGATACCGTGAAACCTGCTGCCCCCGCTGCACCTACAACAGCCCAAGCCGAAACAAGTGCAACCAAGTCAGCGGCTCCTGCGGTAGATAATTGGCCATCTAACTTTGGTGGATTTAATTTCGCAAGTGATGATAATTTAGCCAGTAAACCATCGCCTACAGCTGCTGCTGCTGCTGCTCCTACAGCAACAAAGGATGATGATTGGGATTCGATCTTTGGTACGGCTTCCAGCACACCCACTGCAAAGGCACCTGTGGCAGAAACCACCTCGGATGGATTCGATGATGCGTTCTCCAGCTTCGGGGATGATTTCGGAAAGCAATCCGTGGTGAGTACACCTACAACAGCCAAGGTTTCAGTGCCTGTAAAGACAACACAGCCACAAAAATCCATGTCAGTAGGATCCATTGGTATTGTGGGAGATAAAATCGAAGAGTTGGTCAAGATTGGATTCAACGAAAAGGAAGCAAAAGATGCTTTAAACCGATATGACCAAGATTTGGAGAAAGCTACTAATTTCTTGCTTGATCAATCTTCCAAAGCTTAAACTTGTGTGTAAATGATAATATTAATAAAATTAAAAAAAAAACAATAGTTTTTTTTGTGCGTTTAACTGCTAAAGAAAAGGATGCGTTATAGCTTAAAATTGGTACACTTTAGTGACATGCAATTGATCTTATGCATCATTGCAAGTGTCAATTACGTGCATTTACACACGGTTGAGAATCTCCATTTCTTTAAATATCGATACGATATGTCCGTTTATGTTGATGTTGAGTGCTTAACTTCAATAAGCATTAAATTTTTGAGGTTAATATCCCTCGGTAAAGTGGGGATCATTCCCATTGTTTAATGCTCTTAAACCGAATTGAACCTGTATGTAAGACTAAATTCAGGCGGCCTTGGTGTAGGCTCCAATTATAAAAGAAGTATGGATAAATATTGGGATATCTATACCAAAAACTGGAAGAGTAGGTGAATATAACAATTATGTAAAGTACATTTTCAGTCATCATCCGAGGTGAGTTATAATGACGGGTTTTAAGGGCAATGAAGCTTTTGTATGCCAAAAGTGCAAAAGGCTGTGAGAAAGCTAACGGGGAAGGCTACTGGATTTCATGCTAGGTACGATAGCTGAACTTTGTAAGCCTCAAATAATTAGTAAGATTAACATTGAACGTGAATGCAGCATTGTCTTATTAACTACGAAAGTTAAGATTTCATTTCATGTAACACAGCAGATAACACTAATTCAGTAATACATGACGACAGCATAATTCTTTGTACCTCCTTCCTCCCTCATTTGGATTTATAATCCAAAATGATTATAAATCCAAAACTTTGTTTTGCATAAAATCGGAAGTTAAAATAAAGCTGACTTGTATATAAACGCCCTCGCGTCTTGGGCAGTTTCTTTTTTATACATATAATATTAAATAAAAAAAATGTCACTTCCTCGTAAAGCACTCATCGCTGTTACCAGTTACAATGAACCCTTCTATGCTGACGGCGCCAAAACTGGATTGTTCTATACTGAAGCACTTCATCCCTATGAAGCACTCGTCAAGGCAGGATTCCAAGTGGACTTGGCATCTGAAACAGGTAGCTATGGTATGGACGAACATTCCACCACCTCTGATTTTCTCAACGAACACGATCAAAAGGTGTATGATGATCCAAACCACCCATTTAACGTGGCCTTAAACAAGAACCTTCATAAAGCCAGCGATTTAAACCCCAAGGACTATGGCTTATTCTTCGCCTCTGCAGGCCACGCTACACTTTATGACTATCCAAAGGCCCGCGGACTTCAATCAATTGCTGAGGATATCTACGCGCGCGGAGGTATTGTATCAGCAGTGTGTCATGGACCTGCTATTTTACCTGGTATCAAGGACACTAAGACTGGTAAATCCATCATTGATGGTAAGGATGTCACAGGATTCACGGATGAAGGCGAAGTAGTCATGGGTATTTTGGATAAGATTAAGGGAGATAAGGTGCCTACGATTGAATCTGCTGCTGCTTCTGTCAATGCCAAATATCATTCTCCTCCTACACCATTTGCAGATTATAGTTTGACAGACGGTAGGGTTGTAACAGGTGCTAATCCAGCGAGCGCACACTCGACTGCAGCAAAAGCTATTGATGCGTTTGATAAAGTTAAATAATAAAGAAATCGCGTCATAACAATAAGATTGGGGATACTTTTTTTGTTTGTTATTGCATTGTTGAAAGGGGGTTTCAATGGATTATTTCTTCTTTTTTTCTTATTCCAATATAAAACCCTGCTTTTTTTTATGTTTGCAATAGTAAAAAAAAAAAGAAAGAGAGAGTGGAATCATTTAAAATTAATTTACTTTGGCGGAAAGTGAATTAAGGCGTCTTGACATTAAAACGTTTATTGCTAGGAGTCAAAAAAAAACTTTTTGATCGATCGCACGATATGGACGTATCCGTTTGTTTTCCCACGTAAAATGCCACTTCTCCAAAGGTACTTTTCCATTGTAAACTCGTGGAATTAGACCAATAAAAAGAAATTAAAGTTCTGAAACTTTAAAAATGTATGGAATACCTAAAGAACGTTTAAGAATTCAACCAAGGGAGTACTTCTCTTTCCTTAAACACTTCAATAGAAGCGGTCTTCTATTCTGTAATTGTACTAGTGACATATAATAATATAGGTACATGATAATCATCGGCTTATTTAGCGCTAGTCCTAATATCGTTGACTTTGGGGGGAGTATTGTATAAGCGCAATGCCAAAAAAGGAAAAAAGGGGAGACGCGCTTTGTACCTACATAATGCATGCGGTACATAAAGGTAGAGTGGATCACATCGTAGCCCAGAAAGATATGTCTTATGAGCCACACATCCCTGAATCTATCTTGGAAACAAATTCCTCGTGCATGGACATAATATAGATTGACCAATTGGCACAATCAAACAGGATATGTTTCCCAGTCAGCGGAAAGATAAATCCATCATAAAATGTAGTGCATATATGAAAGTATTGTTTGGGCGTATCTATTGTCCTTCTGAGCAAATCAGCTGTATATTGTTCTAGACTTTCTCGAATCACAAATAATCACCATCACTATAATGTAAATGCCACCGACAATTGGAATTAGTGATAGGCTTTCGTTATTAAGCGCGTATGTTTCATTTTCTTGCTTTTCAAAATGTTGTCATTGATTTACATAATATGGTTTGTTTACTATTCAAATTAAGCATTGATAAAAAAATGCTAAGGCAAGCCTTTGATATTCAGCTTATTTTGCGATTTATATTATCATATCTCGTAAACAAAGTCATTACTCTTTTTGGTTCATCATTTTAGCAAATGAAAAAAAAAAGCAATGATTTTTTCCGCAGTGACGTTTTAAAGCTATTTCTAATTTTAGCTGTGCTGTAGTAGGCAACTAATTGCGCTCGCTGATAATCGAAGTATGCAAGCTATGATTCCTACACATATAATATACATGATACATACTACATTTCTATTTCGTACTCACAGAGAGAGAGAGAAAATTACACCCCTTCATGTATTATAATGTAGCATCTAATCAAGATACTCTGTTAAATGGTTAGACTGTAACGTCTGTCTTTATATGCCATCTGTATGTGTTGTTATATGTCTATCGGGGTTCTACTATTGCACTGAATTAAGGAGATTTAAGTGGGATCCCTAATTTTTTTTAAAGCAGTAATGTAATCATATAGCTGTTCTGAGAAAATGGCAAATTTTTGACTTTTTTTCGGACTCCTCCCATTCAAGTGGTAAAGCTGCAAGGTCCATCCCCCTATTTTACTAATTTTGGTCCGCCATCAGACCTGATTATGTTATTTATATAAATTGCCGCTTTTAAATTGAATCCTCGATGCATATCTTCATTTCTTTACTTTTTTTTTCACTTCTTTAAACAAAATAGATCAAATGTATTATAATCCTGTAACTTCTTTATCGTATAAATCCATACTAGATTTCACCATTGATGGTCGACCTAGTGTTGATGTATGTAAGATATAAATAAAAATATACGCTAATAATCTGAACTAAAGCAGCCACTCTTTCATAGGATATACATGGCTTATTTTTTACGCTAATGTCTCAAATTACATTTTCGACAAATAGATACATGTTTCGTAATTATGCCAACACATTCACATCAGAACAGGCCATTTCGGAGATTGGTGCACTAAATATCACATCCGCTGCTGCTGCTCGGGCATCTTTAGCCACAGCCCAGAAAATGGAAAGAGATATGTCTAAAGCACTGATTCAGCAATTTCTTTGGACTCGATTAATTGAAAACGCGGTGGAACCCGGCAATCGCACCTATCGTGATAAGGGACTGTATCGTTTGAAATCAAAGGGTCTATGTGTACTACAAGATTTCTGCATTAAATCCAATATAATAGAATTGCTGGTTCAATTTAAAAATTGTGTAGAAATAGCCTCTACGGAACCCATGTTCCTGATCCATGTGGAAAGAACTGAGGAAAATGACCGCATGAACACTAAAAGGAAGTACATCACAAGTTTATTCGCCATTATGATTGCAAGTTTACCTCTTCGCAAGGATAGTAACAGCAGTAACACGGCTTCTACTCCTCCTCCTCCTGCTAAAAAACCAAATCATCCATCTCTGATACAAAGACCATCCGCCTACAGTCATTTGGATTATAAAAGCCAGTATAGTAGTAGCAGAAGAATACCAGCACAATATGACATGTATTCCGCCTCTTCAGAAAACGGATTGTCAAGGCATGCCTCGATAAGTTCCGCTGACTCTGGAATGACCTTTTCAAGTACGTCATCTCGTGAAGCCATTTCGATAACGGATTACTTTCCTCATATCAAAATCTTGCCAAATGATCTACTTGTGCATGCAAACCCTCTCCAAACAACAACAACAAGCAACTCATTATTTCAACAACAAAAGGCACTACTTCAAAACCTAAGTCCATCCTCTGCAAACAAATTTAAAATGCGCTCAGTATTTCCATCCTTGTTGTGCTGCGACTGGTTGGTTGGTTTTTGTACTGTAGCATCAAATGATGAGGCTGAAAGCATAATGACGGAATTTCTAAACCTGGGCTGGATCACCTTCTACGATGAAAAACATCGCAACAATCAACAGGTCGAGGCATCCAAGTCTATTGCATTAAGAGTCACCGGATCTGGCATGAAAGTAGTAATTGATGTTTCTTTAGAGCAGTACGCCGACTTTCAGCAGAAACATCAAAAAGAGATGTATAACAGTAGTTTAAATAATAAGCGGTATTCTATGGCGCCATCCTTGGCCTCAAGTAACCATACAATGTCTACAGCTGCAAGCTCAATTATTTCCAATTTTGAAGATATGTCCTTTACGTCACGCTCGCCTCCATCTATTTATCAGGCGACATACGCAACAACGGTCCATTCTGAGAAAAATAATGACTCGTTTACTCCTATTTACAACGCTTCTCATCAACAGCAAACATATGAAGAAGACGTAGGCTACTTTGATACTAAGCAAACAAGCAAAATGCAGTGTGTTGACTCATCCGTATCCGCTTACGTTAGTAATTCTCCGCCCCTAACCCCAAATTCATTCAATCAGACTAGTGAAAATAATAGGGAAACCAACCATATCAAACTCAAAGCCGTTTTGAAAGATACCCAACTTCACGCACTTTTCCGAAATTTTCTCAACAATAATTTTTGCAGTGAAAATCTGGACTTTTGGAAGGACCACAATTACTTGAGGCGTCATTGCCATGATGATCCGGCGATATTGATCACAATGTCTGTTGAAAAGCAGCAACAGCTTTTACAGGAAGCCTATATTCTTTGGACTACTTACCTTAGCCCAGGATCAGCTCGGGAGCTTAATATTGATCATATGCTACGGGAAGACATGGCAGAGGAAATTGCTGAAATGGTCACTTTGGTCAGTACCAGTAACGGAAACAACGTTACGCCCAAGGTGATCTTTTCTGGAAATTCGGCATATGAATGTCTCATCACCATCTTGAACTGGTTTGACAGAGCCAACGATCAAGTTTGCAAGCTATTGGCAGCCGACTCGATACCTAAATTTGTCCGCACGGTAGAATACAAACGGGCTACAATGTCACAATTCCGTACACAAGATACTATTAGTAAGGCTAGCTTAACCAGTAGTGATTTTGATAACTTTCCTCCTCCTCCTCAAAGAAAGCTTAAGGAGACAATGTATTCGTAATACAAAATGTGTACATTTTATTTCCCACTCAATAAGAAAAAAAGTAATAATTCCATACATCAATCTATAAATAATAATAATCCCCTTTTCTATCTTGCGATGTTACGTATTTGTATAATTGTTCTTTTTTTTCCGCCTTTCTTTGCTTAATATAATAATATGATGCATTATTTTACTATCCACTTTTACGATTAAGACAAATTGCGTTTCTAATTTTGTTGCCGCTTCCCCTACACTAGACCCCAACCCCTATTTTCTCTATTTTAGCTAATATCACACGGCTAATATTCTTTTTTTTTTCTTTTTTTTTTGAATAAATATTCTTAATTTAATAGAATTTGCATATTAGGGGGTCTCCCTTCTCCCCCATTTAACAATGGGGCAATACTTAGACCCGTAGGATCCCTTTTATTTTTAAAATGATTTATGTGATCCCCGCTTTCCCAAGTCTCCTGACCTTGGCTATAATACCACGTTGGTACTTGCATCTAGGAAACACTTACCCCTCTTCTTTTGCTCCTAGTCTTTTTTGAAAAAATCCAACTTTTTTGTTTTGACCTTTTTACAAAAACAAGTTAAATTCGCATTACTTAATGTTAGGCACGATTACTTTAACATTTGAATTTTGCCTTCGAGAGACTCCCTATCTTTCACTTCGTATGCAAAGACAATACTATGCGAAGATCGGAAAATCCCTTTTTTCTTTTTTAGGCATAATGCTAAATACCTCTTTCTTTTAAGAAAAGCGACTCTCCAAACTTCAAAAGCTACATTTTGAAGAATGAGGTTAAACGATTAAAGAAATTTTACAAGAAGTAGATTTTGGTTTAGTTATTAAGTAGATGTTTCATTAATAAAAGTTTTTGGTCGTTATCCTTTTTCTCTCTCTTTTCTTTATGCATACTATAACTGCAACAAACACGTTTTATAACAGGATATCCTTAGATACCTCAGTCTACTAAAAAAATCGAATTTTACTAATTTAGAGAATAAAGTTTCATGCAATTTTTTTATTCTTTGGTACGATACCTGGCTTTTGATCTCAATTTTATAATCCGGAGTTTATGTTATTCTCCTGCACTAAGCAACCTGTTACCACTAACTATTTGACCCGTCTTAAGGTTCATTGATACTTATAAATAGATAGTACCTTACCTTTAGCTAGTGTCTTTGTAAGAGTCTACAGCTTACAAAACGAAACAAAACAAATCTCAGAGTAGAAATTTATTTTATTTATATAAATGCATAGAAATGCGAGGATTTCCAAGGGATTTTTAGATATTTCTTTTTAGTGTCACTACATGATACAAGTAAAGCATTTGACGGTATAATTTTTGTCATGCACATTGTCAAATCTGGGAAAAAATGTTTCGTATTATGTACGACGACTACTTAAAAGTAAATGTACTCGTTCATTAGCTTATATGTACTAATAATTGTCAATAGGTAAAATACGTCAAATATTCTATCGATTTTACAGTGAGGGTTAAATGCGTAATAAAAGGTTGTGTTAAATTTTACCAAATTATTTGTACTTATAAACTAGCTATATATAAATGTGTGTCATTCTATGTTTTTCTTTCAACTTATCCATTCAGAAAAATAAAAATAGATAAATTTTCAAGCATATACATTTATGTAGACCATTCGCAATGAATCGACTTTGCAAGCAACATTGTTTTCCTTAAAGAATTATGTTATTTTTATTATCTGCATACATTCATACCAACGTGAAGTTGTCTATAAAAATTATAACGGGTGCTTTGATATGCCCCGATACTGGATGAAGACAAAGAAAATAAATAAATTAAACGTTGGAATCCATATTTCCATTTTTTTTTTTTTGAAAAAGAAAAATACGCTCATAATAAAATTGATGCATTACATTACGTTTGTTTATCATGTTGATACAAAATAGCAAAAAATAGAAAGAGCATAATTATAAATGTTTGCATAATTATCGAAAATCTTACGTAGCAGACATGCTTACCCTGCTTTTCTAGGCTACCTATGAATTTTTTATATATTCAGTTTATTTTTCAGACAATTTCAGTTATTTGTATCTTTACTTCATTTGCTTCACACAAAAAAGTCTTGTCTTTATTTTTTACAAGGGACCCATAAATATGCTCATCATTGACATTAATACATTTTATCTCATGACTTAATCTTTCTTTTTCTATGGTTTTTAGATTTTCCTGGGGGGGGGGAGGATCCACTGCTACTATCCTATGTTTCCCTGACGGTCTTTTTGCTTCACCTTATTTTATAAAAAAAGTTTTCCATTTTTCATTTCTACAGACTTTACCTTAAATTTTTTTCCTAAAAAAAGGTTCCAAAATAAGGGCAGAAAATGCATAAAGCGGGACACTATCCAAAACAAAAATAAACAGCATTGAATACATACAAACGGAGGTTAGTTTCTTAGAAGAAATGAACAGTAATCTTGCAAAATAAACGTACGAACGGCGGGACTCGAACCCGCAATCTTCGGTTTAGGAGACCGATGCGTTAATCCATTACGCCACGCCCGCTTCAAATTTCGGTTGGAATTAGTCCTTTTACATAAACACTAATTTAAAAAAATTGCAAGTCACGTGATAATCACGTGTAAAATCCCATTTTCGGGATTTTTTTGAAGGGTAAAACGCATTGTGTTACTGAAGTTAAGCCAAAAAATTACTTAAGAGTTCCACCAAATGTACAGTATATATTTCTCGATAGGTTTATCCATTGGTACAAAAAGACAGTACAAACAGACGTTAAGAATCGAATACCGAAGTAATTGTAAATGTGCTAAAATTTCATTTCAATTTTCCCACCAAAAAGCAATCCATCTTGATTATCTTTCATGTCTTATAGTACACAGAAAAAAGCTTCTTAAACTATCATTTTAAACTGTTACAAAGAAAAAAGGCACTGTTGTAACGTCCACTTTGATCTTTTTATAAAAAAAATTACTCTTCGACAACACAATAGTCTTTAAATTATGAAAATAATAGGAGTCCATCCCAAGACCTAAAACTATGATGAAAATCAATACAATGACTATAATATTGACAATGATGAGCGTGACGACAGCGAAGAAGATTTTGATGCTGATAATGACTTTGATCATTCCAACAAACCCCTGTATATGGGAAATATGTTACTCATATAAGTTGGTAGAAAATGATTTTATGCTACGAGAAAACTTTCGGCAATTTTGATATTTCTGAGTCAAATGACAGCGAGGAAGATAGTTAATTTAAAAGTAAAACATGGAAGAAAGTTTTTCAATGGTTTAATTAATCGAATTTAAATGCTTTTATAATTCCATCTCGACTGTGCTGCAGGAAATAATTTTTTGTCTTCATTGGATTTTTTTTCTTAAGCAAGTATCTATTGTCGATAGTATTTATCTCAAGTTGGACGAATTTCCTCTTGTGAATTTCCATCCAAAAATTTATAAGTGGTGGTCAATTTAGTGGCAACGTGTCGCACTCAGCTCATAATCGGCTTTCGTAAATAGTATCTCAATATGAGTCACGTTTGTCACTATGTATACAGCCCTATAATAAAAACACACTACTATTGTTACTATGAGGCTAATCAGTTCGTGAGTGTGTATCATTAAATTATAAAAAATCATGTCAATAATAAAGGTTAACGGAAATACCAATCGTTTTGTTTCATTTTTTCCCTTCCTTTGTTTAAAATCCTCGAGATATCCCATCTTAGCTTTTAATTGATACACAATTAAGTTCAAAAATGAGGCAGGAGTAATACTACAATTGCAATCATTGAAAAGAGGGGCTTGAATGCACTTGATCAGGAGTAAATTGCAGATCGATGAGTGTTCAATCGAACTATTTATTTTTTTGATATTCTCTAATTTTATGCCATACAAATGGCTCTAGTTTTGCATCAGTAGGGTTGGTCATATCTAAATTATTCCATATCCTTTTGTATGCAGATAAAAGATCGCCACGACTCATTTTTGAGGTATCGATTTCCTGCGCTGCATAAAAAAAAAGAAATTTTTAATGCCGTGTCACAAATGTATTTTCTCTTTTCATACCTTGGTAATCGTTTTTACGAGGTGACTTGTCCGGCGGTAAGTGGAGTCCTTGGTCTAATTCTTCGATAAATTGACGTCTTCGTTTCTTTGATTCTAAATTGAGTTCATTATGCGCCCATTGGAGCAATGCGGAATCGACAGCAAGTTCTGTGGTTGAAAACTGTGGGGTGTGTAACAATTCAGTCGTCGGTGCAGTCATGGTGTGCTATTTCAGAATATTTTTTATCGTGGAGATATATGTACAGTATGGTATTTTAATGACAAAAAAAAATAAGGAAAAGAAGTGAAAAGAAGATTTCATAAAAGGAATAATAATAAAAAAAAAAATGAAACCCCGTTCGTTGAATATCGGTGGGTTCGGAGGTCAAAATGATAAAATTTGCATGAGGGATTTATCCTCCTGTTTGTTAAACTTAGAATAGGGAGTTTCCCACTGAAGCCAGCTACTTGGATTATTATTATCTTTACAAGCGAAGCATTATTGGCACGGATATACTGTACTTCCTTCAAATAAGTGTTTAAATGTCACTTTGTAGCAATAACCGACCTGAGCTTGTCTTATTATATATCTTTCTTGTTGTTGCTTTTTGTTAACTCCCCAGTAAAGCCATCGATAATATGTGTATCATTTGACATCACAACCAACTGGGAATCCAACTTTATTTTATTATCAGCTTTTTTGCAGCTATCGCTAATTGTGTCGTACCTGCAAAGTGTCATTTAAACACTTATTTAAGGTACCAATAATCTAAATAGCTGGCTTCAGTGGAAAACTCCCTGTTTTAAGTTTAAAAAAGAAAGAAGATTACAAATTGGAGGATGTTTATTCTTTTGTTTTCCCTAGTTGTTGCATCGAATTCAAATAGGACATTTGGAAAACTTGATAAAATTTTTATCTACAATTGATGTAAGAGGATGGACAAGACAACCAGTATTTTGTGTTATCTGATATTGTCACTTTTTCTTTTTTAGGATCTATTGGGTGATCTACGTAAGATTTATTACGATAATGGTTCTAGTACTGAAAATGATATCGAGAACATCTTCACTGAAGTAAATCAAAGGAAAAAGTTCAATTACAATTCTTGGGTAACAAAAGCCACTTACGAAAAAGAGGATGATGAAGACGATGAAGGAGAAGATGATGATGAAGATGATGAATAAGAAGACGATAAAGAAAAAGACTGCTGACTTAAAATTGCATGTGTGTTTGAAACACCATAATATTTCAATACATAATAAAGTACCCTCCATGTTGACATTCTGCCTTGGGATGAATAAGAAATAGCGATTTTTTTTCAAAAACAAAATGTAGAATCACTCACATTTAAAGGTACTTCTATCAATTTTTTTAATGCTATCCTATCACAACTGCTGTTTTTATGGAATAAATGTTTTTTTACAAAGATGATAAATCAGGGTTTGTAATAAAATATTTGGATTGTAACACAGCCTTGTATTTAGATAGCTGTCGTTGAGAGAAAACGTAGCTTTGATTTCGAATACCAGTTACCAGTTTAATTCACAGACCCCTGATGGCATCCGAACCCATTGCATTGTATCACACAGTTTTCAAATGATTTTGTTTCTTAAATTTAAAACACCAGTCTATTTCATATTTTTTTTTTTAATTTAATCTCATACTGTATGTCTTTATTCAATGATTATTTATTGTAGATTGCTGTCAATGTATACTTCGTACACAACTCGCAACCCAAATCTGACTGACTGGACAACTATTTAGGGGCCGCTTACACTATTTGAAGCAAATCTACATATATGCTAGTTTTTCAAAAAATTTAAGTTTTTATTGGCTCTTCAGTCCCCTCCCATAAGCTAAGTCGAATCAAGACTCAATCAAAGGAAAACCAAGACTCAATCAAAGGAATTAGTTGCTCTCCTATTTGATTTGCAGTGAGCTATAAATATAATACATGAGCATATAATGATTGATCACATGTGAATTTAAAAGGAGAAAAATAAAAGGCTTACGGTGGCAGACGTGACAGATTTTCTCAGTAAGTTCATGTTGTCTAGTATTTGATCATCCGTCACTTGAGAGGAAACCATGACAACCAGGCACAAGTCTTTTTCATAAATGTCCGTGTCGATGATATTATCGTACATATTATTCCAAATGACTAATTTCATTGAATTCAGACCAATAATAGTGAATGGTGCATCGTCCGTTGGATCGGAATCGGCATCGTCATCGTCATCCGTATCTGTTTCGATGTCGCTATCTATATCTTCAGTGACAAATGGCAAATCACTCACTACGGTAAATAAGGATTGCAGTACGCCCACAAACATGGGTAAACGTTCTTCCAACAAGTTCGAAATGGGTGATAGAAACTGGATAATATCAGATTCGGGAGCATATTCATTAATTAAAGCTCGTTTGGAATACAGACAGAACGAGGGTAAAGGGAAATTTGTTTGTTCGGAATTAGTTGATTGTTGACTTGCGCTTTTAGTCAATGAAGGTGGAATGGATCTTTTCAAAACAGGCTCTTGATCAAATAGATTTAGGCTTGGAGTTTGAGTTGAAGTGGTTGAAACTGAAGTGAATGATTGGAATGAAGGTATAGCAGAACAAGAAGCTGCTTTATGGTGGTGACCCATTATTAAAAAAGAAAAAGAGAAAAAAAAAAGAAAAAAAAAAAAAGAATTTGTACAACTTGGCTAATCTGCCTTTAAAGGAAACAAATATACTTTTTTTATCACGCATTATTTGTACCTCAATCTTTTATTTATACGTCATATTACATTCTTTTGGGTCAGTCCCGTAGAAACTATTGACAGGTGCTGAGGATCTGCTGTAGTGTGACAAGGATATGGGTTTGGTTCATCATGATACACGTTTTAAAAAAAAAGAAAATTTTATTGTTCAGGATCATCGTACTCTGCAAGCAGATCCATGTGATGGTATTTAACTATTATATAAAGTTATTAGATCAAATAAAAAATAAAGTTCAATGTAACCTACCCTTGTTAATAACAGTTTCTAAACTCATGATACTCAAAGGAACATTGTTCTTGAAAGAGACACTATTTCTACTTGACCTCACTTCTTCTGCTTTTAAATATTGTTGCTTAATCTTATCAGCCGAAGTAGATGGTTCCATTATGATTGGATAAACAGGTTTTTTAAAGGTAGGTAATGAACTGACAGTGGTTGCTTTGTCGGTCCAAAAGATATATTCGAATTCACTCATGAATAAAGTGAAAATCCCAGAGGGTATCGATAATGTCGGTGCGAATACGATACCTATATTTCTCAGTGTCATTTTATTGTGGTCCGAATAATGCACAATATGGATCAAATGGGCAATTAACGTGCGTAATAAGGAATAGTTGGCGATGGGTAACATGGACACAAGGTGACCCAGCTTCTTGATACGCACCTGTTTATTTTTCTCATCTATTCCCCAAGTCAGTTTTTTTAAAATGTCACATTTCCTTATTTTTAGCTTACCAATGACTTTTAAAAAATCTTTCAGTAAGTCAAATGTCAAGATATTGACAGGTAGTTCTCTCAACCACATTTTTAGCAGTCCAGCTACTACATTGACGTCCAAGTGCTGATCTGTTTGCGGCATGGCTAACAAGTCAAGGTCTCCGTATTCACAAAATCTCTGTCGCAACTGATTGATTTGAAGGGAGCTTCCATTCTGACGATATATGCCTTCTTCGTGAATAGCATCTTTAGCTTCCAAATAGGTGATGCAGCGATATACAATAGCTGGTAAATCAAATTTCTCAGAGATTCTTGTTAGTCTGATAGATTCTTCTAGAGATACACCAAATACTTGATAGGCAGGGGTAGCAATAGTAGAAGAGGAGGAGAGGGATGGGTCAATACAATCATCTTCTGAATTAAATAGTTTTTTGTTGCGTGTCCAAAATGTTCTTCTTGAAGCCTTTTTTTTCTCTTCTGTAGAATCGATGGTTGTTGGTATTGAGTCATCACTTGCTTTTGTTGATAACTGATTAAATAGTTTTGAATTATTAAATGTTTGAATGGCCTTATCGTCCATACTTGAACGTTTATATTGTTTGTGTCTGATGTTCTTTTTTTTTTCGGTTGGATGCATAGATATGTCCGAATTGGGTCTAGTGTGATGTGGTACAGTACTACATTGTTGTCTATGAAGTTGTTTAACCCACTCATCTCTTTCAGTATCCGATTCAGCACAAAGAATATATTTATATGCATGATTTTCCTGTTCTAGTAATATGATGAACGCGTGTTGGAAAATAGCATCACCGTATTTCTTTGTTGCTTGTTTTCCGATGCGTGTTTCAGCAACTAAATTGATGATTCCCATCGATAACTGATCTTCGTTTTTCTGAATGATATTTTTTTTATAATAGTTAGTAACTTTTTTTTTTTTTTTAAAAAAAAACACACCAATCAATGATGGTAGTACGACTTTACGATAAAATACTTGAGCTCGGAACCCTTCAAGACAAAATAGTACTTTTTGCAACATGCCACATTTCTTTTTGTCAGATAACCTTGTTTTAATTTTTTGTCTAGAAAGAAGGAATACATTATGGACATGTCGTGTTTTAATAATCGGATGGTGTCTTCCAGATATTCATCAATCAAAAGTAGTGTTTTGTCCAATGAGTTTGTATTACTGAAAAGGAAGTCCAACTTGTTGTTTTTTAGTGATAAAATAGCGATTGGAGCAAAGTTTATATTCACGGCCATGTCCAAACAGAGTAAATCCGTATACAGCTTCTCAATTTTCCAGAGCTCTTGATTATTCCTCTTATTCACGACTGATAAAATAAAGGAATCTGCGTGAATGGACTTTACTTTCAGTCTAATGGGGATCATGTGTTGCTCATCATGTTGATCCTTGAGCTGAATGCTGAGTTTTTTATTGTGATTGGAACGATAAGGAGACCTCGGTGGTGGTATTGGTGTAGCTGTGTTGGCAAGGAGTAAATGATCTCTTTCGATCGTGACTTCACTCAATGCTTTCTGTAACTCCAAGATAATGATACGTTGCTTTTCTATAATACTCCATAGTTGACCATCATTATTCTTTTGGGTATCTATGGCGGGTATCATGTATAAATAAAATCAAGAGAAGAAGAAAAAAAAAAAAAAAAAAGATTTTTTAAAGACCAGGTTTGACATATTTATTTATAATCAGTTGTTGGGACAAAGAATATCACTATTATTATAAAAATTAGGTTTTTTTTTAATGTAACATGAATATATTTATATCTTTCTTACCAGAGTTGGAGCCATTCTTCATCACGGGTATTTCTGCCGAGATAATTTCGGAGCTCAAGAAATATCCAAACTTTTATCCAATGCCCACTGTTTAATTGAGGATCCTTCATATTTTCCAAGGCCTTTTTTCCGCCTTCCTTGATACTGTAGTCTCGTAAAACGGGTAGCGAATTTTTCAATAAATCCAAATCTGGATTTAATTGTCGACCGATACCTTCTAATAACATGATACTCACCACTATATTTACAAAATCACCTTCTAATCTTACATGATGCGATCTAACCATATTCATGGTTTCGTGTAACAAACTCCCAATCTTGACTGCACCTAAATGAAATGTATTCTGTTTCAATCCAATAATCAGATTTTGCATTCTGAGTGCAAACACATCCGGGTGAATCACAAGCTCAGGTGATTTACATCTCTCCACCATTAACTCTCCTGTTTTATATCCATCAAATTGTGCTATCGCTTGAAACAGGTCCAAGAAATTACGTCGGTTCACCTGGTTCAATTCGTTGACTAAGCCTGTATCAATAAACACGAGCCGGGGTGAATACCCTTCTAATTGTAATTGCTCTAATTCTCGTTGTAACGCAGTGGGATCATCCTTGACTGCCAAGACTCTGTTCACTGCCAGTTCTCCATCGTCTTTTACCTCTTTTCCAATCAGTTTTGACCATGCGGACCGTAAGGGATGATGCGCTGAAGGCTTATAAAACTCTACCATGATATTACCCGGATGTAAATCCGCATGCACAAAATTATAAAAGATCAACATGTGCTAAATAAGAAAAAATATGATGTCAATTGAGTGTGTAGGATGTATGTGTGTGTGTTACATGCTCACCAAGAAAGCATTTAATCCAATATCTGCAATTTTATGATCAAATACGCCTTGTACATCGAATTCTCTCGCCCAAGAAGCTTGTTTTAAAAACACATCCAATGGGATACCTCGCTCGTATTCCTCCATCAACATATCCTTGGTTGTAAAAGCTAATAATGGTTTTGGTATTTTGACGTTCAGGGAGTCTTTAAAGTGTTGATTGAACCGTTGCAAGTTGTGTGCTTCTCCTCTTAGATCCAATTGTTCCTTCATCATCTCTCCAAACACGCGGACCTCATCAGGCAAAGAAAGCCATTGAATGGTGGGTATTAACGTCAGTATTTTAGCACAGTAATTCATAATAATTAGATCCCGTTGAACGATCTGTCTTGCTTTTGGATGTAGTACTTTGATTGCGACAGCCGTATGTAAAACCACCGAGTTTCCATCCCGATCCAACGTTTGTACGGAATCCGAAGTAATGATATTTTCTTGTAAAGTGAACTTTTCCTCGGGATGATCCAATAAGACGCCTGGTCTTAATCTGGCTTTATAGACTTGGGCAATAGCGCCTACGCCCAAGGGCACAGGATCCAAGTCGGAAAAGACTTGATCCAAGGGTCTGCCGAATGCTTCTTCCAGCACTTGCTTGGTGTAACTAAAAGGGTGTGGGTCGACGTTGGAGTGAAGTTTAGATAATCTGGCACATAATGCCAAGGGGAAAAGATCTGTTCTGGAGGCGACCCATTGAGCGAGCTACTTTCAATGATTGAGTAAAGATGATTTCATTATGATTATTATAGACTAACCTTGATAAAGGTAGGGCCTGCTCGTTCCATTTGTGTGGCCAAGAAATCATACCACCATATGGTTCCTGCTGTATCATCATTCTCTACTTTTTGGCCGAAAAAGATAATGGGGACAGTGGAAGCTACGGGTATGAATAGCACCAAAATATGAGCCAAACGACGTATGGTCATGATGGGCTCCAAAAGCCAATCATCAAGAAACCTGACAATGGCTTGACAAATGCGCACAACGGTGTATTTGGACTTGACGTGTGTCTCTGCATACTCAATTTCGGAGGGAGTTGCTGGTACTTCCCGTGAACCTATACGCACAGCCTTCTTCTTATCGACATGAGTGAATCCCAAGGCTGACAATAAAGGTACTGAGAGAGAAGGTTTGGCAGTGGTTCGGAGACTTGTTCTTAAGCAAATGTGCAAAGGTTTGTTTAGGGCATGTGGTCGTAATCGAAGCAGTGAAACTCGGTGCATACTGGTATATATGTTTTCACGGGAAGGAAAAATAATAATAAATAAATAAGCGCATTTAGTACATTTATATGTTGCCCTTTTTCGACCGTAGTCACACGCATTAAAATGAGATTTAAAACATTGGTATGATATCACACAATGCAAGTATCGAAAAATATCTCCAAGGACTTTCTTACTAACCCTTACTCAATTCATTTCGCTTTGCATATATAGAGTGTTATGTAAGCAAACAGTGGCCGATACACATTTCTCTAATGCATAGCAAAAGACTCAGTGCCCAATTTTTTGCTTGATTACGGTTTAAATAACCGCCCAGGGATTTTAAAGTAGTCACTAAAATTGTTTATTATTTTTTTTTGAATGGAGAAAAAAAAAAAATCTTTGTTGAAGTATAATACATAAAGATGTCTCCTGTCCAACGTCCCGATAACATTGCCACCATGATCAATGGTGTCGAACGTTACAATCCCGAAAATGTTGAAGTTCTCGAAGCTTATTTAGCCAAGCAATGTGAATCCGGTGAATATGATTTAGAAGCCAACTTGGCCATCCTCAAGCTGTAAAGAGCCTTGCTCGAACCGTTTTTTTTATTGAAGTGATATTAATATGTATATATTTTTTGTTTTTCTTGTTTAGCTATCAATTCAACCCTTCTTTAGCAAAGGAGCCTGTCATTGTCAAGATTCTTGTCAAGGCTTTGACTGCCATCCCTGCACCCGATTTCAATCTCTGTCTTTACCTTTTAGCTGAGCATGCTGTAAGTTTAAGTGTGTGATGTGTGTATGAGCTGGATGAGGAAAACTAATAGAAATGTATATATAAAAAAACAGCATCTGGAGTCTATTGAAAAGTTGACTGAATTACAACAACTCTTAGAACAAGCTCGTTATGTCAAGTTCTGGCAATCGGACCTTAAGCCTTGGACCAGCGTTGTCCCTAATTTTGAAACCGAGATCCGTCAAGTCATTGCTCGAGTCATGTCCATGTCTTACCAAACCATCACAGCTGCTGCTTTAGCTGGTAACATTGGTTTGAGTGGTGACGCGTTTGATGCTTTCTGTGTCAGCCAACAATGGCAAAAGACTGGCGACTTGGTTCAGATCCCCATCAACAAGGGTAACGAAGCTAAAGCCGTTGTTATTAGAGAGAACATCAAGTTTGAACAATTAACAAAGGTGATTGGATATTCCAACGAAATGTAAAAAAATCGGGCAGAGAACAACAAATTATCAACATATATACATACACATATAATAAAATGATTTACTTTTTTTTATTTATATATCTATGGTATGATGATCATTGTATATGCTTGTGAAGCAATCCACCAGCGATTTTAAGCCTAGTAAATAACCATGATCAGGGTCATTTGGCTGTTCAGGAGGACAAGAGAAATGCGAATTATCCTGATCTGGAGTTAAAGTTTTAGCAAAATCAATCATTCGGACATCTATTTTATTCCTCTTGCCACTGGCATCATAAATAATGAGTAAAGAAGAACCATAAAATCGGTAGCCCTTTAAAGAGCGAATGATGCGGGATAAGCGGGAAAGTTTTCTCAGTAAAACAGGGATTTGCTCTAATTGTTGTGGATGATTTAAATATCTTTCCAGCGTCTGTCTAAATGTGGCGGGTGTTAATTGGCGTCCACTGTATTTATCATAAAATACACATTCGCCTTCTTTATACACTTGCATACCACACACACGAACACCTAATTGGGCGCTGGTGGATTTAGCACATTTCTTTGTTTGACTCAATGCCTTTTTTTCGTCGGCATAAACCCCATGCTGTCTTGTACCCATTTTAAGATCGAGAACACATGGATATTGCACTTCGTCTGTTAAATCTTCTAATAATATAAATTGTTTCATCACCTGGTTCTTTTCTACTAATTGTTTAAGCTTTTGGATATCCTTTTCATACACTTGTTGGCTCCATGGATTATTGGGCACTCTTCGAGGCTGCCAACGCGCCGTGGAGGAAGTAGAGCATGTAGGCTGTGGTGGCGATGATGGAGGATCATCTAGTGCTAGCGGAACCGATGTCAAGGAGGTTGTCTTGGTTTCATTGGTATCTATAGCAGATAACCTTGGTGATTGAGGCGCCGACGTGGTAGAGGTGATGATGGAAGGACGCTTTGAGGTGATGGTCATGGCACAATTCTCTTTATTCCAAGCGCGTACGATCTGTATTCTTTCTTTTAAGGCATTAGGGTTTAACGCTTCATATAGAACTCTGTTCCGGAAGGCTTTAAACCTTGAATTGCATTCATCGGCATTGGGAGACCATTGTTGAAAGTCCTGTTCTAGTATATCTGAGGTAGGAGAGTGAGCCATGTCACTGTATATGGATTTCCAGTCGTCGAGTAACTTTTCGTTCTTTTCAAAGATGACTTCGGGTAATAAATCTAATTGATAAGTGACATTTAGGACACCCAGGTATTGTGATAGGAAAGGTAATAATTCGGGATGATGCGAATCCAAATAAACGTAGACTTCTTGTTCCTTTTGAGAAGCTGGCTTACAAATTGTTTTTTTGGTGAATCGGAAGATGGAAGTGTGTCCCCCCACTTGGTTATTAAAGGGTAATAAAGGTATCCCTGAGGTTATATTTTTAGGATCATACATTTTTGAAAAATAACAAGAAAAAAAAGTACGGCGAAAGAAAAGAAAAAAGGGAATTTTTAGTTTTTTATTTATTTATGTTACCCCATGCACACGTGAACACCAGAAAAAAAAAAGTGTGTGAAATTTGTCTGGATGCATTAATATAAGACAATGGTTGGTACATGTCCATTCTTCATCACTTCCATGACGACACCTTCATCATAACCTGTCAAAAAAGTTGACCCAAACGGATTTTGCTCACTTGAGCCACGGGTGAGTATGACGGGTTTTTGCTGTCCGCCATTGGGTGTATTCTCCTTGATTGTGTTACTTGTCTCCCATGGTATAAGTTCCTGCATTGTCGTAATCTAATTTTTTTTTCAGTAACATGAGCATATCGTCATTCATTGTTCCTCCCAAAAAAATAATAATACCTTCATATCTCCTGTAATCACATTCTCATCTTCCACGTCTACCAGCACCGAATTGTTCTGTTTATTCTTGTCTAAAGGAGTATAAATTTTACGTGATCCATATACTATATAACAACTTACTTTTGTTTTTGGGAAAAAGCATTTGATACGGGCAGCGTTTATACCTACATGTAATCACGAGCAATGATGATGAGAGACCTTACAAAGAAATTTTTTTTTGGCCCATTATCATTCTCTCACCTTTGAAAATCGAAATGGCCAGGCACGTTACCATGCAACACGATTTTTTTGCAGATGTGTAATCCGCCATCTATTAATAAATCTATACCCAAATGAAAATAATTCAAGAAGTAATCGGTTGGCTGTACCAGTAATGGATCTATACACTCTGTTTTTTAGTATATAGTACGTTTTCTTTCCCCGTTAAAAACAGACCTTTGTCTTTATCATCAGCAGTTATATCAGCAGTCTTGGATTCGATTGGATGTGGCGGTTTATACAGCAAATTTCCATGATCATTCACAGAATGAATCTTCATCTTGTCTTCTTCCTTGTAAAATATTCTGGACGGTTTACCTAAATCTGCTAATATATCTTGTACGGTCGTTGAATTTAAAGAGATGATTACAGGATTGTTAATGATGGGTGGGTTATTTGTGGATTTATCGTCTATGCTGCCAGGGCCGGGAAAATTTAAGGTAATTCCTTTGGTAGGCTAAAATAAATCCCATTTTGACGGGTTGGTGATTTGTATAAACTTTTCCTTCATGTGTTTTTTTTTTACCTTCACAATCACAGTCTCTACTTCACGTTTGCCCGATTTGCCGTATTTCGTAGAGTTGTTCCCGTTGTGCTCAGCAAGGATCTTGGGCAACGGCGGAACGGCAGCTTGTTGCCACGTGTTGCTGTTACTGTACAAGATCACTTTCGATGCAATGGGTGTTGTACCATCAGGAAACTCAAGTGGTAAATCAGATGAAGTTTTATAAAGGTTTTGATGCCTTGTCGGTATAGGAAATGCAAATGCTAGTCCCTTTTTTTTTTAGAGTTATTTGAATGTGGTTAGTGGCCATTTATATATGTCAATTGCCCAGTGTTTTCAGCTTGCTTACGGGATATTTTAGCGTATAAATGCTTTGATTTGGGTCAAACTCTCCTGGATAAGTAGGACCGAACGATTTATAGATTAGTAAAAAAGTTGGGATTGTCCTACTCGAGCTACACTTGTAGAAAAACAAATTAATTATATTTTATGCAGGATTATTTGATCCTTTTTTTATACCTGACATCGCTATTTTGATAAACGAGCTTAACCTTGGTGGGATCGTAGCACTCAACTGACTTTAGTCTTTGAAGTGATCCATCGTATCTCAGGTTAATACCGTTGGATGGTAAAGCAATGATAAAGTCGTGGTCAGAGGGTTCCTTTAAAAAAAAGAATGATTCTTTAGTGCTATCTCCAAATCACTCTACACTTTTGATTGCTTGTTACCTCCTGACTATATTTCAACTCAACTGACGGAAAGAACTGAGGCCGGTCAGATAAAAAGTGTAATGTGTCCCACAATGAAGATCCTATAAACAAGAGTGTTGCTTAAATAAAAAGTCGGTGGTGTTTGAAAAAAAAAAGTCGTACCTAAACGAAAAGGTCCAAGACTTCTTCCTGGTACAATCACAAGTTCAATTCGTTTTGGACGATGCTGCTTATTTGATTCTGTATTGGCCGTAGTCATTACGATAAGGATTAAGAGAAAGAAAAAAATGCAAATGATAAAAAAAAGTGTGAACTACGTATGTTGGGAAATTGTAGTCAGCTGGGGTTTATTTTTTTAACCAATGAGAACTGCGGCTAAAGCGTTCATGCACCCCCTTTTCATGAATCCAGTCTATAGATCAGTATAAATAAAACCATAAAGGTGAATAGAGTGGTTACAAAGCTTAAGAGTACTATATTTCCATTTGTCTTGAAGGGGACTTCATGATTATAGACATCTACGCAGCTTCGAGTTCGGATATGAGCAATTACGACCATCAAAGTGCCAAATGTGAAAAAAACTAGAGCAATTCGGTAAAATTCGATAGTAAACACTTTGAGTATCAAAAGTCCCATTGAAAATGCGGATAAAGCAGTTCTCCAGTATGCGCCTTCGAATGTTCTTTGGTGCGCTAATTTATCTATCAGTGAGTCTTTTTTTTCTACCTGATTAGTGCGTGTATACCTCGCAAGTCTTGCAGATTCGATTGGGTCAACATAAAGAAGAAGAAAAAAGAAGAGAAGCAATAAATAAATAAAAATAGAGAATGCAATTTAAAGTTAAAGACATCATGTTACAGTTTACTATAAAGTCACGATCTTTCTACTACCTTTGGTTTCGGTATATTCGCTGCGAATAAAATTAATTTATATGATATGTTTATTTTTTTATTTTTGTAAAAGACTATGTACAGATTATGATATATGATAAAAGGGAAAATGGACGCAAAGTGATATATATGAAAGGGTTTACATTTTAAATAACAAATTTGGGGGCGTTTGAGCACAAGGCAAACAATAAACCAGCAACAAGACCAGCACAGGGAAGCGTAATAACCCAACTGATACCGCACCAACCCAACATCTTCCAGTTAACAGCCTTATAACCATTGGTATTACAGAGACCAATAGCAGCAGAAGCACCAGTGATACAAAGGGTAGTGGAGACAGGCAAACCAATCTTGGAACAAGTAAGGACGGTAAGAGCAGCAGACAATTCAGCACAGAAACCACGAGAAGGTGTAAAGAAAGTAATGTTGTTACCCATGGAGCGCATGACACGATAGCCCATGGTCATTAAACCAACATCAATAGCAACACCACCATAAACGAGAATCCAGACAGGAATACCAACTGTACCGCTAACATCAATGGCTGCAGTAGACCAGATTTCATAAATAGAAGAGATAGGGCCAATAGCATTAGACACATCATTACTACCATGAGCAAAAGAGGCCATACAAGCAGTAATAATTTGGAGGAAAGAAAAGAGGTATTCAGCATCATCTTCAAAGATTTCTGCACTAGCATGCACCTTGGCAAGGTCGTTATTCTCAAGATTACGAACATCTTGACGTACGCCACTTAAAGCAGCATCCACAACCTTGTCCTTCATAGAGGTGAGCCATCCATTCTTCTTGACATGAGCAGGTTCAGCAACGTTTTCTTGCAGCATAACCTCATTAAGCTTCTTTTCATTGGCAGGAGTAATGACTTCGGCAATTTCACCAGATTGAGAGCGTACGGAAGCGGGGCGGGCATCAGCATGTTCCTCAACATCGACTTCATCAATGGTGGGACGTTTAGCAACCCAAGGGATAACAAACATATGGAACCATTTAATAGATTCTCTTCCTTTGACACGACGGACGACCCAAGGACAGAAAAAGAATTGACCGAATGCGGCAAAGAAGACAGCGATACCAGCAGCAATACCAACGACACCACCCATACCACCAAGATTATCCTCACCAAGACCAGGTGCTTCAAGGAAGATGTAGAAGGCTTCGATGAAAGCTGTAAAGAAGAAGTAAACAGGAACTAAGCGAATACCCCATTTGAAACTTTCGACTTGACGCAAGATGGCATATTTGGTAATACTATAGATAATAGCGGCAACAATACCAGCGGCAATGGGAGAGATAAGCCAGGAAGCGATGATTTGAGCAACACCATCCCAACCCCAGGTGATAGAATCAGCACCAAAGGCAGCAATACCGGTACCAATAATAGCACCAACAATGGAATGGGTAGAACTCACGGGCCAACCGAATTTACAGGCAGTCAATACCCAAGTAGCTGAGCCGACTAAAGCGCACAGCATGGCCAACATAAGCATTTCGGGTTGAGCAACATAATGATCGATAGAAAGAATTCCACCCTTGATAGTTTCTGCTGTATTTGCACCGAGTAAGATTGCACCCAAAAGTTCAGTGAAACAAGCAATAATACATGCTTGACCTAATGTCAATGAACCGGAAGACACAGAGGTAGCAAAAGAGTTTGCAACATCATTGGCACCGATACCATAGGCGTCCATGAAGGCAACGACCATACCGACGGCAAAAATCCAAGTGAAGTCGTGAATCTCCATTAATGTGTTTTAAGTTGAGTGTGTTCTTTAAAAAGAAAAAAAGAAAAGTAAGGGAATAAGTTTCTAAGGATTAAAAATAATAAGAAAAAACATACATACTAAAATGATCGAAGTATTTATATGATGTTTTTTCTGCATTCTATGATCTACTCTAAAATTCGGCTCCGAAAGAAGTTAAACCAATGAAAAAAAGTGGCTGGACCACGATTGCCCAGGTGAGGTCAAGCGATTATAAGAATGTATGGAAAACTGAGGTTTCTGACTTGTTGTCATACAAAACTAGTAATATGTGATAACACCAACCGGAACCTGTAGTATCTCCTATCACTCATGGCAGAAGCCACTATTTTATCGTAAGAAGTTAGCGTTTCTCTCTAGGCCGTCATTATGTCAGGTTATTGACTTCCTACCAAATCCTGATTTTGACAAGTACTGTAACGAAATCAGTCAGATACCAACAGCCTGTAGTTAAAAAAAATGAAGGCAACAAATGAATAATGAACTCAATTGGGATTTACTCATGCGACATCAGTGTTTGACTCCACGTGTGGTTAAACAAAGAGACTTTATGATTTTAATACTATACGCATCAAAGAAAAAAGAATTCTCAGAAAACATGCACATTTGATTGGCTTAAATTTTATGGAAAAATCGGAATTGACAAGAGGCGAAACAAATCAAAATTTTAAAAATATTAGGTAAAATAGAAAACAATTTTATTTCATTGACACATTACACACACACACGTTCCCAAGGAAACCCCCCACGCACCCCCAAGAAAAAACCATCCTTGAGAAATTCCGTCATGATCATAACCCTATTTCTTGGGGGTGTCCCTTGGTTTCCTATTCAATCAATCGCATCATCGCGACGCAGGCATTATCCTGGTCCGCTAGATGAGGGTATAAACTCTCAGCCATAACAACTACCCTTTTAGAAAAAAAGATAGCCGAAAGGCACCCCTTGATGCATTTGATGATTAAAAAAATCCCCACAGAAGAGACAGTAACTCACTGTGAATGAAATAACAGTTTCCAGCCATTATTTCGTCCACTGATACATACCAGCCTCTCGTGACCTGTTTATTATAAAGCTAGGAGAAATGAGAGTTAGTAAAAATGCATAGTACATACAACGATGTTTAAATGGGCACACAACTTTGTTGCTTTTACCATATTAGTTTCCAAAGAGTATTTCCATTTCTTCAAGAGTTTTTCCTTTTGTCTCAGGAATGAAACAACATCCAATGAAGCAGACACAGCAGCAAGCGCCGAAGAAAAAGTAGACACCAGACACAGTGTGCTCCAGAAACAGAGGTACACAATATGTGATCAAGATAGAAAATGCCCAATTCAAGCCATAAGTCAGTGCCAACCCTTTACCACGCGTTCTCATATTGAAAATCTCGGCAGGATAAACATAGGAAGCAATTCCCCAACTAAAGGCATAAGCAGCTGTAAAGATATAGAGAAATGCAATGATTGTATTACGAGCATAATGATTGGTGATTGCCACATCGTATGTCTCAACGTTCACCACTGTATACGCTTGGAACATGGCACCGACAATAAACATACTAATACCCATCACAGAAGCCCCCAAAAGAAACACGAAACGACGACCCCATCGGTCAATGAAGTATTGCAGACAAATAAAGGCAACGAGCAAGGATAAAAGACCGGTACCACCTGTTGTTGCAATAGAAACAGAAGAGCCTACCAACCCAGCATTTTGGAAGATTTGAGGAATATAATAGGATATAGCAACACTACCAGTAAACGAGGTCGAGATCGAAACGAAGAAGGCAATGTACGTACGCTTACGATTTGTGCCTTGAAAGAGTTCAAGGTACGTACGTTTGCCCAGAGAACGTTCAAATTCTATCTCTGCGACAATGTTATTATATTCTTCAGTCACTAGAGGATGGTTACCGGGAACCTGGTGAAGCTCGATCAAGACTTGCTTTGCTTCTTCGTATCTTCCCTTGTCAATCAACCAACGAGGGGAGAAAGGTAATGTAGTGATAATAATGCCAAATAAGACACTGCAGACGAGATGGATAAGCCAAGGACCGCGCCATGACCAATTTGAATCCACATAACTCGTGCCAAATGTGACAAAGTAAGCAACCACTTGACCAAAGGTAGCCATGAGAGTAAAGAAACTGATGAGGCGACCACGGATGTCAGGAGGGGATATTTCAGAATGATAGAGAGGGATTGCATTTGTCATCAATCCAGAACCAAAACCGCCCACAATTCGACCAGCTAACAAGATCCCAAAGTTAACACCAATGATCTGTAACAGAATACCAAAACTAAATATTGCGGATGCTCCAATAATTGAATATTTTCTACTAAATCGATCTAAATAAATCAAGAGTTAACATTACGAGGGGATCAGTGTGTAGCGGATTTTTAAAGAGAGCTTACCACAGAGATAGCCAGAAAAGAATGCACCTATGGCAGCTGTCATTAGATACAAGGCAAACAGTAATCCTTGAAGGTAGTCAATATTATCTTCTGTAAAGAAATTTGATTGAAATAAGGGCATCGCAGTAATTCCAGTGACAGCACCTGTATCATAGCCACAAATGAACCCACCGACAGCAGCAACAATAGCCGATAGATACACGGCTTTACGAAACTTGGGTGGATTGATCGAGCACTCTGTTGCTTGATCATTTTTAAAATCACCTTGCTCAATAATATCGCTTTGAATCTTGTCACTCATTTTTTTTTAATGTGTGCAAAAAGAAATTAAATGAAAGAGAAAAAAGTTAAGACACACAAAAAAAAAAAAAACTTTTTTTAAATAGGTATTCAAGTGAAGGGACTGAGTTTCATTTATCTGCAGTCTGGTCACAAAATGATCTGTTTATTTTTACTGCTTTGTGTTCCACTGATTGTAAATATCTGACAAAAGATACAATAGATGAAATAAGGGAATCCGTGCTTTTTATTGTTATTCATCACGATCCCTCTGGTCTCCGATTGAAATCCCTTCCATCTACCGTCTAAAGTGTGCGTGTGTGTGTTTTTGTAAATGGCTCAAGTATGCCTTTGTATCACTCAAAATTTGTTTGTACTATCTTATTCTAACCCAAACACGGCAATCAATGGTTGTGCAATTGTCTTAAATATGAACGCCGCGCGTTGTAAGATTGCCGGTTATCAAATCTGCCTTATCAAAATTGGTTTTAAAATCAAAGGAATCTGCCAACCATACTCGGATGATGATAGATCATCCTTGATAAGTTTTAGGCTCCATAGCAAAATTTTGTACTTGCTGCTAAAAGGCGAACGACTGAAATACCCACACACTGCTGCAAGAGTTATACCGAATATCTCTAGCATGTATAAAAGATGCTTCAATTGGGAATAAATGAGCCCATATGCCATTTTCTTTAGTGTAACTATCTGCTGTTACTTTCGAGTAAGAAATTATGAACGATAATTAATTAATGATATCTCCTTGTAAGAATAATATAAATCAACATGCCACAAAACCGCGTTATTATCTCTAAATGAAGTGTAATAATTTGAGGATTTACTTCATGCTTCGGCCTTGATTTTGCTCTGGTTGGCTTGTTACTTGCTTGTACAGGCTACATAATCGTCATCATTGATAGAAAAGGGTGCTGATGTAACTGCAATTTGCGACGTCCTTCTTTAGATTGGAGGAATGGTACCCCCAAGTATTACGTAATAAAATTTAAAGTCCTTTTAGTGGGGAGGGGGTGGTGGACAGAGAATTATTATTTTTAATCCCTTTTCTTGATCTAATTCAAATGTCTGAATCAGTTGATGAAATCAGAGCGAAAGAAAAAGCCAGAATAGAAAAGGCGTTATTGATAATACATATTGAGAGTAATACAGTTTATCACTCTTAAAAACGTTTTATAGAAAATTGACCTTTTCCCTTTAAAAATAGCCAAAAGAAGAAGTGAGCTCGTTCGACAACAAATAAGGCGGTCTTGTGAAGCAGTAAATGCAAAGAAGATTGAATGTTTGAAAAGTTTACCAGGAGTAGATAAAAATCTGACATTTGACGAATATTGCCAAAGGTATGGACTTGAGGATAATACCGACTTTGAGACAATATTTCGACAAAAGGAACTTGTTCGAAGTCAAGATTTAAACACGAAACAAAATTTAAGCCAAAATAATGAGTTGATTGAGGATTCCAAAAATAAAGAAGCCCAAGATTCATTCGTACAGAACCAACTTCCTGAAGATGTTACGAATAAACCTACGAACATGGAGTCGATTAAAACTGAGGAAGTTCAAATAGCATTACACAATGAATTGCAGTCCGTAGAACCACAGTCTGTTTTAACAAATCCAGCCGTAAAGAAACGAATAGAAGAGGCGCATGATCTAGTTATCAAAAAAAGCAAAAAGAACCACGAAGAGGTAAACCCATACTCCAGACCACTTTGGACGAGCATTAATAAGGCAGTTACAGATACCACCAAATCATGGCGCTGGACCATTGTTTGTACACTTTGAAAGTGAGGATCACGCAACAGTCAGTATTTGCTTGGATCCAAACCGTGTCGTGACCGGAAAGTTCAAAGTTAATGCAACAACAGATATATTAAAACACTGGAATGAGACCCAACGCGCTGCAGTCCGTGATCAAATCCAGGATTTGCAAGATCAGCTCACGCAATTAAAGGACGAACTTTTATAAATCCACAAAACTATACACATATTGTAAATAACATTAAAAAACACATTGCATACTTTTTAAAAAAAAATACACAAACAAATGGCGATTGAAAACATCTTGAACAAGGACGTCTGTGAAGTATTCTCAATTAAAATTTAGAACAACGCCAAATTGATTTCAGACAGACTTAGAAGATAACCCAAGCTAGTCTTAATCCTGTATCGAGACACGTACCTTATGATTGCTTTAATAGTGTCTTTTAATCCTGTCAAATAAATTGTTTTTTAGGATAGTTAAATCGAAAAAGCTTCTAAGAGGCATATACGCGAATGAAGGGCCTGCCATAGGGTGCAACTAAATTATGAGGAAGATACCATCAGCGTTAGCGAAAGAGAATCGCTGCTGTCCAGTTTTCAAAATTGACCAATGGTCATCTTCAAGGTGCAAAAGAAAATTTTATATGCGTTCTCACCAAGATTGATATTACTGATAAGGGAGACAGAACATCGTTACAACCATTAAATAAGAAGTAGCATAAGCATCAAGAATCAATGATATATAAATGTCTTATTCAGATGTTAAAGAAAATGGGTACACTGTTTATTTGATCCATGAAATAAAAATCTTCTCTCATTATCCAGATTGTAGCGATGTTTTCAAGACATGTAAGATGATTCCTAACCTTCGTTCATATAAAAGACACAAAATTCCGACAGCAAAATACCATGAATTATTAAGGTAATATAAAAGAAATAAGAATAGTAACTGAACTAGTAATTTTTATACTTGCCAAACAAATAAATGCCAAAAAAAAAAAAAGAAAAAAAAAAATACGGAATAGGGATCAAACTGCAGTGTAATATTTTATTTAGTTCGAGGGAGGTGGGAAAACACCCAACTTCTTTTCGCTTAAAAGATATTCAAAACAGTAGGTATTCCACCATAGTCACTGCTTTGGTTATTTAATACAAGGCAATGTCTTTTCATGAAATTCTAAATCTAATAAACTAACTAAAAATAGCATCTTTAAATCTATTGCAGGTAAATATTTCAAAATTGCTTTTTGATTCATTTGAAAAAAAAAGATACAAATGTCTGTCTGAATCATTTTTTGCATTTTGTCCGAAATTAATTTGTCTGAATTAGTAGTGCTAACACTGTATTGGAAAGGGTTTAAAATATGGCCAAGGCTGAATAAATGAACACGTGAAGAAACGATATCAATATAAACTTTATTTTCTGCTGAAAAATTTACATTCCAAATATGTCTTTTTTCTTTAGATCTTGCATTGCGATCTAACCTTAATTTATTCTCATCCTGCCCTTAAAAAAACGTGCATGACGATGTTTCTGATTCATTTGATTTTTTTTTTATGATTGGGGGGGGGGTTCGATTATTTTAGGAAATGCCGATAAGAGTAAAGCAGCTGTAAAATCTAGTGGTCACATTTACTAGTGCCTCTTTTTGAGTTGCTTCGAATTTGATGTTGAGATGGCAATGCCAGAAGCAAATACAGGAAACGTATACTATAATAAAACCTGTACTATTCATGAAAGTTGTAGCGCTATCGCAAAGTGCATCGCAACATGATAAGAAAGTGTGCCCTTTTTGAAAAGGTGCTCTGTTGTAATTTGACATTTAGGATACAATTCCTTCGTATCCAGTGTGATTGTGTATTTTAGAATTACTGTCAACTTAGACAGTGTTACGGACCATTGTAATATGATAATGTGTTACACATAGTAGAATATATCCTATAAATATCTTTAGATAATCGACCAAATTACAAGTTGCATTATGTCCTTTCATTTTATTTGACCTTTTAAATTGCAAAGCCTAGTACTTCCTAAGTTGCATTTTTCTTTATCAACGTTGCCAGTGCATTCAATTTATTGCATAAATATAACAAGATTATTTTTTTAAGTGTTTCCTGTTTACTATTTTCTTTTCCCATCATAGTGTATGAGTTTGTATGTTACCGGAAAAGCCCTAGTATATTAGTAGAAAATTGCACATATAAACACCACCAAGTCAATACAAATGATCGTTAAGTTGGCTGTAGCAGTTTAGTAATTATATACTCTTCATGATATGACTATTGCCTGATAAATATCCAAATACCAACGCTATATCAATAACTAAAGAGGACTAAGCCATTTATAAGGAAGATACAGAGACAGATTGATGCTTGTCATTAAACCTACCTTTTACAATCTCGGCTTTTTTTTCTGTTGCTTTTAACGAAGCAAGCGTCCCCTACGAACATAAGTAAAAACAGAATTTGTTATATTATCACTCAAGTTTATCTTCGACGAAATTGTTTGTAGTTTCATATACATTCAACATATCCGATAGATACCACACAATCTAAGTTATAATGATCAAAAGCACCATAAAAAAGCGCTACCATATACATATACCTATTGATAATATTTTTTTTCACAAATAGAACATTTTAGTGGTTTGTGCTTAATTTGTGAGATTCTACTAAAGGCTCCATCCAGGCACTGCTGTCTTTCTGTACAACTTCTCTCTTTAATTTTTTTAATAATCCGTTTACGTCTTGAATGTCATTTGCAGGTGTCACGTTAAGTCCAAAAGATCAATGAGCAGCGAATCGACTCTGTTTTTTATTAATTAACAACTATTTAGCTTTGCGATATAAGTATTGCAAAAAGTAGCTGTATTCACATCTGATAGCTGTGCAGCATTCCTATACGTCTTATGTCAACACCAAACGGTGTCAGATATTTGAAAAAAAAACTACACTCTACAGTTTAGTTATCTGCTGAGCTTCTCATTTGTTCCCTGATAGGAAAAAGTATCGTGCATTAATAAGCGTTAATTGGGACTCTTCAAAGAGATCAATTATTTTTTTGAGAATATCTTGTATCATAGATGGAGTTAGAGGAGTTATTTAACAAAATGCAACCTTTCAGCAAAATTATCGCTGTTGTTTCAGACTAAACTATCATCAATCAATTGCAGTTTGATTGAAAATAATATTTTTTATAATCTGTCAATGTCATTAGAAATTCTAAGCATTGTTTCTTGCAAACTGTCCATCGATGTCTCATTAGGCCTATAGAAAGAGTGCTTGTACAAATGTTGCTGTATACTGTATAATAATTGTTTTAACGAACTGATTTACACGGATGACTCACTATTTATATTATAATCTTTTTTTTTTGCTAGATAGCATGGCTTTTTAATATTTTGAAAATATTCTTCGACATACTACATCTTCTAGGAGTAGTGATACAATTCTTAAATAGTATTTTTTTTTGAATAATTATACAATACACTAGATAAAATGTCAGATGGTTTTGTTGTGCCTGTAACCATTCAAAGACTTTAGGCTTGCGATGGCAGTTTTTATTGATACGCTCCTATATTTTTATTGGTTTTACAGCACTTGACACAGTATAATCTGCATGATAAATCTAAAGTATGTTAAAAGCATCTCTTCTGGTATGCTTTTAATACTAGAATATTTTAAGGCAATTTTGGTAGTTCCTTTATAGAATATTTACAGAGCATTGAGGTGCCTCCTAGTTCACCTACCTTGTGATATAAAAGGAAGTAAGTCTGGTTTCGTCGAAGAGATTTCTTATACTTTTTCCTCTTCACCCAATTCTGTCCTATGAATGTATATTACAATAATAAATCCGTTCTTTCAAAATATAGCTATTTGACTTTTTCGCGATTGCGGCAACGAAGCCTTGTTTGCGGTAATTAATTCAGGCGGGTTCTTGGAATTATCCTTGGAAAATTATGATATAATGTTATATGTCTATCGCCATAAATCTATAACGAGTGCGTATTGCTTGTACGTTTATTATTTATAGATTTGTTAATACAGTAACAGCTTATTGCTATAGTAATAAATCATTGGTCTTTTCGATCAAAGCTTCTTTATTTACCGATCGAACGAAATACCCCTTTGAACACGTTCAATTGATATACTCTCATGCACCAGCCAAAAGAGTTACGATCTATTCGACTTTTCTGGCTAAGTACCGTGCTTCTCAATAAACAATAAACAAACGTACAGTGTTGTTCTCGGGAAAATCGTCAAATATCAAGGAAACTTGAAACACTCATAGCGCACCTTCGCCTCGAAATAGGATATCATATTTTATTGGTTCGGTATCCACTTTATTAAGTTCACTAGCCTGTCAAGGATATGCACTTTTTTTTTCCTTTTTCTTTGGGCGTACAAATTGCCTTTTAAAACTGCAAACACTTGCTTTTCCAAAAAAAAAAAAAAAAAAAAAAACAAACTTTGATGCAAACTCATCTGCAAGCCTAAATAACCGTTCTAGATGACACTGTTTGCATTGACAAAAGATTTTATGCTACTAATAAGTCTAAATATATTAAATGTATGCATGAAAACATTGAATAACAAACACGTATATATCGATAAATAAATTTGACCATACACGGGTAAAGTTAAAAATACACATATGGGCTACCATAAATCTGGCTTTCGTAATACCCCAAATAGGTACAATGCAAATAACATAAATAAACAAACCGCTGATTAAAAATATACCGTCTATTTGTTATTATCTGGGGTCATCAAAATTAGACCCTTTTAACAATTCTCTGTCTATACGCTTATTAATATTTTCCGACAAAGAACTAGATAAGTTCTACTGTAAGTCTGTCATTTTAAAGGTATCAGAATTTAATACATTTAAATTAACGGTTTAATATATGCCAGCTGTTATAAGCCTGATTTCCCCAGACGTGGCATGAAACGCAAAAATAAAATAAAATGCCAGCTTGCGTAACAATAATAATCAGAGAATGGCTATATTCGTAACAGCCTTTCAAATCCTTCATATGTCTTACAGGCACTGATATAATATTTTATGCCATAAGATTAACGGAGAGTAATATATGACAGCCTTATAAGAAGAATACTGGGGGGTGGTCATAGTAAAAATACAAAATAAATCGTCCCCCTAAGATAAACACCCTAGTTATTAATTTCGGGAGGGAAAAGACCGAATAATTCATGGTAGTGGCATACTTGATACTGACACATATTTTGTAAATCATTTTTTACAGAAAAGGAGTAAAAAACGAATACTATCTCCGTTTAATTCGTCCCTACATATAATCATATTTTTGGATATATTTTCGATTTATCTTTTATTTTATTTTTTATTTTTACTATTGGCAAAAAAAAACATGTTGGACCCAACAAAGCAATGTGCTTGTTATAACGTAATCCAAGAGGACAATCCACATCACTGCAGTATATGCAAACGAAACTTTAGTGCATGCTTGTACGTAAATGAGTTGCAACACAAGATAACATTACAAGCGACAGAAATTAATCAGTTAACAAACGATCTTAAGTTGTACGAACGACAAATAAGACGTCAGAAAGCAGAATACGATACATTAAATATGAAGTACATGTCTGGTCTTGATCGTGTAGCAGAAATACAACAACAAAGAGAAATGGCTGATATCGAATTGGAAGAATTAAGTGCTCGATTGTTTGAAGAGGCAAATATTATGGTGGCAAGCGAAAAGCGAGAAAAACATCAGCTGAAAGAATTACTCATGACCACAGAAGACCAGCTGATTATGGAACAAAGCCAACTTTATGAATTGAGAGCCCGCATAGAATCCACAACTGCATTATGCTCACCACCTCCACCCTATTTTGATAACGTTAAAAAGCCAATGGCTCAAACAATGAGGCTTTACAATGATCATAAAAACAGTTTGCTTCCTAAAACAGATAACGCTGGATTGCTCTTCGACGAAATCCGCACACAACAAAACTTATTGCTGGGTGAACACCGTAATGATGTAATTCCAGGTGATAATTTTAAGATGGTGTCACCAACGGATTGTCGTTTAAATAGTAAAAAAATAACAAATAAAGATGCAGATCAATGTTTTGTCAATCATGATGGGGTACTGCAATTAGACTATTTTCAAAAATTCTTCGAACAGCAAAAGAGGAGGAATAGTAGCGTACCTTCTTTAATATCTGATTATAGTATTGAAGAAGAAGAAGAAGTTTATTCCTCATTTTTCCAGCTATACCCACAAGTGCCACAATCAGAATATTTGGAGCGGTGCGAAATAGAAGATATTGAGCCATGTTTGCAGTTTGGAAATTCGAATTCACGTATGCATGTAAAAGTTATGATGGAACATTTGCGCCGGGCTCCATGTTTTATAGAGTCAATTACCATGGAAGAAGCTAAAGAACTACCAACATTATGTAATGCTGTAACTACTGTTTATCACAGACCTATTTGGGAAAGATTGACTGCAACATCGCCGCAACCCTTACATCATCTAGAATGTTCAGCATGCGGGAAAAAACGAAACGTAATGACCAAATCGAGCTACTACAGGTTTAGACTATTAGAGAATGAAGACTGGTTGCTTATCGATCAAAATTGTCGTGATAGACTGGTTGCCGTATGTAATTTTTATAGCTTTATAAGAAACATTGAGATGGGTTATTACAAGCAGCTGCTATTAACTGACTTATATTTGGAAAACGTGGAGTTACGATTAAAAATATTTTACTCTCGGTAAGATTCTTTACATAAATAAGACATAAAAGTATTTTTAAACTAATCGCAAGTCTTTAGAATGGGAAATATTTAAGAAAACATTTAGGCTTAAGAACTTTTAAAATTTATTACCAAGGATATCACGCAAAAATAATTACAAAATTCGGAGTAAACTCATATTTTAAAATACCAATAATTTCATATAATAAAAATGGAGTGCATAATGATAAATGTGAGCATATTAAAAACATATATTTTCAAAGGTGACGGATAGCAAATTTTACATAGGGGGTCGTTGTTGATGAAGTATTTGTGAAAGAAATGAGCATGATGACTGATGTAAACCGAATTCTGGATTACAATATCCACAATGTGTAACTGGATAAAACATTTCATTATTGGGGGTTCTGGAGTAAGAATAGTTGCCAGAAGGGAACAATGAAACACCCAAATTTTCTGTTCGATTAGTTTTGGTAGTGTAAGAGCCGTCCTCGTTATGTTCAGTTCCAGTTTGATGGGATTGCGGAAATTGGTGTAGATGCTGGCGGTATTGGAACATTGACATATTCTTTTGAGCTATAGTAATATTAATGGGACACAAAGTGCTCGGTATAGTATACGTAGAGATTGGTACAGAATTCGAAGGAGCAGGTAGAATAAGTCTCTGCTTTGGCGATGTCTGTTTTTTAGGAATAGGGTTATTTAATAGGTAATCTTTCTCAATACATCTATTTTGATGAGCCGTGAATCCTGCATTTCTAAATCCACGCTGATCAAACTTTGGAAACACCTTTTGACAAACTCTACACTGCAGTTGACAAACTTCTTCCATAATTATTTCAGTACTCTATTTTCTGTTTTATATTTTTTTTGTTCACTATTTATAAACTACCTGAACAATGATAAACTTTCAAAAAATGCTTTTCTTTCTTCATAAAAGTACGGATTTTTATCTATATAAGGTATATCTATGTAGTGGGATTGTCAATGAAAATTGCATTTATTATAGTACGAATAGTTATACTTTAAGATTATTGGATAGCACAATTACAAATTTAATACAAAGAACATAATACAAATATTCTTAACCGTAAATAGTTGTTCGATTTATTTTTCATCCAAAATAAGTGAGAAAATATATAGTAGAGGGAAAAAAAGATACAGCGGATAATCTAGTATGTTAAGGTGCGAGTATGGGGTTATAAATAATGATAAAGGGAATGATGTTATACAAAATTAGAGGATTTTCTACCAGCCGTTTTCAGCATTTTTTGTACGAAGATATTCATAAATCTTATTGCCAGTTTGATCTTCACGAAGGTGAATCATGTATACAATACTAGTTTTCTGTGCATCATCAACTAATAGAAAAGAAATTCGCTTGGAACTAATTTTTTCTACATTTCCACTTTTCACAATTGCACTAACTAATTTCGCTTTATCGTTTTCAATCTGAATTAACATTCTCATGCTAGGGGCTTGTTGAGATATACGCATTGTCACTCCACCAAACGTACTCCAATTCGATGTTTCGTTTTTAATAAACAATTTAGCTTTGCATTGCATGACTGGCTTTAATGTCTGTGGCACATTAACATTGTCTATTGGTTCTTGTTCACGTTCCTCAGGTTCATGTTGCATTTGTGACATAATGGGTTGAGGCTGACTAGCACCTGCGTGAGCGTTTTGCAATATTTGTGCAAAAACATTTGCATCATTGGGGTGTTCAAAATGAATCAAGTAGTTTTCCTTCTTAGCTCCCATGTAGACAGATATACTTACATCTGTAGGTGAAGGTGTTCTAATAACAGTTGTAGGCATAATCCACGCATTCAAATAAAGTTCACCAGTGTTCTGTAATTGAACGGCTACACAAGATCGATTGCTATGTGTTACTCGAACCTGGAGTAAGCACTGACCCTCTGCTGCATACCATGTTTGGTTGTGCCAGTGGAATACATCACACTGGCTGTTGCTATAAAGAATTTGTCTAATATCGTTTTCAGCATTATATGGATTTGGCTAGATAGTGGATCGAAAATCAATAATTTTTCAAAAGTTTTAGGTCAAGATACTTACGCTATGAGGAGGGGAGCTCAAATCTTCTGCTGAATTTTGTGCTTGAAGATTACTTAAAGAAGGAGATGGCGAAACAAACCTACCGGGAGGTTGCTGCAATCTTGGGGATAAAGATTGACCACCAGGAGGTCTTCTAGCGGTGCTACTCGATAAATTAGGTGAGTGCGATGGAGAAGGAATTGGTCTTTGATTGTTGTAGGACATGGATTGAGCAGGTGAGCTAGGCCTGAAATGTTGTTGTTGTTGCTGATAATGCTGGGGTGGGGATTGCATCGGTCGATTTTGATTGTATTGTTGAGGTGGTCTTTGCTGTTGTGGGATCTGACGAGGCTGTCCATTATGATATCCATTCTGTTGTTGTTGTTGATGTTGTTGTTGGTTCATCATAGGACGTTGGTTTTGTTGCATAGGGGAACGTGGCTGAGCTGGATAATTTTGCATCGTTTGTTGAGGTGGCCTTTGCTGATATTGAGGTTGAGATTGTAATCTTGGGGAAGGTCCTTGATTACCGTGAGCAGGTGGATTGGGACCTCTGATGGAGGAGGTTCTTGGGATTTGCATTCTGTTATCAGAGATGTATTCATCTGTTTTTTGAGTAACTGCTTGCATAACTTCTGGAATAACAGCTCTTTGTACTTCGATTGCTCTTGGAGAGGATGGTTTACTGTCATTCATATTGCTTTTCATTCCGAGTCCGAAGGATCTATCAGGGGACGCTGGTAAAGGATTTTTGGATAAAGGGAAAGAAGTGAAAGAAGAAGAATTGCTATTTAACGATTCATTATGAGCTGGAATAGGAGGCGAAATCGACATAGTGGACATCTGAGCGGTAGGTGGTTGAATATAGGTCATTTGAACATGTGAAGAATCTTTAACTGGTTGATTAACAGATGTTTGCTGTTTATTAGGAGGAATTGGAGGAAGACCAGATTTCACGTTTGGAATAGCTTTATTTGGGGTTGTAGTCGGAATTGGACCGTTATTAAAACTTTGTTGTGCCTGTGGAACATTAGGGACATGCGGAAGTATCTTGACAGATTGGGGACTAATAGTTGTTAATTCGTGATTTAATGGTGGCGGTGACGGGAAGGTAGGATCCTCATCAGAATCATAGAAGTGATCGTCATATATATCCATAATAGTATCTCTGGGTTTTTGTTGTTTGAAGATTGGGTTATGAAGATGCTTGTCGGAGCTTTTCGAAGGTGTAGCTGCACCAGAAATCGCATTTATCTTGAAATCAATGGCAGCATATTTATTACTACCGATGCCATTTAATAGCATTTTTTTTTGAGCAGCAGCGCTCAAAGTTCGAGGAGTAGTCGTATTTAAGCTTGAAGCATCCTGATCTACACCGATCCACGTGTTTCTAATTTCTTTCGACTCTGCACGTATAATAATGTGTTTTTTACCCAATACAGAAAGTCTAATAATGTATTCTCCTACGAGTTCTCTATCCAATGTATCAGATTTTACAGTGATATCACCGATTGAAATAGCAGGATACATCAGAATGAATTGCGACGGAGATAATTCACGACATATTACCAAGACCTCTGTGGTCAATAAGAGGTGTGCCCGAATAGAAGGTCCTTTGTCATCGGTTGGTAAAATAACAAAGCTATCTCTCATTACGAGCTGAGAGCCTGGGTTAGATATACTCAATTGATAATTCTATTGTAATAACGTGTTAAACTTATAAATATATACCACGTGGTACAAGTGGCTATTTTTAGATTACTTACAATTTGTGTCCCTCCATAAAGATCGACCGTTCTTGAGCAATCAACCTGGCGTTCGAATGTTGTCAGATCATTCTCAGGAGTAAAATTGGTCTGAATTGGTGGGAGATTTGAGTCAACTGTGCGGGCTGCAGCTTTGTTTGGCGTGTTATTGTTTGCCATAACCATTATCATATCGATTCTTTTGTTCGCATTCAATAATAGTTTGTGATCAGCCCTTCTAGAATCAGTGCCCTCCAATAATCTCTATGTAGAGTTTATAAATATCTTATTTTCTGTCTATACTCTTTTTACTTACACTATATAGTCCTTTGTAATACTTAAGTTGCTTGATAGGTGCATCAAAAAGGGTTTCCAAATTGATTTCATAAGGCACATTGGCTGATAAATTATGAAGTAAACCTTGAATGGATGGGTTACAAAGAATATCTGTACGATAATTAAGGTTAGGGATATAACTGCGAGAATAATTAGCGTAGGGAACTTCCAAATCATTGACCTGATAATTTATGAGTAAATTCTGTGTATGTTTAGTAATGATTTCATCCTTACCCATTGCATAAGTACATCTCCAAGATCATTGATCATTTGTGGATTAGCGGCAATCTTTGTAAGTCTCTACAAAATTGAAAACTTTCTTAGGTGATTATATCTTGGTTTGCTCGATCAATTTTTCTTACTAGACAAAAACGCTTATTCGCTTTCAATATATCCTGAATGTATTTTAACAGTTCAGAGAAATCAGGAGCTGCTGAAGTCATTTGTTTCATCCAAATAGGAGCGATTTGCTATTAAGTCTGTTAAAATTTTGTATTTTATACCAAAAATATACATACAGAGTCAATCATTTTTAAAGTTTCCATATAGGTTTGTTCGGTTTCAATAAGTTCTGTCAAAGGATTACCATTACCTTTTCGAGAATCAGTAGAGTTCTGAGAAGGAGCTGTAGAAGCACCTGCGCCTGAATTAAAAGCGCTTGAGGATGATGAAGAAATTGTAGATTCTGATAACATGTTCACAATTTCAAACAGTTTTTTTTCAAAAGACGGCGATAAATAATATGTGTAAAAATGAGTGTATTAAAAAAATTGACCGTTGTTTCTGTATAAAAGTTGTGGAATTAAGAATAAATCAGGTTATAAAGTTGACATGTACACTGAGGTTTTTTCGAAAAAAAAAAAAAGGAAATAGAGCCTGGTAATATTTTATTTAAAATTGCTGTGGTACACGTACACTATTTCCAGAAAGGATTTCTTATATATCACTGTGTTATGTGACATTTCACCAGCGTTTTTTTACCCATTTTTTTATATTGTCTTCTCTTTTGAATGCTCACTTGAAGTCACAATGGATAATTACTTGTAATACTACTTCCTTTGTAACGTCTGGACGTCTTTCTGCTTTCGTAAACTAGGGTTAACTCCGTTCCCGACCTAATGGTTAGTGTGGTACGTGTGTAACGCCATCAACTGGCGGGATTTTGTAATTGACGAATCGTTAAAAATCCTCAATACATTTAATTTAGTGGAAAAAGTATACATAACAAAGAAGAAAAAGGCGTTATATCGTTATAGCATAATTGTACCATATCGGAGATCAGATCAGATCACGCTAATCGCTCATTTACAAATAAAGAGGGGCAAAAGGATCGAAACTTCTAACGGGAGACTCTATAATTGGATAGTAGCTCCAAATAAAAAATAAAATTAGGCTCACTGTTTAACCAGGTCTAGAGTTAAATGCAAATAAGGATTTTTTCGGCTATCAGGAATCGGAAAACAACATCTGAGTGCATACAAATAACAAATAAAAGAGTCACTTATGGCTATTTATGTCGCGATATTTTGTTTGGATTGAGAGGATATTATATATTTCGATAATTCATCATCAATTATCATATATATAAAAAAAGAGGAAAAAAGCTAAACATATCATTGCCATAAAAACATATTTTAATAAAGCTTTAAAATGAAGAAGATATGTACACAAAAAAAAGAAAAAAAAATAAAAGAAAAAGAACCTTTTCATGCAGGATTTTAATTAATATAAAGATGTAACTGGTAACAAACAAAACTAACAAAAAGGTAAATTAAAATTTTGGGAAAAAACAAAGTTTATTTTTGTAATTGTACCTGTCAAAGAAATGTGCGATGTCATTGGGATGAAAATGTTCTAAATAAATACTACATACATTTGAGTAATTCGCCATTCCGCTTTTTGTTTTCATTATCTTTATCTCTGGTGATTACATATGGCAAAAATTAAACGCCATAATCTCGTCCTAGGGGTGACTTTGGTAGCAGCTGTTACCTTAGTTACTGCCAATATTGATGAGCCTAGTTATATTCAATCTGATTTTGCTAGCGAACATCATGAAATTGAAAGATGGGATACTCAAAACTTTAAAAAGCACGGCAGTGGCTTAATCACGCGGTGCGAACCTCCTGGAACTGGAGGTTATTTCATCTCAAAAGATAAATATTCTTATGCTGGCGCTTTCACAGCTTGTAAAGCTTTAGGTGGCTCTTTGGCTGATTTATCGCGTACAAATTTCTTGCTTGCTTCTGATCTCGTCCTGTCTTGTGCTGGCCCCAACAAAAGGGCTTGGATCGGGTAATTACGCGTTTAATTATAAAAGTTGATACAATTTACTAACATTCTCATTACAGTACATGGGACTATTCTGAAAATCAAGAATGTTTGTCTATCTTCGTCGGTAATACCGGCCCAGGCGGTGGTGTTGATAACACCTGTCCTGGAGATAGACCAGTATTATGTCAACTTCATCCCCCAAATTCATATTATACTCCAATCATTTCTTCATATCATTCATCGGCTCCAGTTGGCGTCCCTGCACATAGCAATCATCCTCATAATGAACCTTACTCTCCTAATTACGGAAATGGCTATCCTAATCAAGGCAATCCACATCACGGTCACCATGGCCATGGCCACCATCATGGTAATTCTGGATCCGTCAATACAGGCGAAGAAAACGAATGCCATGACAATAATAATAACGCCTGTAACGTTCCTATAACAATTTATAAAACTATTAACAACGACGGTCTGGTCACTACTCTTACGCTTTCTGGCGTCAAAGCTACTGTCACGGTTAATGATGTCGCCTCCGTGGTTACATTAGACGATATTGTTTCTTCCTTTGTTGTCGCAGCAAAAGCTGAAACTATTACAGAAATAATTGATGGTGTTACTGTAACCGTCACTAAATCTGCTGAATCTTCAACCGTCACCATGATCGGTGATACCACAATTCACGGCGCAGAAGGTTGCGATACAACTTCACCAAGTGGCTTGGTTGCCTCTCCTACTGGTCCCGTTTTCACATTCCCCTTCAATGTCCCTGGATTTAATGGTCCTGGTATTTATACCTTAAGTCCTGGCAATGTCTTACAAGTCAAGCCTGATGGTACTTTCGAATTCTTATATGGCGGAGCTACAGGAGTTCCAACACCCACTGACTCTGGCTTATTCCCTATCCAAACTAGCTCAACGTCCTCATTAAAGACAGGCTTCCCCATTAATGTTGTCAACCCAGATCAACCTGTAACAGCTCAATTGCCACAACAAACTCTACCAACAGTAGACCTCGGAAATGGCAATACCCTCAGCAGCTACAAAGGTCCAGGAACATACACATTAAGTCCTGGAAATGTGCTTACAATCGGACCTGCTGGTGACTATTCTTTCATCACTGGTACTGGTGTTGGTGGTGTAAAGACCGGTAGTACATCTGTTCCCACTGTAACCTTAGCAACAGCTACACTTCCAGATGGAAATGTCGTACCCAGCTATACAGGCCCAGGTGAATACACTCTTGCTCCCGGTAATGTTGTTTCAATTGCTTCAAACGGTGCAGTCTCTTCTGTTGTATGTTCCGGAAACGGTCTACCAGCTGTTACATTGCCCAATGTTGACCTTGGATTCGGAAACACTGTTAGCAACTACAAAGGTCCTGGCACTTACACTGTCAGTCCTGGAAATGTATTGTCTGTCGGTCCATCTGGTGAATTCTCTTTTATCTCTGGCACCGGTGTCAATGGTATTAAGAGCGGAAGCAAGTCTATCTCTTCTGTTTCATTTGCCGATGCTACCCTTCCTAACGGAAGTGTATTAACTGCATACACTGGTCCTGGTGTCTATACTCTTGCTCCTGGCAATACTGTTTCTGTTGCTTGCAATGGTGAAGTATCATCTGTTCCTGCCTTGTCAAGTATTGCTTTACCTGCCGTTACTTCATTACCCGCTGTAGAACTTACTAGTGGTTTGACTATTAGCAGCTTCAAAGGTCCTGGTACTTACACTTTAGGTCCTGGTAACGTTTTGACTGTTGGTCCTTCTGGTGACTTCTCATTTGTTACTGGTACTGGCCCTGAAGGTATTAAGACTGGTAGCACATCTGTTCCATCCGTCACTTTGCCTGCTGCTACTCTTCCTGATGGAAATGTTGTATCCAGTTTCACTGGACCTGGTGAATACACTCTTGCTCCTGGTAATGTTGTATCTGTTGCATCTGACGGTGTTATTTCATCGGTTGTATGTTCCGGTAATGGCTTACCTGCTGTCACCTTGCCTAATGTTGATCTTGGTTTTGGTAACACTGTTAGCAACTACAAAGGTCCTGGTACTTACACTGTCAGTCCTGGAAATGTATTGTCTGTCGGTCCATCTGGTGAATTCTCTTTCATCTCTGGCTCTGGCGTCAATGGTATTAAGACTGGAAGTAAGTCTATCTCTTCTGTTTCATTTGCCGATGCTACCCTTCCTAACGGAAGCGTATTAACTGCGTACACTGGACCTGGTGTCTATACTCTTGCTCCTGGTAATACTGTTTCTGTTGCTTGCAATGGTGAAGTATCATCTGTTCCTGCTTTGTCTAGTATTGCTTTACCTGCCGTTACTTCATTACCCGTTGTAGAACTTACTAGTGGTTTGACTATTAGCAGCTTCAAAGGTCCTGGTACTTACACTTTAGGTCCTGGTAACGTTTTGACTGTTGGTCCTTCTGGTGACTTCTCATTTGTTACTGGTACTGGCCCTGAAGGTATTAAGACTGGTAGCACATCTGTTCCATCTGTCACTTTGCCTGCTGCTACTCTTCCTGATGGAAATGTTGTATCCAGTTTCACTGGACCTGGTGAATACACTCTTGCTCCTGGTAATGTTGTATCTGTTGCATCTGACGGTGTTATTTCATCGGTTGTATGTTCCGGTAATGGCTTACCTGCTGTCACCTTGCCTAATGTTGACCTTGGATTCGGAAACACTGTTAGCAACTACAAAGGTCCTGGTACTTACACTGTTAGCCCTGGAAACGTATTGTCTGTCGGTCCATCTGGTGAATTCTCTTTCATCTCTGGCTCTGGCGTCAATGGTATTAAGTCTGGAAGTAAGTCTATCTCTTCTGTTTCCTTTGCCGATGCTACCCTTCCTAACGGAAGCGTATTAACTGCGTACACTGGACCTGGTGTCTATACTCTTGCTCCTGGTAATACTGTTTCTGTTGCTTGCAATGGTGAAGTATCATCTGTTCCTGCTTTGTCCAGTATTGCTTTACCTGCCATTACTTCATTACCCGTTGTAGAACTTACTAGTGGTTTGACTATTAGCAGCTTCAAAGGTCCTGGTACTTACACTTTAGGTCCTGGTAACGTTTTGACTGTTGGTCCTTCTGGTGACTTCTCATTTGTCACTGGTACTGGCCCTGAAGGTATTAAGACTGGTAGTACATCTGTTCCATCCGTCACTTTGCCTGCTGCTACTCTTCCTGATGGAAATGTTGTATCCAGTTTCACTGGACCTGGTGAATACACTCTTGCTCCTGGTAATGTTGTATCTGTTGCATCTGACGGTGTTATTTCATCGGTTGTATGTTCCGGTAATGGCTTACCTGCTGTCACCTTGCCTAATGTTGATCTTGGTTTTGGTAACACTGTTAGCAACTACAAAGGTCCTGGTACTTACACTGTCAGTCCTGGAAATGTATTGTCTGTCGGTCCATCTGGTGAATTCTCTTTCATCTCTGGCTCTGGCGTCAATGGTATTAAGACTGGAAGTAAGTCTATCTCTTCTGTTTCATTTGCCGATGCTACCCTTCCTAACGGAAGCGTATTAACTGCGTACACTGGACCTGGTGTCTATACTCTTGCTCCTGGTAATACTGTTTCTGTTGCTTGCAATGGTGAAGTATCATCTGTTCCTGCTTTGTCCAGTATTGCTTTACCTGCCATTACTTCATTACCCGTTGTAGAACTTACTAGTGGTTTGACTATTAGCAGCTTCAAAGGTCCTGGTACTTACACTTTAGGTCCTGGTAACGTTTTGACTGTTGGTCCTTCTGGTGACTTCTCATTTGTCACTGGTACTGGCCCTGAAGGTATTAAGACTGGTAGTACATCTGTTCCATCCGTCACTTTGCCTGCTGCTACTCTTCCTGATGGAAATGTTGTATCTAGCTTCACTGGACCTGGTGAATACACTCTTGCTCCTGGTAATGTTGTATCTGTTGCATCTGACGGTGTTATTTCATCGGTTGTATGTTCCGGTAATGGCTTACCTGCTGTCACCTTGCCTAATGTTGATCTTGGTTTTGGTAACACTGTTAGCAACTACAAAGGTCCTGGTACTTACACTGTCAGTCCTGGAAATGTATTGTCTGTCGGTCCATCTGGTGAATTCTCTTTCATCTCTGGCTCTGGCGTCAATGGTATTAAGACTGGAAGTAAGTCTATCTCTTCTGTTTCATTTGCCGATGCTACCCTTCCTAACGGAAGCGTATTAACTGCGTACACTGGACCTGGTGTCTATACTCTTGCTCCTGGTAATACTGTGTCTGTTGCTTGCAATGGTGAAGTATCATCTGTTCCTGACTTGTCCAGCATTGCTTTACCTGCCATTACTTCATTACCTGCCGTAGAACTTACTAGTGGTTTGACTATTAGCAGCTTCAAAGGTCCTGGTACTTACACTTTAGGTCCTGGTAACGTTTTGACTGTTGGTCCTTCTGGTGACTTCTCATTTGTTACCGGTACTGGCCCTGAAGGTATTAAGACTGGTAGTACATCTGTTCCATCCGTCACTTTGCCTGCTGCTACTCTTCCTGATGGAAATGTTGTATCAAGTTTCACTGGACCTGGTGAATACACACTTGCTCCTGGTAATGTTGTATCTGTTGCATCTGACGGTGTTATTTCATCGGTTGTATGTTCCGGTAATGGCTTACCTGCTGTCACCTTGCCTAATGTTGATCTTGGTTTTGGTAACACTGTTAGCAACTACAAAGGACCTGGTACTTACACTGTCAGTCCTGGAAATGTATTGTCTGTCGGTCCATCTGGTGAATTCTCTTTCATCTCTGGCTCTGGCGTCAATGGTATTAAGACTGGAAGTAAGTCTATCTCTTCTGTTTCATTTGCCGATGCTACCCTTCCTAACGGAAGTGTATTAACTGCATACACTGGTCCTGGTGTTTACACTCTTGCTCCTGGTAATACTGTTTCTATTGCTTGCAATGGTGAAGTGTCATCTGTTCCTGCCTTGTCAAGTATTGCTTTACCTGCCGTTACTTCATTACCCGCTGTAGAACTTACTAGTGGTTTGACTATTAGCAGCTTCAAAGGTCCTGGTACTTACACTTTAGGTCCTGGTAATGTTTTGACTGTTGGTCCTTCTGGTGACTTCTCATTTGTTACCGGTACTGGCCCTGAAGGTATTAAGACTGGTAGCACATCTGTTCCATCTGTTACTTTGCCTGCTGCTACTCTTCCTGACGGAAATGTTGTATCAAGTTTTACTGGACCTGGTGAATACACTCTCGCTCCTGGTAATGTTGTATCTGTTGCATCTGATGGTATTGTCTCACCTGTTTCATCTGTGGTCTGCTCAGGTAACGGTTTACCTGCTGTCACCTTGCCTAACGTCGATCTTGGTTCTGGTAACACTGTTAGCAACTACAAAGGTCCTGGTACGTACACTGTCAGTCCTGGAAATGTATTGTCTGTCGGTCCATCTGGTGAATTCTCTTTCATCTCTGGCTCTGGCGTCAATGGTATTAAGACTGGAAGTAAGTCTATCTCTTCTGTTTCATTTGCCGATGCTACCCTTCCTAACGGAAGTGTATTAACTGCATACACTGGTCCTGGTGTTTACACTCTTGCTCCTGGTAATACAGTTTCTATTGCTTGCAATGGTGAAGTGTCATCTATTCGTGACTTGTCCAGTATTGCTTTACCTGCCGTTACTTCGTTACCCGCTGTGGAACTTACTAGTGGTTTGACTATTAGCAGCTTCAAAGGTCCTGGTACTTACACTTTAGGTCCTGGTAATGTTTTGACTGTTGGTCCTTCTGGTGACTTCTCATTTGTTACTGGTACTGGCCCTGAAGGTATTAAGACTGGTAGCACATCTGTTCCATCCGTCACTTTGCCTGCTGCTACTCTTCCTGATGGAAATGTTGTATCCAGTTTCACTGGACCTGGTGAATACACTCTTGCTCCTGGTAATGTTGTATCTGTTGCATCTGACGGTGTTATTTCATCGGTTGTATGTTCCGGTAATAGCTTACCTGCTGTCACCTTGCCTAACGTCGATCTTGGTTCTGGTAACACTGTTAGCAACTACAAAGGTCCTGGTACTTACACTGTTAGCCCTGGAAACGTATTGTCTGTCGGTCCATCTGGTGAATTCTCTTTCATCTCTGGCTCTGGCGTCAATGGTATTAAGACTGGAAGTAAGTCTATCTCTTCTGTTTCATTTGCCGATGCTACCCTTCCTAACGGAAGTGTATTAACTGCATACACTGGTCCTGGTATCTATACTCTTGCTCCTGGTAATACTGTTTCTGTTGCTTGCAATGGTGAAGTATCATCTATTCCTGACTTGTCCAGTATTGCTTTACCTGCCGTTACTTCGTTACCCGCTGTGGAACTTACTAGTGGTTTGACTATTAGCAGCTTCAAAGGTCCTGGTACTTACACTTTAGGTCCTGGTAATGTTTTGACTGTTGGTCCTTCTGGTGACTTCTCATTTGTTACTGGTACTGGCCCTGAAGGTATTAAGACTGGTAGCACATCTGTTCCATCCGTCACTTTGCCTGCTGCTACTCTTCCTGACGGAAATGTTGTATCAAGTTTCACTGGACCTGGTGAATACACACTTGCGCCTGGTAATGTTGTATCTGTTGCAACTGACGGTGTTATTTCATCAGTTATATGTTCCGGTAATGGCTTACCTGCTGTTTCTTTGCCTAACGTTGATCTTGGTTTTGGTAACACTGTTAGCAACTACAAAGGTCCTGGTACTTACACTGTCAGTCCTGGAAATGTTTTATCTGTCGGTCCATCTGGTGAATTCTCTTTCATCTCTGGCTCTGGCGTCAATGGTATTAAGACTGGAAGTAAGTCTATCTCTTCTGTTTCATTTGCCGATGCTACCCTTCCTAACGGAAGTGTATTAACTGCATACACTGGTCCTGGTGTTTACACTCTTGCTCCTGGTAATACAGTTTCTATTGCTTGCAATGGTGAAGTATCATCTATTCCTGACTTGTCCAGTATTGCTTTACCTGCAGTTACTTCATTACCCGCTGTAGAACTTACTAGTGGTTTGACTGTTAGCAGCTTCAAAGGTCCTGGTACTTACACTTTAGGTCCTGGTAATGTTTTGACTGTTGGTCCTTCTGGTGACTTCTCATTTGTTACTGGTACTGGCCCTGAAGGTATTAAGACTGGTAGCACATCTGTTCCATCTGTTACTTTGCCTGCTGCTACTCTTCCTGACGGAAATGTTGTATCAAGTTTCACTGGACCTGGTGAATACACACTTGCGCCTGGTAATGTTGTATCTATTGCATCTGATGGTGTTGTTTCATCCGTCCCTGCTGTTTCCAGTATTGCTTTACCTTCAGTCTCTTCGTTACCTCACATTGATCTTGGCAACGGAATCACTGTCAGCAGCTTTAAAGGACCTGGTACTTATACTTTAAGTCCTGGTAATGTCATCTCTGTTGGTCCCTCTGGTGATTTCTCATTCATCACTGGTACTGGTGTCAATGGTGTTAATACTGGAAGCACATTTGTTCCATCTGTTACATTACCTTCTGCTACTCTTCCTGACGGAAATATTGTATCCAGCTTCACTGGTCCTGGTCAATACACACTTGCTCCTGGTAATGTTGTATCTATTGCATCTGATGGTGTTGTTTCATCAGTACCTGCTGTTTCCAGTATTGCTTTACCTTCAGTCTCTTCGTTACCTCACATTGATCTTGGCAACGGAATCACTGTCAGCAGCTTTAAAGGACCTGGTACTTATACTTTAAGTCCTGGTAATGTCATCTCTGTTGGTCCCTCTGGTGATTTCTCATTCATCACTGGTACTGGTGTCAATGGTATTAAGACTGGAAGCACATTTGTTCCATCTGTTACATTACCCGCTGCTACTCTTCCTAACGGAAATATTGTATCCAGCTTCACTGGTCCTGGTCAATACACACTTGCTCCTGGTAATGTTGTCTCAATTGCCTCCAACGGTGTTGTGTCATCTGTTACTGCAGCTCCCAGTATTGCCTTGCCTACAGCTTCTATTCCTGGCATTTCTAGTATTGGTTTACCCACTACGTCTTCTGTCAAGGGTGTTTCTAGCATTGCTTTACCCACTATTTCATCTGCACCTGGTATTTCGAGTATTGTGTTACCTGGTGTATCTAGTACGACCAAGTCAAGTATCTCTTTGCCCTCAGTATCGTCATTACCTCACATTGATCTTGGCAACGGAATCACTGTCAGCAGCTTCAAAGGACCTGGTACTTATACTTTAAGTCCTGGTAATGTCATCTCTGTTGGTCCCTCTGGTGATTTCTCATTCATCACTGGTACTGGTGTCAATGGTATTAAGACTGGAAGCACATTTGTTCCATCTGTTACATTACCTTCTGCTACTCTCCCTGACGGAAATATTGTATCCAGCTTCACTGGTCCTGGTCAATACACACTTGCTCCTGGTAATGTTGTATCTATTGCATCTGATGGTGTTGTTTCATCAGTACCTGCTATTTCCAGTATTGCTTTACCTTCAGTTTCTTCGTTACCTCACATTGATCTTGGCAACGGAATCACTGTCAGCAGCTTTAAAGGACCTGGTACTTATACTTTAAGTCCTGGTAATGTCATCTCTGTTGGTCCCTCTGGTGATTTCTCATTCATCACTGGTACTGGTGTCAATGGTATTAAGACTGGAAGCACATTTGTTCCATCTGTTACATTACCTGCTGCTACTCTTCCTAACGGAAATATTGTATCCAGCTTCACTGGTCCTGGTCAATACACACTTGCTCCTGGTAATGTTGTCTCAATTGCCTCCAACGGTGTTGTGTCATCTGTTACTGCAGCTCCCAGTATTGCCTTGCCTACAGCCTCTATTCCTGGCATTTCCAGTATTGGTTTACCCACTACGTCTTCTGTCAAGGGTGTTTCTAGCATTGCTTTACCCACTATTTCATCTGCACCTGGTATTTCGAGTATTGTGTTACCTGGTTTATCTAGTACGACCAAGTCAAGTATCTCTTTGCCCTCAGTATCGTCATTACCTCACATTGATCTTGGCAACGGAATCACTGTCAGCAGCTTCAAAGGACCTGGTACTTATACTTTAAGTCCTGGTAATGTCATCTCAGTTGGTCCTTCTGGTGATTTCTCATTCATCACTGGTACTGGTGTCAATGGTGTTAAGACTGGAAGCACATTTGTTCCATCTGTTACATTACCTTCTGCTACTCTTCCTGACGGAAATATTGTATCCAGCTTCACTGGTCCTGGTCAATACACACTTGCTCCTGGTAATGTTGTATCTATTGCATCTGATGGTGTTGTTTCATCAGTACCTGCTGTTTCCAGTATTGCTTTACCTTCAGTCTCTTCGTTACCTCACATTGATCTTGGCAACGGAATCACTGTCAGCAGCTTCAAAGGACCTGGTACTTATACTTTAAGTCCTGGTAATGTCATCTCTGTTGGTCCCTCTGGTGATTTCTCATTCATCACTGGTACTGGTGTCAATGGTATTAAGACTGGAAGCACATTTGTTCCATCTGTTACATTACCTGCTGCTACTCTTCCTAACGGAAATATTGTATCCAGCTTCACTGGTCCTGGTCAATACACACTTGCTCCTGGTAATGTTGTATCTATTGCATCTGATGGTGTTGTTTCATCAGTACCTGCTGTTTCCAGTATTGCTTTACCTTCAGTCTCTTCGTTACCTCACATTGATCTTGGCAACGGAATCACTGTCAGCAGCTTTAAAGGACCTGGTACTTATACTTTAAGTCCTGGTAATGTCATCTCTGTTGGTCCCTCTGGTGATTTCTCATTCATCACTGGTACTGGTGTCAATGGTATTAAGACTGGAAGCACATTTGTTCCATCTGTTACATTACCTGCTGCTACTCTTCCTAACGGAAATATTGTATCCAGCTTCACTGGTCCTGGTCAATACACACTTGCTCCTGGTAATGTTGTCTCAATTGCCTCCAACGGTGTTGTGTCATCTGTTACTGCAGCTCCCAGTATTGCCTTGCCTACAGCTTCTATTCCTGGCATTTCCAGTATTGGTTTACCCACTACGTCTTCTGTCAAGGGTGTTTCTAGCATTGCTTTACCCACTATTTCATCTGCACCTGGTATTTCGAGTATCGTGTTACCTGGTGTATCTAGCACGACTAAATCTATTATGTCTTTGCCTGCCGTATCGTCATTACCTCACATTAATCTAGGAAATGGTATCACAGTTAGTAGCTTCAAAGGACCAGGTACTTATACATTAAGTCCCGGTAATGTTTTATCTGTTGGTCCTTCCGGTCAATTCTCATTCATTTCCGGTACTGGTGTCAATGGTATTAAGTTCGGTAGTGCATCTATTCCTTCAGTCACATTGGCTACTGCTACTCTTCCTAACGGTGGTGTGTTAACCGGTTATACTGGTCCTGGTGAATATACACTTTCTCCTGGAAACGTTGTTTCAATTGCGCCTAACGGTGTCGTCTCATCGATTCCTGCTGTATCCAGTTTTGCTTTACCGTCGGTTTCCTCTTTGCCACATATTAATTTGGGTAATGGAATTACGGTTAGCAGCTTCAAAGGACCAGGTACTTATACATTAAGCCCCGGTAATGTTTTATCTGTTGGTCCCTCAGGTCAATTCTCATTCATTTCCGGTACTGGTGTCAATGGTATTAAGTTCGGTAGTGCATCTATTCCTTCAGTCACATTGGCTACTGCTACTCTTCCTAACGGTGGTGTGTTGACAGCTTATACTGGAGCCGGACAATATACCCTTTCTCCTGGTAACGTTGTCTCCATTGCATCTGATGGTGTAATTTCTTCTGTGAAGTCATTGCCTAGTCTTGAATTGCCATCTGTTTCGTCACTACCCCAAATGATCTCTTTCGGTACAACTAGTAGTACTCAAGCTCCTGGTATCTTCACTCTGAACCCTGGAAATATGCCGTCGAGTGCATCGTCTGGACAACTGTCCTTTGCACCCGTTTCTAGTAGTAGTAAGAAGGGAGGTAATATTTCTTTGGGCCCTGTATCTCCTGGAGTTTCAACAGGTTCAAGCCTTACCGGAAATTTCATGTCTAGTTTTACTAGCCCCGGACAGTACAGTTTCAATTCTGGAAGCGTTATTTCTTTTGGATCTAGTGGTGGAATCTCATCTATCTTATCGGTTTCATCTATTCGCGTTGTTTCGTCTGTTTCCACCACCTCATCGGCTAAAACGTTCTCTAACATTGGATTAAGTGCTGCCCCTACCTTCCCAAATGTTGATATTGGTAATGGTAATACAATTACAAGCTATCATGGAGCTGGTTTATACACCTTAGGTCCTGGTAGAGTTGTTTCTGTCGCTCCCGATGGCAATTACGAATGGATCGGTGGTAAAATTGGTGGACAATCTACTACCAAGTTACCTGATGTTGATCTTGGCAATGGTAACACCATTACAAGTTACAATGGTCCTGGATTATATACATTAAGTCCTGGTAATGTTATATCGGTTGGTTCTGATGGAAGTTATCAATACATATCTGGCAACGAGTTCGGTGGTAAAGAGACTACAACGGATTTACCTGAAATCGATATCGGTAATGGAAACACAATTACAAACTACAACGGTGCTGGTATTTACACTGTCGGCACTGGTCAAGTTGTGTCTGTTGGTACTGATGGCTCATATCAGTTCATTGAGGGTGGCGACAGCGGTATTGAGAATGGTGTATCAAAATTGCCTAATGTTGACCTCGGTAACGGTAACACAATTACAAGCTACAATGGTCCTGGTACATATACTTTAGGTCCTGGTAAGGTTGTATCTGTTGGCTCAGATGGTAGTTATCAATTCCTCTCTGATATTCAAGACGGTTCATCCAAATTGCCTGATGTCGATCTTGGTGATGGAAATACAATTACAAGTTATAACGGTGCTGGTCTGTACACAGTAGGCTCTAACCAGGTTGTTACAGTAGGTACAGATGGTGATTATGAATATGTCTCCGGCAAGAATGACGCTTCTAGCTTACCCAATGTTGATATTGGTAATGGGGACACAATTACCAGTTACAATGGTGCTGGCTTGTATACTTTAGCCCCCGGTAGAGTTGTTTCTGTTCGATCTGACGGAAGTTATCAATTTGTATCTAGCAAACCTGACCTTCCCAATGTTGACATTGGAAATGGTAATACCATCTCAGGTTATAATGGCGCCGGTGTATATACCTTAAGACCTGGTCAAGTTGTATCCGTTGGCTCTGATGGCACATATCAATTTATTACAGGTGGTGATAGCGGTGTAGGCGATGAATTCTCCAAGTTACCTAATGTAGATATTGGAAATGGTAATACCCTTACTAGCTATAATGGTGCTGGTTTGTATACCTTGAGCCCTGGTAGAGTTGTATCTGTCGGTTCAGATGGTAGTTATGAATTTATTTCTGGATTCAGTATCGAAGGCCAATCTTCTGAGTTGCCTAACATTGATCTTGGAAATGGAGACACTATTAGCGGATATTACGGTCCTGGAACTTACACTTTAGGTTCTGGTAAGGTCGCTTCCGTTGGTCCTGATGGCTCTTATCAATTCTTAACTGGTTCAAACAACCTAGCAAGTATCCCTGCAGAGACTGATTTGCCAGAAATTGATATTGGTAATGGTAACACTATCACAAATTATAATGGTGCTGGTATTTACACTGTCGGTCCTGGTCAAGTTGTGTCTGTTGGTACTGATGGCTCATATCACTTCATTGATGGTGGCGATAGCGGTATGGAGAATGGTGTATCAAAATTGCCTAATGTTGACCTCGGTAACGGTAATACAATTACAAGCTACAATGGTCCCGGTACATATACTCTAGGTCCTGGTAAGGTTGTATCTGTTGGCTCAGATGGTAGCTATCAATTCCTCTCTGATACTCAAGACGGTTCATCCAAATTGCCTGATGTCGATCTTGGTGATGGAAATACAATTAGTGGATATAAAGGTGCTGGTTTATACACTGTTGGTTCAAGTCAACTTGTTACAGTCGGATCGGATAGCAATTATCAGTATGTAACCAATCCTGGTATGTTCACCTTAGGTTCTGGTGAGGTAGTATCTATCGGATCTGATGGTCGATTTAATCTTGTGTCAGATTTTGGTAATGACGACGGTGATATGAACTTACCTAATGTCGATCTTGGTGACGGTAACACTATCACTAGATATAACGGTCCCGGTTTGTACACATTGGCTCCTGGCAAGTTTGTTTCCGTCAGTCCTGATGGTAATTATGACTTGTTCTCTGATGACACTGGTACGACCAGTTTCCCTGATATTGACATCGGTGATGGTAACACAATTTCAGGTTACAATGGTGC